CTTTCCAAAGGCTTTGGCTTCACTTTGGATGGAGCGGTATACGCGCGCGTCGTTTGGGCTGGCAACATGTTTCTGTTCGCGTCTTGCCGCGAGCACGCGGGGGTCATGGCTGAGGATTTGAGTGCCGCTCTTGCGTTCGAGGGGTTTCAGTGGAAGCCGTCATCATTGCAGTATTTGGTTGGCCCAGCTTCTGAGCGCGAGGCCCTGCCGTCTCTCGTCGCCCAGCAGGGCTGGAGTAGCGCGCCATGGGAGCACGCGCAGCACTTACTCGTCTTGGGCACACTCGTGGATGAGACGGGCGCCGCTCGCATGGGACACAGGCTGTCGATTGCTTCCGGCCTTTACTTCAAGCACCAATGCGCCTCGTCGTCGGGTGCCCCTCTCAAGTCAGAGCTGGCGGCGTGGGCGCGCGTGCCCGCCGCGCCTGCGGCTTTTGGATGTTCGGCTTGGCATTCGACTCGAAGTTCATTGCGACGGGTTCGATCTTGGGAGCTGGGTCAGTCGCGCCAGTTTCTGAAGCTCCGTCCGAGACCGGACGGAGGCCGATCGAGTTACTTACAGCGCATTGCGATGAGAATGCACAACTGGTTCGAAGCTTGCGCGTTGGAGCCGCTACACATCATAATCTTGAAGGCAGTCTTCAAGGCGGCCTGGCAAGAAAGGTCGAACGAATTCTCGTTGCTCTGGAGAGCGCGGCTGGATGGGCAAAACGTTGAAATGGGAGGCGATTTGCGCGCTCCTTCCAAAGCGGCGCCGCCGTGGCCAAGGCCGTGCTCACCGTGTGTCGGGCGCTGGCCGCGCCCTGTGGGAGGCGCCCTTCTGCGTTGCTTTCGGATTGCACTGGAAGCGCAGTCGTGACAGGTGCGAGAACCTGACGCAATGGATGCGGCACCAGGTGGCGTTTACAGACGCTGCCTGCACTGCGCGGAATCCCCCGGGAATGGGGCGCAGCCCCCGCTGTCCACCAGACCCGTTCCAGGGCAATGTCCGCGAGCATACCATGGATAACATCCCGGACTTACAGCTGCACCCCCGAAGACAAGATGCGGGACCCTGGATGCCGCCGGCTGCAGCTGCGGGTTGACAACAAGACAGTGGCGCACCTCGCGAACGGGAGAGCGATTCTGGCCGACGACTCGTTTCGGCAACTATTCGCGCGCATTACAAGGAAATTTGCGGCTGTGAGCGAGCGTGGCCGTCTGCCGACGCGGGGGCATGTCCCGCTCGTCCGCTGGAGGCGCAGAGACTGCAACAACGTGGCGGGTCATGTTGCCAACCGCATCTTAGAGGCAGAAACATCATGGAGGCGGCGCCCATCTGATCGCGCGCGAGCAAGGATGGCCCCTAGACTCCTGCCTTGTCCCGGCGGTGGTTTTGCGTCAGAACGCAGTGCTGCAGCGGGCTGCCCCATTGATATGCCCACCGAGAGGCATGTTCTCGCTGGCACCAGATGCACGCACATGCGCTGGCTTCGCAGCGCCTTCGAGGCTGAAGCTGCGGCGCTCGACGAAAGCTTAGAGGCGTTCCTGCCGTTCACAGGTAGACATGATCCCCCCCCTCCCTCTCCTGCTTCCCCCTGCCACTTGGCGTGCCAGTTTCTGGAGTAGCGTTGTAGCAGCACCTTCCTTGAACGCGCGCCTCGCGAGGCTTGGCGCGAGTGCAATGAAAGAAAGATGCAGCGGCGATGCCGCGCGATCCTCTGACTCTTCTGGCGCGATTGGCGATGCATTGCGGCTGTATTGCTTATACTCGGACCCCATCTGGGAGGCCTCTACCTGCTCTTGGTTGGCTCTGCCAGGCTTGTGCCCGATGGCCATCCGCGGCCACTTACGATGGCCGTCGCATGCGTCGGCTGGCGTTTTTTTCCCCACAATCCCATGGCGTTCAGTCCTTGTTTTGAAGTCACAGCGCCCCGCGCCCTCGCTCACTCCCCCCCTCTGCCCCCTCCTCCATCGAGGCAGGGGGCTCGACCGACGGCCCAATCGGCGGCGCCCGCGTGCCCTCGCCCCGCCCACGTCGGCACACCCCTCGCGCTTTTCGCGGCGCCGCAGGGGGCTCCACCAACGGTCTCAGCGGCAGCGCCCGCGCGGCGTCACCCCGCCCATTTCGTCGCATCCCCCGCGCGCCCCGTGGCCCCGCTGCCGGGCAGCGATTGGCCCGCGGCGCAGCTCGCCGACGGCGACGACCTGGAGGCGATCGGGGCAATCGGCGCGGGAGATTAGCAACGCTCTTCACGGTCCCTTCTTTGGTTTTTTAGCTTCCGGCTTCCCGGGGCGCGGCGAACGGAGGTGGGCGGAATCGGCTTGCGCTTCGACTGCGCCACTCGCACCGCGCGGGCCTCTCTCGGAGGCGAGGGCAGCTCGGTTTGCTACGCGGCGCCGGGGGGCGGTCGAGCGCGGCGCCGTCCACGGGGGCGGAAGGGCTGCAGCGTCGAGGCGCTCAAGTCTCGCGGCGACGGTCCTTCTGGGGGAGGCCGCTCTTGGATCCGGCGCGCGCCCTGCTTGCCGGCGTCGCGAGGGCGGGCGCGGAAGGGGCCCCCGCGCCACAGGCGGTCAGACCTGCGCGGGAGGCCATGTCTGGAGGCACCCAGCGCACTCGAAACCGAGAGCGCCAGGCCAGGCGCTGCCGCTTGGGTCGCAAAGGCGGAGGGGGGTCGCCGCTGGCCATGCGACTGGGAAGCGCCAGCGAAGGAATGGCCCGTTTGGGCTCGGCGCCCAGGAGACGGGGGCCAATGCAAACGGGGGTTAGCGAGCGGCTTGTGGCCGCGAAGCAGCCGCGCATAGTGGCTGACCCAGGCGTGCGAAGCCCTGCGTTGCAGTCTTGCATTCCAGTTTTTGGTTTCCTGCTGGCCCGGCTTCGATTGGCCTGGCCCGACAGATCCCCGATGGGCGCGGGCGAGGCAGACGGCCCTAGCAGGGCCACCGCGGCGCTGGAGCTCCACGGCACGACGCCCGCGCGAAACCGCCCCCGAGGCTCGGGGAGTTCCGCCGGAGGGTGGTCCTCGTCATGATGGGGCCGACGTTTGGGAAACGCCTGCGCAGTGTCAAGGGCCAGGTCGAACGAGCCGCCGACGCCGGTCCTCCTCATCGAGCTCCCAGACGAGCTGAGGCCACGCGAGATGACGCCGAGCCTGGACTGGCCACCGCGCGAGGTGGGCCGGGAGGCAGACGACCCCGCAACATCGGGGCGACGGACTTCGACGCGCCCTTCAGGATTCACGCGGGGGCCGCGGACCCGAGGGGGCACGTGCTCCAAAGGGTGGCGCTGGCCGCCCGAGCGCCTTGCGAGTCGGTCGTCGAGGGGGGGGCGACCGCCGCGGGGGGGCGCCCGCAGCTGTGCGCGGCCGTGGGGGCAGCGAACGCCGCGCGCTCAAGTCGCGGCGACAGCCTTGCACACCGCGCGTCGGGCGACGTCGCGCGGGCGGAGCTGGAGCGGCTGCGGCGGCGCCCTGGCGGGCGAGGGCGCTGGCGAGGAGGCGGCGGCCCAGGAGGCCGCGCCCGCCGCGGCACCGCGGGCGCAGCTGCTGCGCGTTACCGCTCGGAACAAAGCCCCGCGCAGAGGCCGTCGACCGCCCGCCCTGGGCCGCGCCCCGGGCGGGGGCCTGGCAGCGCGGAAAGACCGCGCCGCCAGCTCTCGGCCGCGCGAGAGGCGAGGGGAAGGGGCGAGGTGAGAAGGCGCTTGCAGCGCCCAGGGAAAGGACCCCGGGCCCCCCCCCTCACCTCCAGGCCTCCAACTTATCCCCCCCGCTATTACTGGTGACTAACACCCATCGCAGAGTCGCAGAGGGGGGGCGCCAAGTTCTGGGAGTGCCGGGCGCCCTGCGCGCGTGGCCTTGGCACCGCCACCCATGGGGTCATCGCCGTCACCTCGTTCACTCCTTTACTGATATCGCACCGGTATTAGGGCTCTACGGGAAGATGCCCCCGTGGGCCAACACGAAAGCACATTTTCTTCCTTGCCCGACGCATGTGGCCACTTGGGCGCAGGCGCTCGGCGGTTCCAGGGGGGAGAGAAATAGCAAGGCTCGCCACGGGGCACCAAGTCCCTGGGAGTTGCAGGCGCCTTTCGCGCATGGCCCCTGGCACCGCCGCCCATAAACGGAGCATCGCCGTCGCTCGCGCCGCTATTAGGGCTGTTCTAGGATTTGCATCGTTCGCGTGGCAGGTGGAACGGCAAGGGCAAGGCCAATAAAGGACACCGGGTAACAGAGACGCTTCGTCCTCCGGGGACCTGCGGCATGACGCGGGATCTCGGTGGATCAGCGGAGATGGTGGCGGAAACAAGCGGATGGTCGACGACGATCGGTGGCATAACCAAACTGGTCAGAATAATGGAGCGTGGAGTTCAGGACGTAGCCAATTGGCGGATCTTTTCGCGGCATTCGAATTCGAGTCGATGTTGGGATGGCAGTTCACGGTGAGCAACGTCGAGGCGTGACTCTGGGTTCCGGGGGGCTTCTCGGCCTGGCTAATAAAATCCGTGGCTACGTCGAGCAACGGAACCTTCACCTTTGCAGCAAGAGTACGTATTACTCGGACGGATGGCGTTCCAATGCTATGTTTGGAGTTGGCCCCCGTTGGACGAGGTGCACAAAGGCTTGCGCGCGGGGTGAAATAGTTCCAGCGCCCGCGGCGGGGGGAGTTGTTACCATCCCCCTGGTTATTTAGCATCCATCCGCGCGCCGTCGCGCGCAGGCGCTTCAGCGGAAAAGGTTGCGCGCCACGTTTTAGCGAACGCGCCTGCTAATCCATCGTATGCTTTAAATTCATATCACCTGATAGTCATCGCCATATCGCACGGCATCGTTAAGGATCCATCCGTCGGCAATCTCCACACGACGGGTCCGCTGAGCTAGGAGGTGGGGGCAAAGGATACGCTCGCTCGTCCAGGAATATTGGTTGTCAGACGAAACACACTTCCCCGGGCTTCGCCTCCGAACGACGACTGGTAAAGTCACGAGCAGCACCCGTGCTGCCCGTAACCCATCCGAGCGCGGGGAGGACGGTTTCTGCTTCGGCGTCGACGACAACTGGGCGCCGCTGAGGCGGGCCGCGGGGGGGGGGCACCGTCCGAGGCCTCGCCGTCGCACGGGGGTGTCCGGGGCCGCCGCGGACGACGGCGACGACGACGACGACGACGACGACGGCGTCGGCGGCGGCGACGGCGACGGCAAAAGCGACGGCGTCGGAGACAGCGATTGTGACGGCGACGCCGACGGCGACGACGACGACAATCACAACGGCGACGGCGACGACGACGACGACGAAAACGAATACGACGACGACGACGACGACGACGACGACGAAAACCCAGCGTTGGCGTCATCTGCCCCACGGGCCCCGAGCCCCGCCCCTGGGCGCAGAGCACAGGATGAGGCCCCACCATCGCTCAATGCCGAGGGGGCGGCCCCGCCAGGGAGGTCGCCGCCGCCTCCTTGAGATCGAGGCTGTGACGCGAGGAGGGAGGGCGGCCTTCTGAGAACCTGAAGCGGCGACAGGGGCGAATAGCCCATGGCAGGCATTATATGCATCCGCCAGGGAGCCTCGCCGGGGGCGTGGGCCATCGGCGCCCCTGCATGCATGCCACGCCCGCCCGCGGGCTGGTCGCCCCCGTCGTCGCCACCGAAAGGGGTGTTGGGGGCTCGTGGAAGCCATTCGGGTTTCGTGGAAACCTTCCTAGAAGCCTCCAGCGCCTTCTAAGGAGGCCCTCGCATTCGAAGAAGCATCTCGCCTTCTTAGAAGGGCCCCCCCCCTCGCGTCAGCCCGTTCTGCGCGCCGCCAAGATCGAGGAGGAGCGAAGGTCGAATACCAGCGAGATCTGGGGCGTTTTTTGAGGGGTCCTGGAGGCCGCTTCCTGGAGAGCCGGCGACTCCCATGGTGGTGACCTCCTTTGGCGCTGCCTGGCACCGGCAGAGGGGCGAGTCGCGACGCGAGCACAAGCTCTTGGAGGTCCACGCGGATCTCATCGGATCGGCGCTGGACCCCCCCCTTCAGACATACGACGCCGTGGTTTTGTTCGCAACATGTCTCTTCAGACTCAGAGATGTCGAACCCTTCCCACGGATGGGCTTTTCATCCCGAGCCGTTTGTGAGGGTCCGAGGGTGGTTCATTGGTAGTTCGCGCATGCGATTGTGCACGGCTTTTCAGATCCGAGCCGATCGTCTCTTTCTCCGTCTCATCATTCTCATTATTGTTTCCCTTCCCGTTGACGTCCCAAATGTTCAATATTCAGGTCGCTCGTCGGAACTGACTGATGTTATAGTCCTGATACAGTTTGAGCGCCTGTCCGCTTCAATGACCACTTATATCCAAGTTTTGCCGCCGACGCGCCCAGTGTCGTATGGCCCGCGCGTCCAGTGGCACCGCGCCCAGTGGCCACGCGCCCAGTGGTTCATGCGTTGTTCGTTCGTTCGTTCGTTCGTGAGCCGCCCATGCAGTACTTCGGCAGGCCGAAGCAAACCGTGCCTGAGCCGCCTTACCACCTCATGGGCCACTAGGACCACAGGCGCACCCGCTTCCTTCGAAGGGCCTCCACGTCCTTTGTTGGCCTGCCCCCCTCCGCCACCACCACTTCCTTCCCCCTCCGTCCGCTCCCGGGCGCCCCCCTCCGCTCCCGCCCCCGCTCCCCCTCGCGCATCTCCCCCCCCCCTCCTTTTCTCTTCCGCGCGGTGCCTGCCTCCCACCCTCCTGTCGCCTTTTCACGTTTCTAGTTGCCCCCCCCTTCCTCCCCGCCCCAATCCATCCCCCCCCCTCCCCCTCCTTCCCCCCTGGTCATCCCCCATACCCGCCTCCCCATCCCCCCATACCCCCTCTCCCTCCACCCCTTCACCCTCTCCCATCCAGTCCCCCTCTTTTCCCCTCTCGCCACACTCATCGCTAATTTCCATGTTGCAGCCCCTTCTCTCCCGTCCCTCTCCCTCTCTCCACGCACGCTTTTCCGGCCCCAAGGTGGAGATCAGGAGGAGGAGGAGGAGGAGGAGGAGGAGGAGAGAACGAGACGGACGGAGAGGAGGGCGAGGGCAATGACCCGGAGGAAGACGAGGAGATGGGAGGCCGGGCACGGCTGGCTCCCACTCAGTGCTAGCAAGGGGCGGGAAGAAAGAGAACGAAGGTAACGATCACAAAGATGGCCGTAATGACGATAACCACGACCACCATGATCAGGACCAGGACGACCACGACGACCACGACGGCGACGACGACGACCAACAACGACGACCACTAAGGCCACGACGCCCACGATGGCCACGACGACTACGACGTCCACGACGGCGACCACGTCGGCGACTGTGACCACGACAAACACGAAGGCCACGACGACCACGACGGCCACGACGGCCGCGAGGACGTCGACGACAACGACGGCGGCGGCTACCCGCCGAAGGCCCAGCGCGACCACGGCCGGCGACGCACGCCTTACGCCTCTCGAGAGGCGCGAGGTGTTTATGCGGGACGGCAAGTGGGACCCCGGGGTGGTCGTCGTCGTCGTCGTTGTCGCGGCTCCCCTCCCCCTCTCTCCCCTTTTCTCCCCGCTCTTCCTTCGTCGGTTGCCCGCAGGTTGTTGCTGGCCGCCGTCTGGCGGCGACGGCGTTTCGGCGGGACGCTAGACGACGATGACGATGACGACAAGGACGCTGCGCGATGGATGACGACCCAGCACGACGAGGACGAAGACGACTACAACGGCGACGACGGCGACGACGACGACGACGATGTTGCCGCCGACGACGACGGCGGCGGCGGCCGCGACTCCGCGCGAGAGAGCTGGAAGTCGGAAGGCCGGCATGAAGGAGAAGGGTCCTGGAGATTCGCACTGGGCCCGGGGGCCGTCAGTGGCAAGACTATCGGGAGGCGGGGCCGGCCCCAGGAGCAGATCCCCAGCGGCCAGGCGCCGTCCGGGCGCCTGGCTTCTCTGTCTGCCTGCCTGTCGGTCTAGGACGAGCGTCCACCAGGACCCCTTCTTGGCGACTTGGATTCGTCACGTGATGCGAATAGGAGGAGGAGGAGGAGGAGGAGGAGGAGGAGGAGGAGGAGGAGGATATGAAGAGGAGGGAGAGGAGGTGGATTCGGTGGGGAGGGGGGAACTCCGCGTCACGTGACGACATCTCTCCGCCTGCCTTCCTCTCCGCAGGCCGACGAGGCGCTGCGAAGGCGGCGGCGACGACGGTGCAGGCAAGCGTCCGGGAGCCCCAAGCGCAATCCGCGGGCCGGCCCCTCGGGGCGCCCCCCCCCCGCCCAACACCGCCGCGCCAGAGAGCGAGACCATGAGGTCATCGAGGAATATAAACAGAGCCCCCTGATCAAGCAGTGGCGAAGCGTCCTGGCTCGCCTGTAGGCCCACCAAACAATGTTCTAAGAGCCTTTTGCGGTGTCCACGGAATGTTCTAAGGACACTTCTGGCTGGGGCTGTCTTGTTTTATCACATCGGGGATATGTTCTAAGAACGTTGTTTGTGTTCTTAGAACATTTCGTGGTGGGACTATAGGAATGCCGGGACGGTCGGTCCCTGCTCAACCTGAGCTGAAGCCAGAGATGTCCCTCTACAGGAGGACCATTCCAAAACCAGCCAAAAAGTAATATGGGGATGATGTTTCTGTTATAGCTTATTCATTGTTGCGCATGTTTGACAAACGCAGTCAACAAAAAGTGGTATGGGGACGATGTTTCAGTTACTTCTGACTATTTTATCGCATGTTGGGCTGCTTTTTATTCGTCGTCCAAAGTCCGCCTGTAGGAGGACATGCCCGGCCTAACCCTAACCCTACGGAAGAGAAAGTCCCGGAAGGCTTGTCTAAGGGGAGTTGTCCGGGGTGTGTGCTCCGGATCCCCGCTGGGTTGCCGAATGGGTTGTCCCGGGTAGGCCGTCCTGTCGTCATTAAGCAGCGTGGGTTGTCCTGGTTGTCCAGGGGGTTGTTAGGGGATTTGTTGGGTAGGATGTGTTTCCATTCAACACAGTAATAGCACAATGAAGACGTTGCCAAATCGAGGTCCCCTTTTTTGCATCAGAATCATCATTTTGGCTGGTCCGGCTAAGTAGTACATTTGCTGAAAAGACCTTATATCCCTAATGCGGTGAGCCTCTTTACATAAGTCCGCTCCCAAAGGACTGGGGGCTTTTTATAATTGCTAATCGTGGGATCCGACGTCGCGAAACAAAAATGGCACGTCGTCAAAAATCACCGCTGGAGCCCCAGACCCCGTGATTCTGCGCCATTGTTCGAGCCGCATCGATCTGTAAGGTTCCCCGCTCGGGTCTCTCAGCGAGGCTGACACGCCCCCGGCCCCAGAGAGCTGGGACGCCAGGATTTCCGGGGATGCCCGCCATGCAGCGCCTCCTGGCTCAAGCTCTCGCTCCTAGTCGGCGGCGGAGGCAGGGCCCATTCCGAGCGCCGATTCCATGCTTAAGTCGGGCGTGTCCCTCTAGAGGAGGAATCTTCAAAAATAAGCAAAACATAGTCAGGGGACGATTTTTCCACTACTTGATTATTTTGGAGTATGTTTTACTTGTTTTATTTGTTCGTACAAAATCTGCCTGTAGGGGGACATGCCCGACCTAATTCCAGGCCTCCCAGATGGAGTCGGAGCAGATGTGGTCGGAGGATCGCGCCGCATCACCGATGCATCGGCGATGCGGCTCGACGTGGAGCCCGATGCCTCCATCGCGCCGACGGCGCCTCCATCGGCGACGCGGCGCGATCCTCCGACCCTACCTGCTCGGACCGCATTTGGGCGTTGCGCAATGGGGGGTCATAAAAGGGGGTGGGGGGGCGAGGGTGGTCCGAAAAGGTACCGCAACGGTACCTGAACGAGCCCCCCCTGGGGCTCCGCAGGGGCCCGACAGGGGCACGAGAGGGGACGGCCTCTGGACCCCCCCCCACCTCTGACCCCCCCTTCCCCCAAGGGCGCCACGCCCAGCGCACCTCTCTGGGAGGCCTCTGCCGATGGCTCCCGCACGGGGCGCTGCCCCTGGCGCCGCCGCCTCCGCCCGAGGCGCACCGCCGGCGCCGCCGCGGCGGCGCGCCGCCCGCCCGCGGCGCGCCGGCGCCGCCGCAGCGGCCGCCGGCGCCGTGCTGCTGCTCGGCTGCTGGGCGGCGCCCGCGGGCGGCTTCGCCGGCGGCCTGCCGCCCCGCCGCCGCCCCGGTGCCTCGGCGCCTCCCGGAGGCGGCGCGGGGGGCGAAGAGCCTTGGGTCGGGCATGTCCCCCTACATCGGAGCGTGAATGACCCACCCCGCTGTCGCTTCCAGGCAAAACCAAGTCGCACCACGCGCCTCCTCGTCAAGCGGCCTGACCAGTACAGGCCGTAGTTTGGCATCGCTTGGTATCTCTTGGAAGCGAGGGTGGTGGTTTGTTTTCCCCCTACTACAGGCGGAGTTTCGACGGGAAATACAAGATGGTCAACAACAGTCGAAACATCGTCCCCAGACTATTTTTTTGACTAGTCTTGAATATTCCTCCTGTGGAGGGACGGGCCCAACTTGGGAATGGCCCATGGCGGGCATGACACGCATCCCCAGACAGGATCGGGCCGTAACAAAAATCAGGACGGGAGGTTTTTGGCTATTGTCGGCCCCGGGGGGCCCTCGCCGGGCCTCGGGGGTGTCGAAAAGCGACTCTGCGGGAGAAACCGGTCCCGAGGAGAGGGTCGGGACGTCGGGGCACGCCGTCCTGAAAAAATCAGGGCGTCTTGTCTGGGTCGGCACCCCTGCACACATGTCATGCCCGCCCCCGGGCTACTCGCCCCCCTCGTCGCCTCCGAGCCTCGTGCTCCCCGGCCGGCGGGGGCGCCAGACGCGCTGGCGGATGCGCTGGAGAGCGGAGGCCAGCAGCTGTGCCCCGACACCGATCCTGGCCGGGCCCATCCCTGGCCCAGCACCAGTGCAGGCGTCCCCAGGGTCCATTCCTCCAGGAATCTCGGCCTCTCAGATGGGGTCGGAGTAGATGGGGTCGGAGGACCGCGCCGCATCGCCGATGCATCGCCGATGCGGCTCGATGTGGAGCCGGATTTCCTCCATGCCGACGTCGCCGATGCGTCGCCGACGTCGCCAGTGCATCGCCGATGCATCGCCGATGCATCGGCGACGCCGCGAGATCCTCCGACCCCATCTTCTCGAACCCCATCCAGGAGGCCTCTAAGGAAGGCGTGCACTGTGTGCACACGCTCCGACCCGATGGGTCCAGCGTGGGCCTGGGCAGGACCGGCGCCGGTGCGCACAGCTGGGAGCTCTCCCAGGAGAGGGGCCGCCGCCTCGCAGTGCAGCGGGGGCTGCTGCCCGAGGCCCCGGAGGGCGAAGCTGCCGCGGCGGTCCGCGTCGTGCTGGCCGGGGCCGAGGCCGAGGCCGCGGCGGCAGCGGTGCTGGAGGGGCTGCCGGCCCCAGGGGAGGGCTGCGTGGTGGCGCTGCAGGGGCCTCCCAGCGATGAGAAGGCCGCGGTGCTGCGCGCGCTGCAGCGGCAGCTGCCCCGGGTGGAGACGTGGACCGTGTCCACGTTCTTCCGGGCAGTGGCCTTCCTGTTGATGACCTTCTCGGAGCAGACCGGCACCAGCCTGAAGGACGTGCTCCAGAAGCCAGAGATGCTCGCCGCGGGTATCGAGATGATCCAGGAAATGCGCGCGGGCAACAGCATTGGATCGATGGCGGCGGACGCAGAGCAGATGATGTCAATGAGTTCCGACGGATCGAAGATTGACGAGAACCTTCCTCTGGCAATGGAGTACGGCCAGGGCGAGGTTGTGAAGTTCATCAACAACGCTTTGATTGAGTTGCGCAGTAAAGATAGCAGTATGACCGTCCTTCTGGATGGGCCCGAGGAGATCTTGAGATATACGCCCACGACGCATCGATTTACACTAAGTTAGTTCACAAAGTGTGTGTGTGTGGTGCAAGCTGGCTTCCATTTAAACGTCACTGCTGCTGCGTCTTAGCATGCGTAGTTGTAGTGCACAGTTCGTCGTGTGCCAGAAGGCACGTTTTTCTCACATCTCCAATTTTCATCGGTTCAGTGTGGTTTCTCTTCTCCCGGGGCATGCCGCTGCTGCTGCAGCTCGACAGATTTATCGCGGTGCCTCGTAACGATCACAAGCGCTGAGCATTGTCGATGTCACCAGATGGGCGTGACCTTCTAATCATGATGATTATTTCTCCTCCCTGTACGTGCGGCAGGACGCGATTCTGGGCGGGCTGCATGCATCGTACGGCAAAGGCCACGGGACACCACCACGGCACCAGGGCGGCAACGAGACACCGCCTGATCATAGAGCGCATGCCCTTGGGCACCGCCCACAGAGTTCCGCGGCGCGGGCGAGAAGTTGCAGCAGATGAGCGGGGCCTGTGGTTCCTTGCCCCCCACCCCCTGGGCGGGCCCATCGGCTAGGCAGTGACTGCTGCCGTCGGTAGACTTGTCGGTGCTGGAGTCGACGGTGCCGTGGAGTCGGCGTCCGGGAGTCGGCGGGCTGGTTACGCCGATCGTCTTGCAGGCAATCGTTGAGGGGGTCCTGGGGATCCGTGGGAGGGGGCGTCGCCGTCCTCGCAGTCCTCGGCGTTCTTCTCCTCCTCCAATGCTATGGTCGGATGGGGCCAGGACAAGGATAAATCAGTTCCAGGGCGTTCCGGGATGCTCTCAGAGCGTTCCAGAACGCTCTGAGGAGGCCGCGGCACCAAAGACACCCTCCAGAGCCGCCGGATCTCAGAGATTCTCGACGTATCCTCACCGGATGCTATCCTCGTCTCGGCGTCGTCGTATTCTTCTCTCCCTCCACTGCGAGGGGCCCTCCCGGGGGGGTGATCCACGAACGGCCTCCCGAGGTGTGTGGCCACACGTCGTGGGCCCTGGCCCGCGCCTCGACCCCCGCGCGCCCCGCCCCGCACAGGACCTGTTCCGGCAGCTGCTCCTGTCCGCGGGCATCTTGCGGAAGAGCGGCTGGTCGGCGACGAAGGCCTGCGGCCTCTCCTCAGAGGCGCAAGCAGAGGAGGAGACGACACCCACAGCTCGAAGGAGAAAGAACGGCATGCATATAAACTGTTGGCGCTCCGCGCGGGTCTCTTGGATCTGCGCTTGGCCCCCCTGGGAGGCGCCTCTGGCGCCGCCCGTGGCGCGCTCCGCGCACCAGGGAGGGGGGTCCAGCGCAGATCCAAGAAATCCGCGCGGAGCGCCAAAAGTCTATGTTTATGGTGTTTTTCCTTCTTCTAATACTGCTGCCCAGAAGTTCATGCTGATTCCTTGTTTGAGCCTCCTGGGAGGCCCTCGTCGCTAGCGCTGGACTCGCCTCGGAGTTCTGGTCAGAGCGCATCCTGGGTGAGGTCCGGGGAGTGGCGGTGTCGGTACCTTTTTGGTCTTCCCAAGCAAGAGGTGATGATAATGATACGTTCCAGGATGTCCAGGGTTTCCACGACTTCTAACGCTCCACACGGGCTGCAGAAACGAGGGCCGCTAGATGCTCTGGAAATCCGGAAGCATGTCTTGAGCCAATCCTGTCATGCCATCATTATCGTCCTAGTGTCTCAGAGGAGCAAGGGGTCATGGTCAGAGATAGTTGTTTTATCTCCTGGCGATGGCGGGCCTGACCGGGGGGGGGGGGGGGGTGGGGGGGGAGGGGGAAGGCGGGGCCGGCAACGGGCGCCATAGCGAATCATTCATGCAAAACGGGCGCTGTAATGATAGGCTCCAGCATTTCCAGGAGTTCCGAGATGTCTCCCCGGACTGCAGACACGTTGCCGCTAGATGATCTGGAGCTCCTGGAACGTATCCTGGGCCGATCGTTGTCATGACATCATTTTAGTCCTGTGTCCGAGGTGGGGATTTGTACATCTGCACCGCCTGGTGGATCGATCCTCGGGGAACCAGGCGGACGGTGGATGCGGATATAGCTGGCTCCCCGAGAGCCCATGATGTATCCATATCCACACCGCGCCGACGTCCCCGCAGATCAATCCACAGGCGGTGATTATGGATAAATCCCCGCCTCGCAGCCTTGGATGGCACAGTCGCCACCGCCATCGTCGTCGTCGTGCTCCTCTCCTTGTTCCTCCTGCTCCACCTCCCTCATCGCCTCCGCTCCTCCATCGCTGCACTGCCCTCGCTCCCACACCCCCTCCTCGTCCTTCCCTCCCGCCTCTCAGCCTTCTCTTTCTGCCTCCTCCTCTCTTCCTCCCCGTGACTCGTCATCCCCATTCCTTCCTCCCTCACCCGCTTCCCTCCCTCCCTCCCTCCGCACGTTCCTTCTCGTGCGCCCCACCATGCTCCGGCTCCTCCCCCTCCCCCTTCTCCTCCTCCTGGTCTTCGCCAGTCGTCTTGTTCATCCCCCATCCCTTCTTCTCTCGCTGGTCTCTGCATCATGACTGCTATGTCGTTCCTCCCGTGTCTCTCCTCATCTCTCCTCCTCTGTCCTCGGTGGTATGCTCGTCCTCGTAATCCCGCCTCTCATGCCGCCCGTGTCCTCGCTCATCCCTTCTGTGCCTGCGCCTCCACGCCTCCCTCCCTCCGTCCCTCCTGCTCCTGCCGCCGCTATCCCCCCCCCCGTTCCCCCGATCACGGCTCCTGCCGCGCGCCCTGTTGCGCCAGGATCTTCGAGAATGACGGCGCCTTGAGCGGCCGAGTTTCTGAGGCGCCATAGGTCGTGATGATGATACGTTGCAGACGTTCCAAGGCTTCCAGGATCTGCAGGAGTTTCTAATTGGTGTTCCACACGGGCTGCAGAAGTGGGGGCCGCGAGATACTGTGGGAGTCCTGAGCCAGTCGTACTATGGCAGTTTTTGTTCGTCCCAGAACTTGCATTGAGCCTGGCACTAGCAAGCAGCGCTGTCCCCGACCCGGTCGATCCGAGGGTGCCCGCGGGGTCTGCGCGCGGCAGCGGTCGATGCTACTGCCCGCCTCCCGTGGAGCGGTCCCTGTCCTCCACGGATGTTCGGTCGGGACACTGACTCAAGGACACATTTTGGGCCTCAGGAGGGGCCATCTATCCCTCTGCCTCGGCCCCCTGGCTATGCGCCCCCTCTGTCCATTTGCTAAGCCATGGCGCGCGTTCCACTACTCGCAAAGTGCCTACTCGCAAGCGTCCGAACACCACATCTTTGCTTCGATGTAGTTTATCGTAGATCTCCCGCGGCGGATCCGGACCATGTGCGAGTAGTTACTCTGCGAGTCGTGGAGCGCGCTTGTCTAGTCTAGACGCCTGGCCGAGGAGGAGGAGGAGGAGAAGGAGAAGGAGGGAGGAGGGGGGAGGAGGAGGGAGGAGGCGGAGGAGGAGGAGGAGGAGGAGGAGGAGGAGGAGGAGGAGAGAGGAAGAGGAGAGGAGAGGAGGAGGAGGAGAGGAGGAGAGGGAGAGGAGGAGGGAGAGGGAGGAGGAGGCGGAGGAGGAGGAGGAGGAGGAGGAGAGGAGGAGGAGGAGGAGGAGGAGGAGGAGGAAGGACGGCAGGGGGCTGGCCCTCTGGTGCTCGGGCCGTTCCTCGGGCCTGGGCCGCGGAACCTCGTCGTGGCCGGGGCTGGCCCTGGCCAGGAGAGCGCTTTTTCCCCGTGGCCCACCTCCTCCCTCCTCCTGCTCCTCCTCCTCCTCCTCCTCCTCCTGCTCCTCCTGCTCCTCCTGCTCCTCCTCTTCCTCCTCTTCCTCCTCCTGCTCCTCATCCTCTTGCCTCTGCTCCTGCTCCCTCTCCTTCTCCTTCTCCTCCTCCTCCTCCTCCTCCTTCTCGCCGTGGCTGCAGTCAGCTCGGTCAGGAGGCTCCACGATGCCAGTGATTCCATCGATCCGTAATTCACGTTCCGAGGAGCCTTCCTCAGGGCACGAGGCGAAGGCCGAGGCGGAGATGATGGTTAGTATCGCACAAACGCATGTGAGACAAATGTGCCCCCCCCTGTAAACGACGTGCAATTATCAAACTGAGGAGTAGGACTGTCTCAATGGAGTCAATGATGCAAATTCCCGATCCTGAAGCAATCGTATTCTACGACATCTGAGTTTCGGCGCTCCGGCGCCCCCGCCGAGCTCTGAGAGGGTCGGGCCGAACGAAAGGGGGGAATAGGAAAAGGATGGTTACGCAATCTGCTGCATGCAGCTGGTTTCGGCCCCGCCGCCGGGCCCATTCCTCGATACACGGGCGCCTCCCGGCGCCGGGAGGCGCTGGGAAAGTCAGCTACGCGAGACGATTCTCTACCCTGCCCCCGAGAGGGCCGCCGCCCCGGGGCGCACATCGGCGCCTTGCCTTGCCGTGCACTGCCTTGCCTCAGGGCACGCATCCGAGCGCGCGCGCGGCACGCATGCTCTCCGCGCCCCTTCTTTGCTCCGCTGCCTGCAGCGCCGAGGTCAACGAGAAGCGGCTGGTGTCGCTCCTGGCATTGACGGCCATCCACGACATCATGAAGATTCTATAGGCTTACGCCACATCCGCCGACCCCTTGATCTAGTCGAGGACCTTCTATTTGTCCTGGGGCCTTCTAGTGTCGATGCTCGGGGCCGCAGGGGCGAACAGGAGGAGGAGGGGCATGTGGAGGTGTAGGAGGAGGAGGAGGAGGGGGTGCAAGAGGAGGAGGAAAAGGTGGAGGAGGAAACGTGAGGACATGGTTTGCGGGCGTGAGCTCAGGCCTCCGGAGGCCATTCGGGACGATCCCGGCACCCCCAGAACGCACGGTTTCACTTTGGATTTGGAGGCAGTGTGCCAGTGCCTGGGTCGCTAACGGGGTTGCGGGTTTGAGGTCTCGTGGGAGGACTCTTGGGGCGTGTTGGAGCCAGTTTTTGGGCCTCAGGGGTCTCCTGGGGATGTCTTGGGGGTCTTTTTGGGGATCTCTTGGGATTCCGGGAGGCCCCTTGGGGCTGCTTGGGCGTTTTTGGGGACAACCTGGGGGCGTCTTGGGGCCGACGGTTCGAAATTTCCGGTCGGGTTGCGCTTCTGGGCCTTTTTTGGGGGCCGTCCTGGGGCTCTCTTCGGCAGGCTTGGGGGATTCTTTGGCCGTTTTGGGCCGTCTTGGGGCTATCTTGGGCCGTCCTGGAGCCCTCGTGGGGGCTTCTGGCCCGTTTATGTCGTAGTGAAAGCCCCGGAGGCGAATCTGCCGAAAATATACGTTTCCCCAAGGGAATGGAACGATTTTGGCTTATGACGGCCTTCTGGGGGAGGCTGTTAGAGGGCATCTTGGAAGCATCTTGAGCCGTATGGATACCATTTCGGAGCATCTTCGGCGAGTCGGGGCCCTCCTGGACCGTCTGGGGGGCCTCTGCGGAGGCCTCAGGGGCTGTCTTGGCGCTCCAAAGGGAGCCTGGGGAGGGCCGGACCCCCCAGGTGAGTTCGGTCTGGGCCCCGGGTGAGTTCCGTCCGGGGCCACCTGGGGCTGGGGGGGGGGTCAAATTGACGGATTGGGGCACCCCCGGGGGAGGCTTATGGGGGGAAACAGTCTCACACGCCTAGGGACCCACAAGGTGTCGGCGGATCAATGTCTTCTTGCCCGTGGTGCAGGCTGGGTACGTTCGCGCCTCTTCATGAGGGGGATGGGAAGATGGGGAGGAGAAGGGGGGAGCGGAAAGGGCGAAGGAGGAGGGGGAACGGGGGAGGAAGAGGAGGAGGAGGAGGAGAAGGAGGAAGAGAGAGGCGCTGGCATGCCCCTCTGCACACGAGTCCAGGCTAAATACCCCAACACAAGGAGGGTATTGTCAAGGCGAATGGGATACGCGTCAGTCGAGTGTTCCCGTAATCTGGGAGCCGTGCATTCTTCATGCTTGCTTGTTATCCTTCAGCGACGCGTCGAGCACAGCACAGGCAAAGAGCGGAAGGGGGAGGGAGGAGGAGTCGGGGGGGAGGATAATGCGACACTACCACCACCACCACCACAATCAGGGGGACGCGAGGAGGTCCACGACACTCCCCAGGCTGGGGATGGGATCTGTTTCGAGCGAGGGACGGGGAAGGGGCCACGTCACCGGGGGGACCCCCTTCGCTTCTCCCCCCTGGTGGTCCCTGGTGGTGGTGGTGGTGCCGCTCTTTCCTGCTCCCGTGGGGGGGAGAGAAGACGACGCCAAGACGCCCGCGACAGAAGCTTCGGCTCCACCCCCGGCGCATCCGCCCGCCGCGGCGGGCCTCCCCTTCCCCCCCCCCCCCCCCCACACTTGCCTCGTCCCTCTCCCCTCCCCTCCCCCCTTCTGCATCGCTCTCCCCTCCTCTCCCGTCCCCCCTCTCCCTCCTGTCCTCTCCCTCCGCTCCCTTGCGTCCCTCTCCCCATGCTGTCCTTTCCTCCTCTCCCTCCTGTCCTCTCCCCCATGCTCCCTCTTCCCCCCTCTCCAGTGTACGCAGCTCCCGCTTTTTTTCCGACTGCGCAGAAAACGATGGGGTCCTCTTTAGAGTTCCAGCTCCGCTATGGAACGCGTCGGCGGCTAGATAAGAAGATCAGCTGAATGGGAAGGGGCGGGTGGGCGGGGTAGGACGTCAGACATGGCGCGAGCACACCTAGCTTGCCCTCCTCTGGCCGACGCCGCTGGGAGGTGCGGCTCCGACTTGTTTTACTCGGGGAGATGGGCCGGGTGGTGGCGCATGTTTCCATTTGGGGAACCTCGTGAGGTCCCGAGCGCCACCCTTCCGGCTGGCCTCGCGCCCGAGTGTATCCCGGGCTCCAGCCCGGCCGCCGCGCTCTCGTAGGGCCGTGTTTCTGGACGTGTGTCGGCGCCTCGCTTCGTCGCCGACGACGATTACGACGATGATGACGAGGACGAGTACGATGATGATGATGATGATGATGATGATGCTGATGCTGATGATGATGATGATGATGATGATGAAGATGATGATGATGATGATGATGATGATGATGATGATGATGCTGATGCTGATGCTGATGCTGATGCTGATGCTGATGCTGATGCTGATGCTGATGATGATGATGATGATGATGATGATGATGATGATGATGATGATGATGATGATGATGATGATGATGATGATGATGATGATAAGGATACTGATGCTGGTGATGATGATGATGATGATGATGATGATGATTATGATGGTTATGATGTCGGTGGTGGTGGTGATGCTGCTGCTGATGATGGTGGTGGTGGTGATGCTGCTGATGATGGTGATGTTGATGCTGCTGATGATGATGGTGGTGGTGGTGATGCTGCTGATGATGGTGATGTTGATGCTGCTGATGATCATGGTGCTGGTAGTGGTGATGATGATGGTGATGATGGTGACGATGTCGGTGGTGGTGGTGATGATGCTGCTGATGATGATGGCGGTGGTGGTGATGTTGCTGATGATGGTGATGGTGATGCTGCTGATGATGATAGTGGTGGTGGTGGTTTTGATGATGATGCTGTTACTGCTGCTGCTGATGATGATGGTGCTAGTAGTGGTGATGATGATGGTGATGATGATGATGATGGTGGTGGTGGTGATGACGATGATGATGACGATGATGATCATGATGCTGATGCTGATGCTGATGCTGATGCTGATGCTGCTGCTGCTGATGATGATGATGATGATGATGATGATGATGATGATTATGATTATGATTATTCTTCAATTCCTTCCCCCCCTTCCCCCCTCCCGCCTCCAGGTCATCATCCCTCCCCTCCATTTTCACTCCCCTCCCGTCCCTTCCATCGCCTCCCGTGCCGTCCCGCTGCTTCCTCTCTCTCTCTCTCTCTCGCCCTCTCTCGCTCTCTCTCCTCTAGTGCCTCCCTGAGTCCGTGGGCCTCGCTTGTATGATTGCGGGTACCCATTCATGTCAGGCACCACGATGGAGACGGCGCATCATGGGGACCGCTTGGGGGCATGAGGTATGTTTGCACTGCCCCATCTCGTTGTTTCATATTTCTCTTCCATCTCCTGTCCTTGTGATGCGCGTAATCATCACCGTCATCAGCAGTATCATCATCCTTGTCAGCATCAGTATCCTTATCATCATCATCATCATCATCATCATCATCATCATCATCATCATCATCATCATCATTATCATTATCAGCATCATCACATAAGCATCACCATCATCACCATCATCATCATTGTTATCATCAGCAGCATCCTCATTACCATCATCATCATCATCATCATCATCATCATCATCATCATCATCATCATCAACACAATCAGCATAATCACTGACATCATCATCATCATCATCATCATCGTCATCATCATCATCACCATCGTCATCATCATCATCAACATCACCATCAATATCAACGGCATCATCGTCATACTCATCATTAGTGTCGTGGGCATTATCGCTGTCCGCACCATTGGCAACACCACCATCATGTTCATCAGCCTCATTATGTGTACCATCCCTATCCTCCTCCTCCTCTTATCTTGGCGCTCCTCCTCTCCTTCCTCTACCCCTTTTCCATTGGATGCTGAAAGGGTGACTGGTGGAATGGAGGTCACTCGATCTAATGTGTTGTGACGGGGTGATGGACGTGGCTGTGGCCCGGCTTGCAAGTCATGAACTGTCGACAACCGCTTATTGTTGGGTGTTCCTCAGCGTCGGAGGCGATATCAGTCTAGCATTCGCCCAGAGGGCCGTGCGATTTGTTTGCAGCAGAAGTTGCAGGCTGCGGAGCACCTGTGCGAAGCGTTCCCCTACTGATGGTCCAGGAGTGCAATACCTGGCCGCAGCAAACGTTGTCTTGGAAAGGCTGCCGTCGCGGTGAACCGGTGCCTGTGAGCAACGTGTGCATACGAAATTTCGCCACGGCGATGCACGTGGGCGGCGTGGAGCGCAGCTGCATGGATGTTCTGGGCACGGGCTCGCCGTGCATCAAACCCCCGCCCGTCGTGACCGTGGCATTATGTATATCGACCAGCTTTCAGTGCCAGAGCGGCGTGTCAGAGAGGGATACCAGACTGCAGCTGCGCCCTTGCCACTCGAGCTCTGCGATCCCACCCTCCACCCTCTGCATGAAAGGGGGTGGGCGGGACATGGACAATGATGCAGTTAATTGCCCGTGTCGTAGGCAAGGCTATAGTTGCGTTCCCTCAGGAGCGATTCGACCGCGTTCAGTTTTCCGGTCCGAGGGCAAAGTGTTTGCGTTTTTGAGGCTAGTGCTGTTGGGAATCTCGTTTGTTTCGAGCGGAGCCTCTGACGAGACCCATGCTTGAATATAAGGGTCCCAGCACACCGGGTCCGGTGTGCTTCATTGTTTGGTGGTATGGTTTCTATCTGAATGTTCGTTTGGAAGGGTGGCGTTCAGCAGGCTTTTTGTTTCTGCATCGTGTGCAGAGCATGCACCTCGAGAAGGAGCATTCTGCTCAGGAAAGACTGGACTCAACATGAGGTTTCGGGGGTGGTCCGACCACGTGGCGCAGAGTTGCTCATGGCTTATACCCGCACAGCCGTGACCAGTCCACGGTGACCGCCAGTTCTCGCCATCCAGCGGCGTAAGGTTCATTGCGGCGCTTTCACGCTGCCGCCTCCACCTCGGGTCCGCGACCCGCTCCAGGCGTTGGAGGCCCTCCCTCAGACAGGGGGGCGAGCGCGCGTTTCGCGAGAGCGTAAGCTCGGGTGTTAGCAGCAAAGCCTGCGGCAGCCTACTCTTCGGCGGGCACGTGATAGCCAGTTATCTACCCGTCAGCCCTGATGAATTATCCCTCCTCGTTCGCATCCCCCTCCTCCTCCTCCTCTTTCTCCTCCTCCTCCTCCTCTTTCTCCTCTTCCTCCGCTCCCTCGTTTTCCCACCCCGTCCTCCTTGAACTCTTCTCTCTCACCCTCGCTGCCTCCGTCCCTCCGTCCTTCATCCTTATTCCTCTTAGCATACTTCCCCCTACTGTTGGCACTCATCCCCCCCCCTCCCCTGCCCCTGCAGCTCCTGCTTTTCCTCCCCGCCCTCACGGCCCCTGGCTCCCGCAGGACTCCGCTGGCTGTGCCCTCAACGCCCGGGGGCAGGGGAGGGGAGAGGGCGGGGAGGAAGGGGGGTGGGGGTAGCTGGGCGGGGGAGGAGAAGGGGAGAGGAGGAGGGGGGAGGAGGGGAGGGAGGGAGGGGGCAAGGAGGTTAGGAAGGGGAAGCGAGGAGGGCAGGGAGTTGAGAAGAGGAGGGGAAGGGAGGAGGGAGGAGGGGAGGGAGAGGGGGGAAGGGAGGAGGGAGGGGAAGGAGGAGGGAGGTTGGCGAGGAGGAGGGGGTGGCCCGCCCAATCTTGCCGCGCCCGGGGGCTCGCCCCCCCCCCCCCCCCGCGCGCGCCCAGCCCGAGCACGCCCCGTACCACGGCTACAACGTCGGGCGCGCGCGCGCCCCCGATAGCCGCAGCGGCTGCTGTCGCGTTCCCCCGTACTGCGAAGGCCCTACGGCCGGTGGCGCCCACCTTGAAGAGGGCCGACGGCGGCGGCGACGACGGCGACGGCGACGTTGACGCCGGCGCTCTGGAGCCGAGCGCACGCGTGCCTGCCGACGGCCACGGCGGCCGCTGTCCCGCGTGCCAGTAGTTCGGTGCGCGCGGAGTTCTTGTGGCGGCGCTGGGGAGTGTACGGCGGGCGTTTCAGAGATGGCGCACTATGTAGCGCGGCTGGCCCGCTCATCACACGCGTGGAGATGGTGTGCACGGAAGAAGCCCTGGCAGGAGCATGCGGGTACAAGAGGGGCTTTAGCAGGGGGATCGCCGCACAGGGATAGCGTCAACGGAGGACGCCCTATTTTGGAAGTATTGCGCGCTTTTCGGAGATCGGTGATGCACGCTATCATTGCGACGCCAACCATAGGTGGGGCTGCCTATGGGGCACGACCTATGTGAAAAGTCCGAGTGTGCCGAAATGGGCGATGTGGCGACATAAGGACGTAGCCAGTGGGGCCGTATATGGACTCTCGTATGGGGCACGACCGCTCTGAGGGGACTGCCGAATCGGGAGGTGGCGACACACGCACGTGGCCGTTGAGGCCGTCGTTGGAGTTGCCAACGGGGCAGGATCTGAGTGAGCGTGCGCAGAATGGGAGAGGTGGCACCAGAAGAACATGGTCGTCATTGGGGCCGTTGAAGGAGCTCCATGCGGGGCACGCTCCGATTGAGGCTGAGACTGCGTGCGGGTAACCTGGGCGGTATCAACAGCAGAGGCTTGCAGCGGCATTCCATCGCATTGCTACAAGCCGTGGCATCCGTTAATTACGTTGCTCGGGTATGATGCTCGAGAGCTAGACACAATAAACACAGGCTCGCATCGCAGCGGCTAAAGCTGCGGCCGCATCAGAAGCAGCGGCTGTCAGAGGCAGCGGCAGGCAGGTCGGCGGCATTGGTGCGGCAGTCAGCGCAGAAGGCAGCGCAGCGGGCAGCGGCGGGAAGGGATGGAAGTGGGCGGGAGGCGGGAAGGAGAGAGAGCGTGCGGCGCAGCGAGAGACATCGAGGGCATATGTTTATGGAAGGGTTGGGAGCAGCATTCCGCCACAATACACACAGACACGCTCCAATGGATTGTTCCTTGGCCTCAGGGGAGGATGGCGGTGGGTAAATCACCACTGCGAGCTAGGGGCTTCATACACCGCCGCCCTCCTGAAAATGCTAAAATTCGTCGTAAGGTGTCTGTGTATATTCTTTCCGTGGCGTACGCATGCGCGGCAGACACTCGAATGCATGGGGGGGTCGGTCAGGCCTCCTCTCTGGGTTCTGAGGGACCTGCAGGTGGTGGAGGTCATGGGCCGAGAGTGCCCGAGCGGCTGCGTCGGGGAACTTCACAGCACACCGCTGTCAGTGAGGGGAGCTAGTCGACTTCAGCTAACTCATGCGTTCTGATATTGCCGTGTCCCGTGCCAGGTCCGCAACGTAATGCAGTGCTCACAGAATCGCGATAGGTCCTCAGCACCCCCACTATAGTGGGCAACTGACTATGTGTTATGGGTGCCATCTGGAGGGTCGCAGGCACCCACCAATGTTCGGCAAATAATCTTTCCGCCGCCGCCGCCGTCACGGAGGACGAGAAGGGGAGGAGGAGGAGGACGAGAAGGGGAGGATGAGGAGAAGGGGGAGGAGGAGGAGAAGGAGGAGGAGGTGGAGGAGGAGGAGGAGGAGGAGGAGACGGACAGGGCGAGCCTGGGGACGCGCAGAGTGGATTGCCAACCGAGAGCCTTTTGGGAGGGGGCGGGCAGACCGAGGACCTGCCGAGGCTACTCCTGTCGCACGGAGCCCCTTGAGATGGGTGAGCGGTTGGAGCCGTCAAGACAATTCGGGCTCAGTCGATTTTGCGTCGGGACTGTCCAGGCCAGTTGGGCCCGAGGTCTGCATCCCGTTTGCGGGCCGCCTAGGCCCAGCCGTTCCCGACGCGCGTTCGTTGTTGTCTGAGGGCGCGCGAGCTCCTGCGGCGAGAACTCGATCGGATGAGCTCTCACCGTCTGCAGTAAACCAGGCCTGGCAGTCAAGCGTGCGCGGGCAATGCGGGGAGAGGTTGCGCGAGAGTTTGCTTGGGCGCAGTCGTCGGCAGGAGGCGTCCACTGGCCGTGAGTACCTCACATCACTGCGCGTTCGGAAGCGGGTGCGTTGATTGACTGCCCCGGGTGGTCTCCAGTGCCCTTCTTGGCTCCCAGGGTAACGCTAATTTACTGTCTCCCTACCCTTACCTCCTTCTCCCCTTTCTCCTCCTCCCACCCCTTCGTACCCCTCCTCCCCTGCAGCACAACAGGCAATGACACCTGCATCCACTCTGGCAGGTCCGCGCGGATGCCTGGGTTGGCGCCGGGTCCCTCCAACACACTACTTTTCATGCGCGGGGGAGGAGTGGCGGGGAGGGGGTCCAGAGCCCACCGAAAAGGTACACGCGGTCGTCCGAATGTGTATTTTCTGGTTTTCTTCCTGCTTCTCTCCTGCCGCCCTCCTGCTTTTCCCTCTCGGGATACGTCACAATCCGCGCCTCCCAGTCGGACATGATACTTCCCGTACCTCTCAGTTGGGTGCACGTCAATAGCTGTGCCCAGTAAGGTACGCCACGACCGTACCCCCCTGCCGGATATGTCAAGCTCTGGCCCCCCCCCCCTCATGCTGATGCCCGCCCCCCCCCCTTCCCCCGCGCGATGGGTCCGCCCCCCCCCACCCCCCTGTGGTCGTGGCACTGTGGGCTTGGCGTGGCTTTGGGTGCAGGTGCCCCCCCGCTTCCCCTGTGGTCGGGGAAGGGTAAGACTCCAGTGCGCCAGAACTCGGGTTCGCCTGCGTTTCTTGAGGATCACGCCCTGGATTTTGACGGTGTAGTGTTCGTGGGATGTCTGCAGCGGGAGCTCGCGTCAAATTTCAGAGTGGGTCTCGTCAGTTTCCTACCGGCCCCGTCAGGCCAACCCGAGTCCCCCGAACCCAAGTCATACGTCTCCCCGATGTGGGTGTGGGGTGGTGCTGCGTCGTCGCCGCCGCCGTCGCAGTCGCCGTCGCCGTCGTCGTCGTCGTCGTCGTCGTCGTCGCCCCTCCATCCCATCATGGGGGGGGGGCTGTTGAACCCTGGGGACTATTGCATCTGAGGGGGAGCCTGTGAACCCTCGACCCAGGATCATCTGTGTGTGTGTCCCGCTATCAGCACGGTCGGGCGTAGACGCGCGCGATCCGCCGCTTGCACTCGACCTTCTACGCCCCGTCGCCGCGTGCGGGGCCGCGACACCAAAAGGAGTGCGTCACGCTATCCACGCCCAGATGGCAGATGTCAGTAGGACCGCATCTCAAGTAATGCTTGAGGGCCCAGCCGCTGCGCGCATTGTTTGTGCGCTTTCTTCGTCTCGTCTCTGCGAGCGAGACCACTACCGCCAAAAAGTGCGTGTGTGTGTGTGTGGTTGTGTGTGTGTGTGCGTGTGCGTGTGCGTGTGCGTGTGCGAGTGCGTGCGTGTGCGTGCGTGCGTGCGTGGCGTGCGTGCGTGGCGTGTGTGCGTGTGCGTGCGCGTGCGCGTGCGCGTGGGTGTGCGTCTGTGGGTCTGTGTGCCTGTGTGCTTGTGTCTGTGTCTGTGTCGTTCTCTTCGCTCGTTCCCCCACCCTCGCCCCCCATCCCCAGCCCTGCCTCTTCGGGTCGCCCAGGGGCTCGGCTCGCCTCCTGGCTTGCCGGCCCCCGCTCGCACAGGGAAGTTGGCACCCACAGCGCGTGGGGCCCGCGTGGCAGCGAGTGCTCCTGCGCCCCTCGCCTCGGAGGAGGAGGACAAGGTACGCCACCCTCGCCTCGCTTTCGCCTCGTTGGGCCTCTTGGGAGGCTCGCGTCGCCGCCGCTGGATTCGCTTCGACGCGCCCCAGGAGAGGTCCGTGGAGTAGCGGTATCGGTGTTTTTTGTGTTTCCCCCAGTCCCTCCCTCCTTAGATGCTCGTTCTGGGGGCCTTCCCCGGGCCCACCGAGGGGATCTGTTCAGCCCGAGTTTGAATCAAGTTCGACGCGCAGTCGGCGCAGCGTCCGCGCAGGAGTGGAGCGTCTCAGATGGGGTCGGAGTAGATGTGGTCGGAGGATCTCGCCGCATCGCCGATGCATCGCCGATGCGGCTTGGTGTGGAGCCCGATTTTCTCCACGCGACGTCGGAGGTGCATCGCCGACGTCGCCAGTGCATCGTCGATGCACCGCCGATGCATCAGCGATGTATCGGCGATGCGGTGAGATCCTCCGACCCCATCTACTCGGACCCCATCTAGGAGGCCTCTGAGAAATGTCCCCGGGACGAGCTTCTAGCGTCTCGCCATCCCCTCCGCCACCGCCGAGGGACGTCATCGCCGACCACGACAAGGCCCTGGGCTACGTCCCGGGCGTAGAGTCCTTCGATCGTGGGGTTGTGAGGGTCGGGGGGGTGCAGGAGGAGGAGGAGGAGGAGGAGGAGGAGGAGGAGGAGGAGGGGGAGGAGGAGGAGGGGGACCAGTGCAAACCGACGACTCATCAGCGATGTTGGAATACACCCTCCCTCCAAGTTCCCTCTTCACAGGCCCCTGCAAGGGTTCATCTCCACTGGGGGAATTGCCCCGTAGGGGGACAACCGTGCAAGAATCTTGAAGCGCGCCCAAGCACCGTTCTCATGACTTCAACGCCACGACTTGACCTGATTATGAGGTCTTGGCAATCCTGAATCGTGCCAGAACGCCGCTCCTGGGAGTTCGACACAACGAATCGACGTAACTGCTGCGCCCTAGCAATCATGAGTCGGTTCAACACCGGTTTCGGCATGTTAACCATGGCAATTAATGCAACGTTCGCTATCTTATAGAACGAATGTGGGCGGCGCTAAAGCGAGAGCCACAGTTTGAAAGGGAGCCGCACTCAATCCGTGAAAGTATTGCTCAAGGTGTTCAGAACATGTGCGCGGGCTACGGCGAGAGCCCCATGTTGAAATCCGCTCGCCCTCAAGTATATAAGTTCTGGTATTTGTTGTAAGCAAGTGCGCGGGGCGCTCAAGCGAGAGCCACATTTTGAAAACCACCCGCCCTCCATCTGTGAAACTGCTGTCAAAGTGTAAGCTTCAGGGTCATGAGTGGTGTGGAAGTCTCAATAAAACGCCGTGCCCGCCCTGTCGACCGGCCTCGTTGCGAGAGAGGGAGGAGTTATGTATAAGAAAAAGAAATGGAGGAGGAAGAAGAGGGGGAAAAGGAAGAGGAGGAAGAGGAGGTGGAGGAGGAGGAGGAGGAGGAGGAGGAGGGGGAGGGGGAGGGGGAGTGGGAGTGAGGGGAGTGGGAGTGAGGAGTGAGTAGTGAGAGGGGGAGGATGATTGGCGGATGGGGTGAGGGTGAGGGGGGGGAGGAGGTGGGGGTGGATGAGGAAGAGCAGTAGGAGGAGGAGGCGGGGTAGGGGTGGAAGCGAGGGATGAGACGGGGAGGATGATGGATGGGAAGGGAGGAGGAGGATTAATAATGTGTGGGTGAGGAGGGAGGTGGAGAGGAGGAGGAGGAGGAGGAGGAGGAGCAGAAGGAACCCCTCCGCGCCACCCGCCCCTGCCTCCCGGCGCCCGCTCGAGGGTGGCGCGAGGCGGGGCGGCCTTCAAGAAGGCGGAGGGGGCTTCCCAGAAGGCAGGCGGCCTCGTCGAAGCCCTCCCGGCTTCCAGGAAGCCTTCTGGGAGGCCGCCAGGCTCTGTGAGAAGGCCACCACCTTCTAGAAGCCCCCCTGGCTTCTAGAAGCCTTCTAGAAGCCTGGCTCCTCCTCCTCCTCCTCCTCCTGCTCCTGCTCCTGCTCTTGCTCCTCCTCCTCCTCCTCCTCCTCCTCCTCCTTCTGCGAGGAAGCCTTCTAGAAGCCCCCCCTGGCTTCTGAGAAGGCCACACCCCTCGTGCCACCCCTCATTGGGGCACCGTCCCTGCAAAGCTGCCGGCCGAGGTCATGGACCACTACCCCGAGATGCTGCCCTCCTTCCGCGAGCTCGACCCAGCGGACCCGCACTTGAGCCCCCACCCCACACTGCGCGAGGGTGCGCCGAGACGGCCTTCTGCACGGAAGGCCAGGGCCGCCACGAGGCCAGTCAATCAGTCAGTCAGTCAAGCCTGGCGCCCATACGGCGCATTGGCAAATGAAGGTGCGTCAAGGCGCCTGGCGCCCACTCGTCGCAACAGGAGCGCGAAGACCATCACTCGCGACTCGCGACTCCACATCCTCACCCTCCTCGTCGTCCTCCTCTCCCCCGGGGGGGGGGGGGGAACGGCGCGAGAGCCCGCGAAGCGATGCGTGCGCCGCGCAGCGCGGGGAGCGCCGCCGAGACGCTGCAGCAGGGATCCGCCCGGGCCCAGCCGAGGGGCCCCCCTTCGCTGTCCACCCCCGCTTTGGTCCGATCGTGTATGGGTTGCGGCACCACGTGGCTCGGCCTTCCTCATCTGAGGAGTGCGGGTGGCAATTCGGGTGCGGTTACATATTTGGTTGGCTTTGCGGGTGTTTTGCCTTCGTATCGTGTTCGTCTTCAGCCTTATCCTTCAGTTGGCGGAGGCTGTCAGGCAATGTGAAGTGGGAAGATCGTGCATGGTTGGGCAGTGGAGACATCGATCACCAACCCCTATCCCCAATGGGCCACGGCATCTGAGCCCAGCCCGTTCACCCGCCCAGGTGGGGATGGGTCTTGCAAAACCCGATGGGAACGGCACGCGTCCCCCCCCAACCCAGGGGTGTAAATCTGCCAAGGGGGCCAAGGCCATGCCCGTGGGGATATGGATCTGTTAAACGATGTTCAAGTCGAAGAGGAGGTCGAGGAGAATAAGGATTGACCAGTGCAAACCCAAGACACACCAACGATGTTGGAATAAGCATTCCCTCCAATCTCCCTCTTAGGCCCCTACAAGGATTCATTTCAGCTGAGGGAATGCCCCGTTGGGAGACAACCGTTTGAAGATCTTGAAGAAGCGTGTGATAACACCATTATCGGGACTTCAACGCCACGAATCAACTTGATTGTTGCGTCTAGACGGTCCTGAATCGTGCCAGAGCGCAGTTCTTGGAATTCCACACTGCGAATGGACGTAACGGATGCGCCCTAATAATCCCGAATATTGCCCACACGCAGATTCTGACACGATACATATGACACACAATGAAATATGGCAAATGTTTAAAGCGAGTAAGCCTGGCGCTAAGGCGAGAGCCACTTTTTGAAAACGAACCGCCCTCAGTTCGTGAAACTGTTGCAGACGTTAAAGACAATCATGAACCAGTCGAACACAGCATGTCGAACATACCATTTCTGGTACGTCAACCGTGGCAATTCATGCAACTTTTGCTAACTTGCAGAAGAATTCGCGCGGCGCTAAGTCGAGAGCCACATTTTGAAAGGGTGTCGGCCTCAATCCGTGAAAGTCGTGCTATATTTTAAGACGAATTACCGCCCCCAATTCACGAAGCCCTTATACTTGTTTAACGAATGTGCGCGGTGCTGCGGCGAGAGCCACATTTGGAAAACCGCCCGCCCTCAGTTCGTGAAGTTCTTGCAAGTGTTTGAAAGGAACGCGCAGGGCGCTCAGGCGAGGACCACATTTTGAATACGATTCGCCTTGAACCAGTGCAACTCTTGCAAATTCTAGAGGCTTCGCGTATCCCCACCAGCCCATCCAGAAACGACGTCAAGGCGAGTTGAGGTGATCAGGGAAGTGTGGGAGCAAAGACGGGGACGGCCGAACCGTGCGAAGGAAGGAGGAGGAGAAGGTGGAGGCTGGATGGATGGATGAGGGAGTGGGAAGAAGGAACAACACTATCTGATGATGGTGATGAGGAGGAGGAGGAAGAGAAGGAGTAGGAGGAGGAGGAAGGAGCAGGAGGAGGAGGGCAAGCAAAAGCGCAAGAGGTCTCATGGATGCCTCTCTGGAGCCTCTTGGGATATCTCTTGGGCGCTTCTTGGAGGCCTCTTGAGACGTCTTGGGGGTCTCTTGGCGATCCTGGAGAACTCTTGTGCGTCTTGGGTGCCTGGGGGCGGCCTCTTGGGGCCGCTTGGGGTCCTCTTGAGGGTCTCTTGCAGGCCTCTTGAGGCCATTTTGGGGTCTCTTGGAGGACATCGCTCAAAGAAGGGGGCTCCCTTAATTAGCGCCACCCCCCCAAGAGGACAAGATGAGACCCAAACCATGGTAAAACCAATGATTTTGGCTTCCTCGCCGAGGCCGTTTTGGACGCCCTGACCGCTCGCGGGGCGCCCCGTCCAGGTCCAGGGGAGGAGGTAGGGGGACGGGTAAACCCTTCCCCGAAAGGGAAGAAGGGAGGAGGAAGAGGAAACGCTCTAGACCACCAACGCCCAGAGGGCTGGTGGGATTTTACGGACGAATGCGCGGTGCGCTAGGGCGAGAGCCACATTTTGGAAGCGACCCGCCCTCCATGTATGAAATTGCTGCCAACTTCTAAGCTTCAGGATTGTATATGGTAAGGCAGTCTCAGACGAAACGCCTGGCCCGCCCTCCCGACGGGCCTCGAGGTGCGAAAGGGAGGAAACCCTTTGTGATAAGGAAGGGAATGGAGACGGCTCGAAGGTGGCCGACCTTCCCTTGGGCCCTGGCACCTGGCACTGGCCACGCCCCGGCGCCGCCGCCAGCCTTCCCACAGGAGTCGGCCATTCCTCCGGCTCGGCCCTGGCCGTTGGCACCGCCTCGTGCCGGCGCCGCCGGGCCTCCCCGCCGCCTGGCCGTGCCCAAGCCTGCCATGCCGCGGCATGTGGCACGGCGCAGCGACGTGCGCTGCCGCTGGCCTCCCTTCGGGTATGGCCAGGACCCCTGTTAAGGGGAGCCGGTTAGTGATTGGGCCCCGGAGCCCAAAATATTGACTGGAATCACTAAACCAGGTCTGCCGTAGCTGGTGCTTTTCGGGTGACGTCCGTTCCGGTTAGTTGAATGGGGTGTGGGGGGGGGACGTTCCGCAGTACACATCAATAAACCAGGTCCCACTAAACCCAGTTTTGCCAACGCCCGATCGCTGGCGTAGTCGAGGGGAGGAGCACGATGACCATGACCAAGATGTCGCGGGATCTTGTCGACAGCAGTTGGTGAGGCTCTGGGTGGGGATGGGGAGGTAGCATCGATGCCCCCATGCAGAGACTCGAGGGCGGCAAGCCGGGCTCAGGCCGTTTTTTGTGCCTGTCCTTGCTGTCAGGGGTGTTCTGATTTTCTGTGTGTTTGAGTTCTGTTCGAGAATCATCCGCTCTCACATTTACGTGCAAGAGACGGGGCTTCCGCTGGGCCTCCGCCGCGCCGCGGTCACGGTAGGGTTCTTGCCCTTCGCCATGCGGGAGTTGGGTCTTGAGGTTTTTCGCAGTGTTCAAGTTTTCGGGGCCCTCCACGGGCCCCGGGACTTTCAGAAAACGATTCACGGTGAAGAACTCGTCCTGGGGGGAGACCCTGGGGTTCAAGACCCGTTTCCCTCGGGACCCATTTCCCACATGCTAACGGAGCTTTCGTCGGGCCTCCGTTGCGGCCACGGTGGGGCTGATGTCTTGGGAGGTTCGGCATTCTGGGGGAAGCGAACGAGAGGAGGGGGATAGGCACATGGGGGGCGCATCGACCTCGAATCGCTCATTGATCGCACATAGGGGCCCGATAGCCCCAACCTGCCCAGGAACGTTGGGATTTACTGTCGTGGGCCTGTTGCCGATCTATCGGCGATGTATCGCCGATTCCAGGTCGATGTCCCCCCTTATGCAAGTACTCGCCCTATCGTTGCCCCTCTGGTACGATCGAATTTGGTATGAATCGGGAAGCAGACAATGTCATGAACATAACAAATTGGCGGCCCGCGCGGATTTTTCGGGTCGGCACTGGACCCCCTTTGCGCGCAAGGGGTGGCGCCAGAGGCGCCGCCAGGAGGCCCCAGCGCCGATCCGAGGAATCCGCGCGGACCTCTGAGTTGTCATGTTTATGTCACTGTTGTTTCAAGAAGGAAAAACCACCCAGACCCGATAGTTGGCGTTTACAAAACGGCCCTGGGCGTTTATTGAAGAGCTCTGCCCTGTTCGATCCTTTCTGTGGGTGCGTTCACTAAACGGGGATTTCCTGCTCTCTATGGTTGCCCAAATGAAGGCCGATGCCGTTTTCTCTTCATTGTGAGCAGGACTCGCTGCCGGCGCCCCCGCGGACGCTGTCCATTAGAGACAGGGAGCCGTTTGCCCAACAGTGGCCGCTGTCGGTTTTGACCTCTGTCCCCATACCGGGCGTCCAGAGCGGCACGGGGGGTGGGGGGGGGGCAGTTCGATCCAGCCAAACGGGAGCACGCTTGGACAGGAATATACTGGCAAGCTGGCTCGCATGGAGGGGGGCTCGCCAGCGAGCCCTGAGTGAAAGCTGGAGACTCCGCGCAAGACGAGGCTTAATAATCGCACTCCTCGTCGGCCCAGAACTGAATGAAGAGGTGGTGGGGGTGAAACGGGAAGATGCAGGGGGCAAAATGAAATGAAAGTACCCGTCGGTTGCTGAAAGTAGTTATTTCTGGATTCCGAGATCCCACTCTAATTATTTCAAGTGTCGATCGGCTTTTCCTCCTCTTCTGGTGGCGGGCCGAATTCACTGGTCACGCCTTCCCATGCCACGTTTCTGCCCACCTTTTCCGACCGATGCGCAAGCTCGCCAGAACCCAAACCAGTACAGGCTCCAGTCATCGAGAAGGCGGCCCACGAGGGAGAGAGAGAGAGAGAGAGAGAGAGAGACCTCTTGAGGCCTCCCATGGCCCCCGCCACCGTCCGCAGCCCCCCCTGAAGTATTCTGGAAGCAGGAAAGGGGCGTGGCGTGAAGGGGTATGGTGCCAGTGGTGAGCCTGGCGATGCCATCTATCGCAGATGGCATCTCGATTTCCACGGTGGGCACCACACCTCTCTGTGCCATACTCCTTTCCGACTTGCAGAAGTATCCGAGCCTCATGCAGGCTCCGGGGGCCTTGGTACCTCGGGCAGCCCTCCCCAGAAGCCAAGGGCGCTCTCGAGGGCGCGAAGTCCTTCGCGCTTCGCGGTTCGGCTCCGATTCCTCCTCCTTCTCCTCTTCTCCCCTGGGAGGCGGCGCGAGAGCGCGAAGTTATTCGCGCTTCGCGCAGCGCGAAGCGCGAAGTGGGGAGCCCTTGGAAGCCTCCGAGCCTCGGAGGCTGCAAGGGGGTTGCCAGAGAGGCGCCTCGGGCCTTCAGGGCGGCCTCTGGGAGGCCGAGGCCGCCCGAGGCCTCCGCAAGCAGCCAAGCACCCCTCGGCTCCTGCTCTCCCTCCTCCCTCCTCTACCCTCCTCCTTCCCCTCCTCCTCCCCCTCCTCCCCCTCCTCCTCCCCCTCCTCCCTCCTCCCCCTCCTCCTCCCCCTCAGCCTCACCCCTCGGCTCCTCCTCCCCCTCCTCCTCCCCCTCCTTCCTCCTCTACCCTGGAAGAGTTGGAGGCGCTCGCGAAGAAGGCTCAGCCGTCGATCCGACGACGACGACGACGACGACGACGACGACGACGACGACGACGACGACGACGACGACGACGACGACGACGACGCCGCCGACCGACGACGACGCCGACGCCGACGCCGACGCCGCCGACGCCGACGCCGACGCCGACGCCGACGCCGACGCCGCCGACGCCGACGCCGACGCCGCCGCCGCCGACGACGACGACGACGACGATCACGAGCGATGTCAGCCAGAGGCGGCGGCCCGCACTAGGCTGCGCGGCAGCAGGGCCGGCCCAGCGTGCGCGGGTGGTCTGAGTGGGCGGGGGGGGCGCGGCTCCGCTCTCCTCTTCTTCCTCCACCTTCTCTTCCTCCCCCTCCTCCCCCTCCTCCTCCTCCTCCTCATCCTCCTTCTCGTTCTCTCTCCTCCCCCTCCTCCTCCTCCTCCTTCTCCTCCTCCTCCTCCTCCTCCTCCTCCTCCTCCTCCTCCTCTCCTCCTCCTCCTCCTCCTCCTCCTCCTCCCCCTCTTCTCCTCTTCTTCCTCCCCCTCTTCTCCCCTTCTTCCTCCCCCTCCTCCTCCTCCTCCTCTTCCTAAGGGGGACGAGCGAGAAATGGCATATACATAAAAACTCGGAAGTCCGCGCGGATTTCTCGGATCAGCGCTGAACACCCTTTCCTGGGGCGCGGAGCGCGTCAGGGGCGGCTCCGGGGGCGCCGCTGGGGGGCCCCAGCGCCGATCCGAGAAATCCGCGCGGACCTCCGAGTTTTTATCTTTCTGTCACTCTTTGTTCCCCTATTCCTCCACCACTCTTCCTCCCCCTCCTCCTCCTCCTCCTCCTCTGGCCGCGCCAGTATAGACTGCTTTCGAGCCGACGGCGCCACCCCCCTCTCCTGCCTCCTCTTGTTTTAGCCCTATTCGAAGCAGGAGGAGCCTGGAGCTGGGAGAACTGCCTGGAGCCCTTGAAGGGCAGGCATCCACATCAGGACAAGAGGGAGAGGAATGTAAGATTCCTGCCCTCACCTAGGTCCTGTTAGGTTCTCTTGATTGATGGCGATATCTGTTGAGGTGTATAAGAAACGTCGTCGCCGCTGTCGTCGGCGTTGGCGGCATCATCATCGTCAGCGTTGTCCGCGCCGACTACGCCGACCATACTGTCGTGGTCATGTCGTCAGCATCGGTGCCTTTGCCGTCGCCTGGGTTTGGCGGGTGCCCCGATACCGAGGAGCGGCGGGCGGTGCAGTTCACGCAGTGCAGCCTGTGCTTCAACCACGGCTGGTTCGTGCAGGCGGCCCCCCCCGTAGGACGGTTGCGGCGATGATGGAGGTGTTGATGGTGATGGTGATGGTGATGATCATGTTGACGGCTGTGGGTTTGTGATGGTTTTCAAGTGTACCCAATACATTGGGGCATGATTCTCTGGTTGCCAAGTCACACTAAATTGTGTTGGAAAGACGTGTCGCCCAAACCCAAACCAGTGTTGCGTGCCGATTCGCATTGTATGCGCCTGGCTTCTGTCACGCCAATGACGATGATGATTAGAAGTTGGAAGAGGACGAGGACGAGGAGGAGATGGAGGAGGAGGAGGAGGAGGAGGAGGAAGACGAGGTGGAGGACGAGGAGGAGGAGGAGGAGGAGGAGGAGGAGGAGGAGGAGGAGGAGGAGGAGGAGGGGGAGTTTCTGGTGCGGTAGGCTCGCGCCGCGTTGTCGCTGCGGCGACCCTGGCGCAGGCGTTCAAGGTCGAGAGCCGCCAGAGGGCCGCCACTGGCCCGAAAGCAGGCAGTGGTCCTGAAATGTGATCTGCGCAACTGGAAAGCCGCGATCGGTCAAGGTTGCAAGATCCGTTGTGGTGCCAGGAAATATCGCGGTCGCCACGGCAGCGATCGGTCAAGGTTGCAAGATCCTTTGTGATGCGAGGAAGTATCGCGGTCGTCACGGCAGCGATCGGTCAAGGTTGCAAGATCTTTTGCGGTGCCAGGAAGTACCGCGGTGGTCGCCACGGCAGGGAGCAGGCTGGGCCCTGTCCTCCCAAGACCCTGACGCGTTGTGGCAAAATCACGATGGAATGTTTTTTGTTGTTGTTGTCGTCGTCGTCATCGTCGTCTTTACATTTTCGGCCCAAGGGGCATCGCTGGACCCAGGGACTGTCGAGCATCCGGTCCTGGTGACAAACCCAGGGCGGCCCCCTGAATGGTGCGATGACCACACCGTGTGGTGAGCCAGCTGGGCTTCGGGGTGACCAGACGGTTTTGGGAATCGGGTCGTTCTCCAAGGACGTATCGGGCGACAGGGGCTTCCAGGTTTTCAAACCCGTGCGGGGACGGACCGTGCGGTAAGGCATTCGAGGATTTCGAGGCCACTGCACTGTCGGTCGCCGCACCGTTTCGGGGGCCTCCATTCGAGCTGCTCATGAAGAATGCCCTGGGGTCCAGGACCCACTTCTTTCTCTTTGCGCGTTCCGCTACTCGCACATGTCTTCCTATACCTACTGGATCGTAGATCCCCCGCGGCGGATCCAGGCTATTTGCGAGTAGTTACGTTGATAGTAGTGGACGCGCTCGTCTATTCTTCCAGGACGCGGTTCCCGCATGGCCGTCGCAGCACCTGCCGAGGTTGCACGTCCCCCGCCCCCATACTTCATCCCAAAACATGGGCGTCGGGGAGACACACATATGACACTGCGGTTGGCGTCTTTGCCCGCGTTTCGGAGCCCCTTGGCAAGAGCTCCAGACCTTCGTTGGGTCCACGTTGTTAACACGATTGGATGGGGGGCCCGAGCCATAATCTTTCACTATGGTGCACGTTCCGAGACGCCAGAGCACACGTGAGGACGAGGAAAGGAAGAGGTAGAGGAAGGAGCATGATGACGAGGACGTGGACGAGGAGTTAGAGCGGGGGGAGGGAGCAGAACCAATCTTGGCCGACCTCTCCTCCCCCCCCTCCTCCCCGCTTTTTTCCCATCCCTGCTGCTTCCTCCTCCTCCTCCCTCTTCCCCCTCCTTCCCTCCCCTGTTCCCTCCCCCTGCCTCCTCCTTCTGACTTGGGAAAGTTCGGGGCCCCACCCTAATGCCTAGTTGTGCCCTGGGGTAGGGCCGTGGCGGCCCTGGTCGGCCCCAGGGGCGCCGATCCGATAGTTTCTCGGATGGCCCCGCGGAGCGGGGGCCGCCCGCAGTGTCGCAACCCATGGCGACAAAGCGTCGAGAGTTTGCCAACCGTTGCATGATGCGCAGTGCGTGCCGCAAGGAAGCGGGAGATGCGAGACAAGTTGGAAAGCGAAGGGTCCGCAGTGGGACCGAGCAGGCACAGACAAGGTCGATCCCCGACCTTTCCCCCCTCCCCCACCCCTCCACTGGGCACTGCGTCAAGAAGCAGACCAGGGCCGCCCCGTGCTGCCTGCCTGTTTTGCAGCGTTTCCTGGTCACAGGATTGCGTTTTATTGCTTCCTGTGTTGTGGATGCTTACTTGGCTTTCGTACAGTTTTTTTTTTCGAAAATGCTGATACATTCCCCAAACAGTCCTTGCACTGAGGGTTCTTGCCTGTTGCTCTGAGGGAACTGGGCCTAGGTTTATGTCGGGCCTGTCCCTCCACAGGAGGAATATCCAAAAATAGTCAAACAATAGTCTGGGTACTATTTTTTGAGCATGTTTTAACCATTTGGGGGTATTTTGGATTTTTTACTTTTCGCCCAAAATCCCCCTGGAGGGGGACAGGCCCGGCATAAGCCTAGGTGTCTGGCGGCCTCGTGGCCGTCGCCGCCCCGTCGCCACCTCCTTGCCGCCCGCCGTCTGGGCTCGGGTGCCGGTCTGGCGACTCCGCGTTCACCGTCGCCGCTCCGTCTCGACCCCCCTTTGGGGATGTTCAAATTACAGATGCCAGGGCGCCCTCGAGGGCACGAAGTTATTCGCGCTTCGCGCTTCGTAGTTCGGCTCCGATTCCTCTTCATCCTGCTCTTCTTCCCTGGGAGACGGCGCGAGAGGGCGAAGGTACTCGCGCTTCGCGCATCGCGCAGCGCGAAGCGCGCAGTTGGGAGCCCTTGAGATGAGTCTGCCTCATCGTTCATTCGAGGTATGAGCTTGTCTTGTCCCAGCCAAACCAGGTTCGACGCCCCCACCGTCATCTGCAGCAGACACTGTGCGAGCACACCCGTGGATCAACAGTGGTCAACGTTCAAGAATCCCTGGCCAACAATGTGCTGAAGTGCACACGCGTCCGTCGTCGCGCGCGCGTGCCAGAATCATACCGTTTGGCGTGCACGCTGGCCAACAGATTGCGCTTGTTGCAGCGCCGCGTTTTGCCGACAGCCTCACGGCTTCACCATCGTCGCATTCAGGAGAATCGGGCGCTTGTTGTGCCCCCCCCCCCGCCCAGCGTGCCCAGGCGGAGGCCCCCCCGGGTGCCACGCTGACGAAGTTCCGCGAGGCCCGCTCTCGCGCGCGACGACCCGGCCCCGGTGGCGGTCGTCACGAGGAGGAGGGGTGGCGGGTGGTCATTATTTCTCACGCCGTAGCTTTTCGGCTCCAGGAGTTTAGAGGAGCGAGCTTTAACTCACGGCATCCGCACGCAACGGGGGATCACTCCTGAGAGCGTTGGAAAACCCTATTTGCCTTGATCCCCCTTGCACACTCGTTCGGGGCGTCTGCGGCGGGGGTGACGTGACCCAGATGCGGCGTCACCCCAGCATACTTATGCTAAATGTGCGTCGCCCCCCCAGGGGCGACGCGCGCACCGAGAAATCTTCTAGTATATGCGTCGTGGCGGCGCTATCTGGTCACACCGCTCGGGAAACGATCTACTACAATATGGGTATACTATATGATCGTGTCGGACGCGCGCCTCCAAGGAGGACATATAGTACTAGTATGTCTTTGTGCCTCTCACAGATGGCGCATATTCAAGGGAGGGAAACACACTCGGACCTGATAACTGGCGTTTCCTAAACGGCCCTGGGCGTTTACTAATCAGCCCTGCCCTGTTCGATTCCTTATTTAGGTGCGTTTACTCAACGGCTTCGCGTGTCGGGGTGGAGTTTCTGCCCTCTACAGATGCAGCCTCATCAGGAGCGCGGGACGATGTTCGGAACGAAGGGGCCCTCCTGGCCACAGCGAGCCTCGGCCACGAGCAGAGACGAGCAGAGCCCAGAGTGGGCCTTTGTCCGGCGTCTTGGCCGTAGCATGGGGGGGGGGCAGGAGATCTCCGCGGATTTCAGGGCTCCCGTCCTCATGCAGGCGGACCCTGGACGAAGCATAAGAAGATAGCAAAACTACGCTCAGGCATGGGCAAACATGATCCAGAGTCCCCAGACTCTTTCTGTTGTGTGACCAGTCTTGAGCACTCCTCCTGTGGAGGGACATGCCCGACTCAATTCTCCCTTGTGGTCCCGCTTCCCTGGAGCTGGGAGTCGTACTGACTTGGCCTCGCACGCAGAGTCTTCCGCGCGATCCATCGAAGGACGCTGCCGCGCTGTGCTGTCGTCCTGCCCCCTCGTGGGGCCTCTTCGGAGCCAGGACCTTTGCCTTACCTACCTTCCCCCCTTTGTGCCCCCCGGGGGCCGCGCGCGCGCCTCGGGCCATCATATCTGCAACCCCCCCTTTGGACCCCCCCCCCCACCCAGGGCTGGACCTCAACTTATGTCGGGCGTGCCCCCCTACAGGAGGATTTTCGACGAAACATAAAAAATGCACAAAAGTACCCCAATGAGGTCAACAACATATTAGAGAAATAGTCCCCAGACTTTTTTATTTTTGTTTGTTTATTAGCATTTGTGTATTTTTTATTTTCGTCGAAAATCCCCCGGTAGGGGGACAGGCCCGACTTAAACCTCAACGGTGTGTTTGGTGACTTCGTGGGCCGTTCTCGTTTCGACCTCGTTGTGCGGTAGAGGCGGATTCGAGACAAAAAAGCGAGGGAAAGCGACAACAAAACGAGAACGAAACACACCATGTAGGTTCAGCCCTGCCCTGACCCCCTCGCGTCGTGACACAACGGCCCTTTTCCGAGGCGGGAATTTACACATGACCACCGCCTGGAGGGTCAGTGTTCGGAGCCTCGGCAGGCGGTGGATGTGGTCATATTCGGGCCCCCAGGGGCCGAAGTATATCCATATCCACCGCCCGCTGGGGCACTAGGACGTCGGTTCCCAGGCGGTGGATATAGATAAATCCCCGCCTCGCACCTTTACTACATGCTCGGTCTCCGATGGCCCTTACTGGGGCCCGGGGACCGTCGAACAGCTGCACAGTATGACAATTGTTGGGAAGGAGTTCGGACCTCTTGGGAGCCACGTCGTGTGAAAATACGACGTCGGATGTCTGAGTATGGCGAAAGGCTCCAAGGACCCCTGACTGTTCCTGCCAGGAGCCCGGTCGTCAGGCCGAGTTCCTGGAAGAAGGACTGGAGATTCACGTTCGTCGTGAAGACAAGAAAAGGATCTTGGAGTCCGTTCCTTAAGTCTGGCGAGGTCTGACGAAAGGGGGCGAGATCGGACCGGAGTCCTGAAGGAAACGGGTCTATTTTGGACGTGTTTCGTCGTGGTTCTGATTCTTGGGACCATTCTTGGGCCCAGGGGAACGATGAGAAGCAAGTCCGGGTGGTCCAGGGACCCAGGACCCCATTGTTCCATGCCATGTTGTGTTCCAGGGAGCTTGTCGCTCGGAGGCTTGCTTGGTTATAGTTATCAGCTTGAAGCATATCCCTGTCCTTGTGATTCCCATCACCTGATCTCAGTGCCCATCGTAGGGATTCCCTCATTTTCTGAGGGCGCATCCCTAAGATTGTCATCGCTTTGAGCCTGCCGATCTTAGGGATAGGGATAAGTTCGAGACTGGTTGTTTGGGGGACGCCTTGGGAGGTCCGCTGCTGCCGACGCCTTCACTTTGAGGTTTTGAGCAACAAGACGTGGCACCCCTCCTTGTATGCTGCCGACCTCCTCGCCGTCTGTTCGGAGTGATGCGTGGCAACGGATGTACTTGCCATCGACGATCGCCGTGTAGCTCCTCTCCTTCGCCGTGCCGCGCTTGCGGTGCGGACTTGGATTCCGACGGACAGGTTTCGCCTCCGCTGTAGAAGAAGTTTCATCCGCAAAATCCACATCTCCACTTGCACGTACATACAGAGTCTTACGTCGATCATGACCGTCTGTGGGGGAGGAATCCTGCTCGTGGGTCTCAGTGGTCTCATTTAGTGACCGTAATAGGAGTCGAGCATACTCTTCCCGTAGATATGATCAAACTCAAGGTCCGACTGAGTATAATCGATACATGCGAGGTGATCGAGCGTGCGGTTCATGCCGTCCTGAGCCTCACGACGCTGAACTGCCACAGACTTCGCTTGTCACAACGACAACTTGAGTACTGACAGCTCGTGCTCATGCTTGCTCAGCTGTGTGCCCGATCTTTGTCATTGGAGCAAGAGGTTCGTCACTGAACCGATGCGATCCTCGACCGTGTGCTTACATGAGTGCATGTGTGATGGAACCTCAGGCGCCGCAACGCAGCTAGAGTGCTTGAGTGCGTAGTCCGGCGTTCTTGTCACGTGTTCACCAACCAGTGCATTATTGTCTGCAGTGTTCTGAGCAGCTTCCTGCTGCTTCCCTCTCTGATGTGTCATTCGCGGCTGGCCCTTGCGATGGGCTCGCTCGCAGTCCGAGCCCCCGCAAGACCCATCGAAGCTCAGCACGACAACGACCAGAGATCCATCTCCCAGGGAAATCATGCTGTCTGCCCGCCAGCATCTCGACACCGAGGGTCTGCTGGAAGCTGCTATGCTGCTTCTTCAGCCAGCGCTGCGCCCTGATGGCTCGAAGAACCGCTCCGGCTGATGCTCTCATTCACGACGGCCACGCCGATGCCGAGCTGGTTCTGGCCGACTGGCCGCTGGCACCTGCCCCGCGGGGGATTATGGCGGGGGCCCTCCCCCCCGCACGGCCCCTGTGGCTGGCGCCGCGCCGCCGCCGCCCCCCCCGTGGGGCCAGCCGAGCGCGCGGCCGTCCCACCCCGAGCGGGCAGAGGGCTCCAGCCCCCCGCCCTCCCCCTTCCCCTGGCCTTGGCCGGTGGAGAACTCGGGCAGAGGCGTGCCGACACGTGAGCACGCAGATGTGTGTTCAGATGTGGGTTCGTCACCCTGGCCCGAGCACTGACCACCCAGCCTCCGACAGCTCACCTCGAAGCGCACGATCCGCGTCTACACGGACGCCACGTGCGCCAGGCTCCAAGCCAGGCTGAATTTGAGCTTGCGCGAAGCGCGTGCGATGCTTCTAGGATGCTGCATTGCCTCCATCCGTCCCCCTCGTCATCGCCCCCCTAGAAGCACTCCCCCCCACGCCCTCCAGCGCTGCCTCGGTGCAGCTCTTAGCCTCCTGGCGCGCCCAGGAGGGTGGGGGGGGCAGCGGTCGTTCTCCCGAGATCCCTGGGCCAGCCAGGCATCCGCCGTCGCACGTGCGAATGTCCCACCAGCCGTGGTCATCACATTCATCTCCCCTTCCTTACATTCATCTCCCACATTCATCTCCCACATTCATCTCACATTCACTATGAATATGAATATGCTCTCACATTCATCTCCCCCTTCTCTGCCCGCTCCCTCCCGTCTCCCTCCTTATTCTCCCGCTGCCCCCTCTTTCATTCTCCGGCGGCCCCCTCCGCAGCAAGACCCCTGGGCCCTCTGGAGAGCAGACCAGCGACGAGCACGGCGGCGGGCGCGATGAAGGTGCGCCGCAGTCGCTGGATCGTCGCAGCGCTGCGGCCGCTCGCGGCCACCGGGGGCGCGCGAGCACGCGCGCGCGCGGCGCAGGTGGTCGCTCGCGACCAGAAGTCCCGCTTCGGGACTGGCAGGGCGGGGCTCTGCGGCCGGGGGGCGTGCCCAGATCTCCCACGATGCGGCTGCTTCGCAACGTCGACCCGCCGGAGGTCTCGACCCCGTTCCCCGGGGCTGGTCTTCCATCCCACGCCGATGTGTGGCAGTGCTGGGGCCTGGCGAGGGCCTCCAGGGGCCAAGACTCTGTGTTCTGTGTTCCACGGCGCGAGGGGGTCGGGACAACGAGCTTCAACACCCATGGCACGAAGACCAGCGAGGCACATTTTATCGGATGGCCTTCGGCCCATCCCGCCAACGTGCCTGGCTTGTGGTGATGAAGCCTATTGGCTGTTTGTTGGGATCTCGTGCGAGGCTTCTTGGGGCGTCCAGTTCCAATTCGGTTCTGGTTCTGGTCTGGTGCGGTCCCGATCGATTCGGTTCCGCGAGAGTTCGGTTCGGTCCGGTTCGGTTCTGATGTCCCTTGTCTAGGCTCGGTTCGGTCGGGTCCAGTCAAGGTTATAGGTTATCGGTTCGGTTCAGTGTTTTCGTGATAAATGTGAAATGCCCTTGTGCAGCAATAAGCAACCCTCCATTTAGCGTTCCGGAACGCTCTCGGAGCTTTCCCGAGCGTTCTGGAGCGCTCTTGCACGGCCGCGGCGCCCGAGATGTCATCCAGAGCCGCTGGATCTCGGTCTTTGCTCTGTCTAACGCCGCTTGCGCGCACAGCTCGGCGCAGCCAACCGCATTACGGAATATGTTGCATTTTCCATTGAGTATTACAGCAGGGCTCATTTCGACTCCTCCGATTCGATTCGATTTCGATGGCTTCCGATTCCGATTCGATTCGACTTGGGATTCCGATTTGGGCTCCGATGTCCTATTGGAGGCATACTAGCCTGCCGATTTCCGCCGATTCGACTGTTCCCGACTCGGCTGCCGATTTCCGCCGATCCGATTCATCTCGATCGCCGATCCGACTTATCGATTCGATTCTGGGCTCTCTTGTTGCAGCGAGCGGTAGAGGACCGGCCACCGCTCTTGTTCATTCGGTGTGCTTGGAGGCCAACTAGTCCTCGCATTCATCTGGAGCCGGGGGGGAGATTCTGCACCCTGCACACCCAAGCCAACGGCAAGGCAATCCAAGAATATACGTAGCCACTTTGGCTCAATGCTTGTTTCTGCAGTAGCACCGGCAGTCAGTTGGCGAAGCCGCGCTTGCTTTTGTTGGCTCGTCTCGCCACAATGGAAGATAGGGATGCCAGAAGCGCATTTGTGCCCCGACGAGGTGGACGTGCGCGGAAGGGTCCAGTTTCGATAGCATGTTGCGTATTTTTCAATTTCGTGCTTTTCGTTCTCTTCATAGCTTTCTTCCCTGTTATATTCGTCCTGTTCTGCGTGTTGACCGCTGTGAACTGTCTGGATTGTCTAGTACATCCCAGCAGGGAATACTTGGATGGTATCGCTGCCAATCAAATCAATTTCATCCCTGAGGCTACGATTCATGGAATTCTCATTGGCTCATCTCGAGAAACTGCAGAGAAAGTGTTCGATAAGTTTGACGAGTCGTATCTGCGCTCAGACCTGCCCGCCTGGCGTCGGTGGAAACAGCGGATCGTGCGGCGTTGTTGGTTGTGGTCGTATTGGGTTGATGCTTCTGCAACGTTTGATCGATCACGCCATTTCCGTGCGTTTCAAGAGCCGATCACAAAAGCAGAATTGGAGCGATCCCTCGGCCAGATAGAGGCGGAAGTGCTCGATTTCGACAACCCGCCATGGGAAGTGAGGCATTACGAGAATTTCACAGACGACGACGGGAGGCAGTGCTCCGCAACCATGCTCAGAATTCACCATGCCATGGCTGATGGCTTCACGGGACTGAGAGTCATGATGCAGGCGGCCACTCCAAGCAAGCCCCCCGAAGCCACGAGCTCGGGAGTAGGCCGGGCACAGCCTCCACGATCGAAGATCGGCTTCTTGCGGAAAGCCCGCTTCTTTTTGGCATCGGTGAAAAAGCTCGTTCTGATGGCGCCCGACCAGGCTTCAGTCTTCAAGGCGTCAGCCCACATTGCCGCGCCAGATCGCAAAGTGTCTGCGTGGAAGACTCTCAGGTCCAGCGGGTGTTCTGTGGAGCAGCTCAAGGTTTTGGGCAAAGCCTTGGGTGGCCCAGGTTGCACCATCAATGATGTGCTTATGACTGTGGTCGCAGGCGCTCTGGGTCAGTACGCACGCGGTCAGAGCAGTCGTCATCAAGGAGGGGCGCCCGTTCCACACGAAGTCACAGCATGCACATGGGTTTCTTTAAGTCCGCTCAGCCACATTTATAAAGACTTTGACGACTTGCCTCTGAAGTGGGGGAACAGCACGTTAGGTGCTGTATACATCCCCCTTCCGATGGGAGAACTTGGATGCAAGGAGACATTGGAGACGATGCGCGCTCATACAAACGATCCGTCTTTGCCCATCGAAGCTGGTGTGGGTTCTATGCTCATGCACCTCATGGGTTGGCTTCCCCCTGCAATTATGCGGCCACTCTGGCCCGCGCTCGCTTATAAGTCTACGATATCTGTGAGTAACGTGCCTGGGCCGCAGTTCCCTTTGGAATGGTGCGGAATGCCAACACGGTCAATGATGTTCTTCGTGCCACCAACTGGTGTTTTGTCAGTTTTCGTTACCATGGCAACGTACAATGGCGAGCTCTCGGTCGGAATGTCTGCCGATGGTGCGCTTCTTCCACAGGAGGCGCTCGAGAATATTGTCGGGGAGCTGATCGAGCTTGAGATCGTCAGGCTTCAGAAGGAAGCGGGTGTTGGAGCTTAAGTGGCAGACTTGTGGAGATTGATTATCGTACGTTTGACAGTGAAGTGTTGCAACTGCATTGTCAACGAAGACGATCCAGAAGAGGTGTCTCCAGTGGCCAGACCGCCGAGATGCAGGACAGCTGTCCCTCGGACCAGACGTGTGTTCCATGCAGACTGCTTGCGAATTGGAGACGTGGGGTGATGATGATGAGATGTTTGGAGTCGATTTGAAAAATGAATGTGCACGTAATTACGCGCAGGGAGTTACCAGGAACCAGGGCGTGGAACATTATAATGAACCAGAAATGCGCGCAGGGAGTACCAGGAATTTTCGGATCCCGACAAACGTGTGGACATCGCGCTACGATGTTTCTTTGTGCTCCCTGAGTCCCCAGAGGCCCACACTCAGACGCGCTGGTCGGGACGCCATTGGCGTTGCGACCAGGTCGCGGGCGCGTGAGCGTAGGCCACCAGAGCAGCCAGCAGTATGGAAAGAGTGGCTTACAGAGCTTTATCGTAACAGTTGTGGGTGGTATGTCAGCGCATTCGGAGCAAGCCATTATCCATATCAATGCGAATCCGTGCGTGGGTATTGAATGCCTTCGGCCCATCCCGCCACCGTGCCTGGGCTGTGGTTCAGAGGCCTCCTGGATGCATATGAGGGTCTCTTGGGATGCCGAGGGATCTTGTGGGCTCCTGGGGGGCCTGTTGAGGGCCTCTTGGGGTCGGGAGCCTCTGGGAGGCTCTCCGGCCGTCTTCAAGCCATCTTGAGGATCTGGGCGCGATCGTCATGCGACTCGAGGCTCTATTGGGCCGTCTCCGCGGCCTCCTAGGTCCATCTGGGCCCGTCTTGGAACCCTCCTGGCTTCCAGACGACGCACGCGACACACCCCAGGGGCTGTCAGAAATTCTCGAGAGCGCCCAGGAAACCGGGTGTCCGGGTCTTTTAACATTACAACATATTGGCAGCAGCAGCATCAGCATTGCTGTGAGCCGAGCCTTGAGGCGCTCCATTTCGTGACCAGGGCACGGTGGCGGATGCTTCTAGATCAGGAGGAATGGCGGTCCTTGGAGGCTTTCGGAGGCACAAATAAGTCCCAACACGTCGAACACCTCAGTATTCAACTCTGGGACCTCGATCCTCGTTTCTCGACGACGTCGACGACGGGCTCGTGAAAGGTCCGAAGATTGTGCCTGGGAGGGGCACGAGGTAAGTTTCCGTGTGTGTTCGAGTATATCCAGAAAGTTTCTCGAGTTGTCTCATCACGAAGAGTGATCCTGAGCCGTTGGCAGCTCTTGTGCTCCTCAAACAACTGCCCGGGATGGAGAAGGTGCCTCAAGGAAAGTCCCAGGGGATGCAGGATTCGTCTCCCTCAGGACAAGTTTCCTTCATAGCCAATGTGTTTTCGGAGGCGTTAGGAACTTAGAGGACAATGTATCTGATTCCATACAGACGCCGAGACGAAGCGATCTGTGCCTCATGGAGCATGCCATCGTGTGCATTCGCGCGTGGGAGCCTGCGTTACTGCGTTCGGGAGTCGGAAATGAACTGGGGCTATGTTGACAGCATTGGGGTGAATCTGAGGTGCAGCAGGATCGAAGGCGAAGCATACCCAGGGGCCACTTCGGTGCATCTGTTGGTAGCTGTGTAGTGGCCATGTCGGCCCGTGCGCGCCAACACAGTCACAGAAGCGAGACGTCACCCTCGGGGAGCGGGCCTGGCAGCTTGTGTGTTTTCTCTGTTCGGCCGTTCCTGAGCCTCTGGATGGCCGGGAGTACGTGGAGTTAGGGAGGAAAAGGAGGAGGCCCAGGAGGAGCAGGAGGAGGAGGAGGAGGAGGAGGAGGAGGAGGAGGAGGAGGAGCAGCAGGAGTACGTGGAGTTAGGGAGGAGGAGGAGCAGGAGGAGCAGGAGGAGGAGGAGGAGGACTCCCCCGACCACGCGTGGAGGACTCCCCCGACCGTGCGCTTGCCTCGCGACGTGGGCCCCAGGGGGCTCTCGACGCGACCCCCGGATACGGGCTCCGCGCGCGGCGGAGCGGCGTTTGGGGCTGCGGGCCCCCCCCCCCGGGGGCCTCGGAGAGGGCCCCCCCCCGAGGAACCGCCGAGGAGGAAAAGATACCCACACCTCTACCCTTCGCTCGTTTTCCCTTTGAGGGGCCTCCTGGGCGGCCCTCGTCACCACCACGGGAGTCGCCTCGAATTTCTGGAGAAGTCCGGGGAGTAGCGGTATCCGTATTTTGTGGTCTCCCCAGACCCAGGCCTCCGATGCTTTGTTTCTCTGATGCGATGGATCATTAGACAACTCGTCCCAGACCGTCTTCTAGCTTGTTTTGGGGAGCGCAGGACGGCCCCAGAGGAGGCCGACAGTGGCGACAGACTTCTGCTGTCGCTTGTGCGTTCCAAGACGATGTCTGGAATTGTCGCTCCTGGGACGAGTGTCAAGAACGACGCGTCTGAATGCGACGCCCAATGTCTGTGCAATGATTTTTGGACCGGGATTTGGAGAGTGCCAGACATAGACATGACAATTTGGAAATGCATGGCGGGAGAAGTCCCTCATTACACGGGCGATCGGAGCTTCTTACCCGCCCGTGCCTTGATCGGCCGCCCCAATCGGCTGCCCATCGCCGACATATACAGGCCTGGCCTGACTGACGTCGGAGATATGTCGTACGGGGCTAGGACGAGGGCAAATCCGTTCCAGAGCGTTCCGGAACGAGGGCCGCGGCGCCCGACAAATTTTCCGGAGCCGCCGGATCTCAGAGATTCGATTCTCGGTTATCCTCATTCGGTTTTATGCATGGATCCTGAAGGCGCAGGGAGATCGAATCGGATCGGCCTGACCATCCACGAAGGAAGAGTCGAGCCCCCGTCTGCTTGGCGAATGGGCACGCTGGTTGCAACAAAAATGAGGAGGACGGGCAAAAGGAGGAGGTTGAGGAGGAAGGGGGGAGGAAAGGAGGAGGAGAAGGCAAGCGAGAAGGTGTAGGAAGGAGGGAGGAGTACATATGAGGACCAAGGGAGAAGGAGGAGGAGGAGGAGGATGATGATGCTGATGATGCTGATGATGATGATGATGAGGAGGAGGAGGAGGAGGAGGAACGGAGGAGGAAGGGAGGAGGAAGGATGGAAGAAGCAGGAGGAAGGAGGAAGGAGGAAGGATGGAGCAGGAGGAGGAGGAGAAAGGGAGGAAGGATGCAGGAGGACGTAGGAAGGAAAAAAGACGAAGGCGTAGAAGCGCTCTACTCGAAGCGAGTACCCGACACGGAAGGGTCAGGGGAAAAAGCGGGAGGGGGGGAGGAGGACGAGGAGATGGATCGGCGAGAGCCCTGGCGGGAGGACCAGAAACAGAAGGGGAAGGGGTGCAGGAGCAGCAGCAGGAAGAAGGAACGAAGAGCAGCGGGAGGACATTTGAGGAGAGAGAGAGAGAGAGAAAGAGACAGGATGAGAAAGAGAGTTTGCCAGAGGGGCTCGACTCATAAGCCAGTCCTGCTGCCCGCCCCGCGCCGATGGGCCCGCTGCGCGCGAGAGGAAGAGCGACATCGCGTTCTACTTCGTGCACTGGCTCACGGACCTGGCGGGCGCGGAGACTTCGCGGCAGGGGGGAAATGGTCTCCTCCTCCTTCTTTCTTGCTCCTTCCTTCCTCTTTCTCCTCCTCCTCCTCCATCTTCACCTCCTCTTAATGTGATTTCGTTGGGCATCTCAACCCTGACGTTATTTAAGCTGTCAGGTGTCCCCAGATTGGATAGTCAGTCGCGGGGGCGGGGCAGGGGGCGGGGCGAATCCATGCTCGCTTGGGTGTGTTCGGAAACCCAACCCGTTGGGTGTTTGCCCACGTGAGGCGAGGCACGCTCTAGCCGTCGCAGTCGCGACCGGAGGGGGGTAGGAGCAGGGCGGCGTCTGAGCCTGCCAGCAGGGGGCATTGGCCCGACTCCTTCGGGCCGCCGGTCGCCTCCCCTCCTCCTTCTCCCTGTTCCTTGGGCGGTAGATCTGCCTTCTCTCTGCCCTGTCCTCGGGACGTTCCCCCCCCAAAGCTCGTTTCCTGTCCCCCCTCAGTCATCTCAGGGCTGGCCCCAGCTCGGCGAGAGCGACTCTGAGGAGGCGGGGGGGGAAATCCTGCCAGGGCGTTGGGCGCGCCCCCGTGGCCACTGGAGCTCCCGACCCCGTCTCCGTGGTGCTCCGTGCACCAGTCGGGCCCTTGGGCGGGAGCGCCTTTCCCAGCGTTTCTCAGAGACCGGGGGGGGGGGGCTCCGTCCCCAGCTGCAGAGGGAGCCGCAGGAGCCAGGCAGTTCTTTCGGCTGTGTCATGACCTTGTCCGCGTCGCCCGGGCGCTCTTGACCTCGTCTTGGGCGCGCCCAGAGTTCTCGACCCTGTCCTTGTAGTCAGGAGAACGAGCCACCGAGGGAGAGGACTTGTCTGAACGGGAAAGTTCGTAGCCACGTGGGCTCAAGCGGCCCAAATTGGCATAGCACTGAATTTCCCACCCGCCCACGCCAGCAAGAGCCGAATCCAGGACAGCAGGGACAGCAATCGCGCTGTTTCCCTTGCCAGCTAGTCGCACACAGCGGTAAAAGATGCCCTCGGGCAACCGCAAGAGAAACACGGCGCAGGAAGGAACGAATGTGTCAACCATCCAGCTTCGCGAAGCAGGAATGATACTTCTCACGATGTCCCAATACATCACATCACGGGTTGACTGCCCGGATGGGTTCGCGAGGACCTTCGCCATGCGGGGGCCAGGCACCAGCTGCGCTTGTGCGAGTTGACCACGCTCGTTGGTTCCCATTGCAGAAGAAGGCTTTGGGGTGGATTCGGATGTCGAGGCAAGTTCTGGCCGCCACAGGCATTGTCAACCGCGTGGCAGATGCCCCCCCCCCTTGAGACGTTCGCCGCGCCCCCGCGCCGTCAGATTGCGAGGTTTTTGCAACAGCGGCTCCTTCGGAAGCGCTGACACGCTGGACATCATAAGGGCGGAGATGCGCGGAGAATTGAAAGGCTTAAGAACGGATCCTTCCTGTGCACGGCGAGTGTATGTTCGGACGCGACGGAAGAGATGGATCCGCCTCCGTTTCCGCGTCGCCGGCGTCAGCGCCCGGGGCTCATTCGGACTTTGCTCGGTTTCAACCGCATCAGTCATTCGGGTGTCTTGACAGCCGACGAATTAAAAGGGAATCGCGAACGCCCTTGCGCTGCAAGCGGCGCTCCAACAGTTGCTTACCCGAGCGGCTTTGCCGCAGCCGGCGGCGTTGACGCGATGCGGGACGCGCTGGCGCTACCCGCGGCGTCATTTGGAGAGAGCTCCGCGGATTCGATTTCGCCGCAAGTCGTTCAGGAGTGAGAGAACCACGCGATGGCATGACTCTAGGGCGGAGGCGTCGAGAACTTTGACCAGAGAGCGAAACCTGTGGAAATCAGCAATAAGTTGAGGAAGGCAAAGGAGCAGGAGCATCATCCCCAGAGGTACATTCCAAGAAAAAGCAAACTTGTTTCAAGCATCGCTGACGAGCGCATCGAGTGCGCTGACAGCCTGGCATGGCTTCGCTACGCGCGTCCTGTGGATACCTGTTGGTGCTATTCTGCCACCGCGCTCAGATTCACATGCGCGCGAATTCCGGGCAATTCTCCGATCGGGAAAAGCGACCAGTAATTACATGGGTTACGCGAGGTGGGCCAGTGCCCGCTTGTGCACGGGCGTCTCGTGGCACGAGAACGAGGCGCAACAGACCTTGGCTGGAGTCCACGAGGGAGTTTTGCAGTTCGCGCGAGGGCTAGCCAGGATATCCCAGTTGCTTGCGTCGTCAATGTTGAACAGAGTAATCAAGCTTGCAAGCGCGGCGAACGCGAAGGATGGCTTGTAGGAGCTGGCCATCATCATCTGGATGTTCCCTTTGCGCGCGCAGTCAAAAAGGCATCCCTTTGGAAGCTGGAGTTGCGCGAGAAGTTGACCGTCCAGCAGAGAGGCATGCAACGTCTGTATTGCTGATGGAGCATTGCACGTGCTTTTCCGTCGCTAGAAGCACCGACTAGCAGGCTCCTATTTAGCCAGGAAGTCCTCGTACGCCTCAACCAGAGAGCGATTGTGTCGCAGAGTGCTCCTGCGTGGAAGGATTCGCGGCCACAGACCATTAGTTTCTTTTGGCCGTAGTTTATTCGCGCAGCCTCTGAGACGCTTTCTCGACTTGGGATAGGTGCCGGGAGCAGCTGACTACTCCTTCACGTCGTTCCGAGCACGGGGGGCAGAGGGGTTGGCGACGCAGGGCGGATCCCTGGGTGCCATCTTAGCAGCTGGAGAGTGGGGAGCCGAGCGTTTTCTCAGAAACGTTGACTTCGCCGTAGTCGAGCAACCAGTCCTGTTCGACAGGGCCGAACTCCGACAGCGAAAGAGAGACCAGTGGCACGGCAGCGCCCGTGTAGAGGTCTGACTGTTCTCCCCTTGCGCTTCCGCTGAAGGTGAAAATCGACCCCCTTGAGCGTTGCTGCGCGGAGTGGCTCAACGGAGGGTCCGCAGAACGCGGGGGAATAAGGCGAGGTGTTGTTGTGGATAAGAGTACGGGGGCTCTTTTCTTCAGTCAGGGGCAATATGACCGTTTCTGCCCCTTCCAACGATCATCTGTGATGCGCGTAGCTGGGGTAATCAGAGTGATCGAAAGCAAGCGACCCCACGAATTGCGCACGGCTGTCGCAGAGCAGCATTTAGCAAAGCAGACAGTCCAATGACCGAGTGCCACCGCCACCTCCTCCTTTTCCTCCTCTTCTTTCCGCGTGACACGATGGGATCATGTTAGGGTTCTGGGTCAGGATGCGGTTGGAGGCCGTCCAGCGCCTCGCTCGAAGTTGCCGCTGTGTCGCCGTTTTGGGGGACCTCCGGGTGCCCCTGTCGTTATTTTCGGGGCCGACGTGCAAACGCCGCTCAGGGCAGAGAGCCAGCCCTGGGGAGGGGGTCGAGGAGCCTGGGGGCCAACGCGTCGAGAAGATGGGCGCTCCGGACGTTTGGGGCAGGGGGGCCACGCGCAGAGGGGTGTAGGGGGGATGGGGGGAGGTTGAAACGGCCTTGCTCTTGAGAATGCACAGACCGTGCTTGCAAATGGAAGGACCAACGCCTTTAAAAAGCAGTTTCCTGAGAAGCCCCCTCTTCCCCCCGACCCTCTTAATGTGCGCTGCCAAAGAAGGAGCACCGAATAGCAAAAACACGGCATAAGCATTAACTTTATTATCCCTGCAAAGCAACCTAACTGCGATGTGTAGGAGCATATCTGGGAGCATTCCCTTAAGATTCAGATGAGAATCCAGTTGTAGAATTCTGCTGTTCTCGCAGCAGTCGTAGTCGCATTCGCGATGACAGTCGCAGTGGCAACGGCAGTCGCAGTCACAGCCTCAGCCTCAGCCTGCCTCAGCCTCAGCCTCAGCCTGCCTCAGCCTCAGCCTGCCTCAGCCTCAGCCTCAGCCTGCTTCAGCTCAGCTCAGTCTGCCTCAGCCTCGGCCTCAGCCTCAGCCTGCCTCAGCCTCAGCCTGCATCAGCCTCAGCCTCAGCCTCTGCCTGCCTCAGCCTCAGCCATGCCTCAGCCTCAGCCTCAGCCTGCCTCAGCTCAGCCTCAGCCTCAGCCTGCTTCAGCCTCAGCCTCAGTCTGCCGTCGGCCTCGGCCTCAGCCTCAGCCTGCCTCAGCCTCAGCCTGCATGAGCCTCAGCCTCGGCCTCAGCCTCAGCCTGCCGCAGCCTCAGCCTCAGCCTCAGCCTCAGCCTCAGCCTCAGCCTCAGCCTGCTTCAGCCTCAGCCTGCCTCAGCCTCAGCCTCAGCCTGCCTCAGCCTCAGCCTCAGCCTGCTCAGCCTCAGCTCAGTCTGCCTCAGCCTCGGCCTCAGCCTCAGCCTGCCTCAGCCTCAGCCTCAGCCTCAGCCTCAGCCTCAGCCTGCCTCAGCATCAGCCTGCCTCAGCCTCAGCCTCAGCCTGCCTCAGCCTCAGCCTCAGCCTGCTTCAGCCTCAGCCTCAGTCTGCCTTCAGCCTCGGCCTCAGCCTCAGCCTGCCTCAGCCTCAGCCTGCATCAGCCTCAGCCTCAGCCTCAGCCTGCCTCAGCATCAGCCTGCCTCAGCCTCAGCCTCAGCCTGCCTCAGCCTCAGCCTCAGCCTGCTTCAGCCTCAGCCTCAGTCTGCCTTCAGCCTCGGCCTCAGCCTCAGCCTGCCTCAGCCTCAGCCTGCATCAGCCTCAGCCTTAGCCTCAGCAGGCCTCCTCAGTCTGCCTTCAGCCTCGGCCTCAGCCTCAGCCTGCCTCAGCCTCAGCCTGCCTCAGCCTCAGCATCAGCCTGCCTCAGCATTCAAAATGTGGCCCGGGAATATAGTTCTGGGAACTCGAAGAACACGAAGTGGCCTACAGTTGGCTCCGGGCATTCAAAACCATGCCCAGGAATGGAGTTCTGGGAACTCGAAGAGCACGAAGTGGCCTACAGTTGGCTCCGGGCATTCAACATGTTCCCCGGGAACGGAGTTCTGGGAACTCGAAGAGCACGAAGTGGCCTACAGTTGGCTCCTGGCATTCAAAATGTGCCCCGGGAATGGGGTTCTGGGAACTCGAAGAGCACGAAGTGGCCTACAGTTGGCTCCGGGCATTCAGAATGTGGCGCGGGAATGGAGTTCTGGGACCTCGAAGACCACGAAGTGTGTAATTGTTTGCTTAAAACGACTTCCGCGGATTCTCCCCGGATCCTGCCCGGACCCCCCTGGGGAGTCATGATGCTTCCTTTTGAAACCATTAGAAACCTATGAGTCTTCGCTGTTAGGTAATAAATCCCACGTGGAGTTTTTGGATCTGCGTTCGCCCCCCCCCCCCCCCCCTCTGGCGCAGGAGGCGAGCCATTGGCGGCGCTGGAGGCGCCGCCAAGGGGCCCCAGCGCAGGTCCAAGAAATCCGCGCTGAGCTCTGGGCGTTTATGTTTGTGCCGCTGGGTCGTCCCCATGGACCAGGGGAGCCGTGGCACCGTGGGCGGGAGGGGGCCACCCGGGACGGCTGCCCGCGCGGGCTGCGTGGCTCGCCCCTTCCTCGCCCCCCTCCCCTCGAGCTTCGAGCGCGCGCTCCCCCGCAAGTCTCTCTTGCGGGCATGAGGCTGCCGAGCTGTTGCCTTGGCCGTGCCAGTGCGAGATGGGCGAAGCAGGAGCCAGGAGCGGGGTGAAGAGGGAGCATCGAGAGCACATTCATCCCTCGTCGCGCAGAAGATATCCAGACGGCTGGGTTGTCCAGGTTTGCGGACCTTGGAGGCCTGTTTTGGGCACCGTGGCGGTCAAGCAACGACCCAGGATGAAAAGCCGGTCTTTGGGAAGGGGTCGAGGGGCCCAAAGGGCCCACTTCATGACCAAATCGGGACGTCGACTGTCTGGGGACATGTATATATATATATATATACACATCGATTCCCTGGATTATTGTCTTCGGGGAGCATGTTGTACTTCCACATACCTTCGACTATCGCATTCATGGAGTCAAGGTTGATCAGTGAAGGCTGGTCGTCTGTGTCTGGTTTTGCCCAGCTACAAGACGGAAGCTACTTGATCAGCCTGGTTGCGAATTGCGCGAGGTAGGAAGGGAACAAGGAAAGACGAGAAGGGAGCAGGACTGATTATGACGATTATATCAGTCCATGATGGGCTGGATTCGAAGTCGGTGTCGAGACGGTCGTAGTCCGTCTGGCGGCGGCTGTTGGCCGTCCAAAAGCAGATACTCTCCTGTTCGCACCAGAATTGCTGCCGTGCACCGTCCCAACTGATGATGCCCCCTCCACTCGGGCGTGCCAAGAAGAGGACGAGAGCCCTCTGGGGTTTGCGGGTGGCCTGGAGGGGGGAAAATAGAGATTGGAGGATGGAGGAGGAGAAGGAACGGCAAGGGACGAAATAGGGAGGAGAGAGGCGGGGAGAGGTTGGAGATTGGAGGAGGAAGGACAGGGGGAGACGGAGAGAGGGGATGAAGTGGGAGCGGGAGACGGGGAGAGAAAGCGGGGGGGGGGGAAGTGGGCGAAGGAAGGAAGAGGGATGTTGTTTGGAGGGAGGAGAGGAAGAGGGGGGCAGAGGCTTTGACCTCCGAGTCTGAAGATTCGACGCCGTCGTGATCGCCCGCCGCTGGGCCAGGAGCCGACGCCGCTCGGGGGCTGTGAGAAATTCGTGACCAAGTTCCCACTGGCGGTTCTAAACAGGCAGGGCCTCTGCTCCGTGCTGGCTCGAGGTCACGCGAACAGTTGCCCGTCAGACCCTGACGCTCGGGCGTCGTTGAGAAAGAGCGTCGGACGTTTCTGCCCCGCTCCGGACCCACAGCCATCACGGATCGATCCCGCTCGGGAAATTTCGCAGAGAGGGGGTAGTGGTCAGGAGTTCCAGTCTTGGTTATGTTGTTTCACAACGTCGCTATTTGGTTCTCGACGTCGGGCGTACGGGGGCATCCACAGTGAGAAGAAGAGCAGGCGGATACGGAAAGGGGAGAGTGAAAGAGAGAGAGGGGGATGGAGAAGGAGAGAAGACGATAAGTGCGAGGGGAAGGAGGAGAAGGAAGAGGAGGACGAGGACGATGACGAGGACGAGGACGAGGAGGATGAGGAAGACGAGGAGGACGAGGAGGGCGATGAAATGGAGGAGGGGGAGGAGCCGGAGGAGGAGGAGGAGGAGGAGGAGGAGGAGGAGGAGGAGGAGGTGAGGAGGAGAGGAGGAGGAGGAGGAGGAGGAGGAGGAGGGAGAGACGAGGAGGAGGAGGGACGAGGAGGGGGAGGGGGAGTGCGAGGGGGAGGGGAGTGCGACGGGGAGGGGGAGTGCGACGAGGAGGAGGAGGAGGAGGCGGCGGAAGGGAGCGTCTGAGATCCCCAATGCTCTTGTCTTGTCTGAGAATAGACAGGGCCGACTGCGCCGACATTTGCGCGTGAGCCGCCCGCGAAATGTCGCGCATACAGTCAGAATCCATGGTAAGGACGCGATGCTTGCGCAAGGGCACCCTTGCATCCTTCCCTCCTCGACCAATCCCTGGCCAGTTTCGACATCCAAGGGCGTCCAACTTGAAAGGTCTAAGGGCCTTGCACCCTCACCTTGCATCCGTGCTTGCGAGTGTGACTGCTTTCAGGCGTTGACTTCTCCGCGAGATGCGCCGCGTCAGGGGCCTGCGCAAGCCACCGCGGAAGGTCGCTGATCACGTCACACCGCTCGAGGCCGGTTGTTTCCGTCGCTCGATCGAGAGGAGAAGGAGGAGGGGGAGGAGGAGGAGGAGGAGGAAGAGGAGGAGGAGGAGGAGGAGGAGGAGGGGGAGGAGGAGGACGAGGAGGAGGAGGAGGACGTAGAGGTAGAGGAGGAGGAGGAGAAGGAGGACGAGGAGGAGGAGGAGGATGGGGGAGGGAGGGAGGGGGGAGTAGGGGGAGTAGGGGGAGGAAAAGTGGGTGTTGGAGGACGAACAGGAGGAGGAGGTGCAGGAGGAGGAGAAGGAGGGCGAGAGAGGGAGGGGGGAATGGGGGAAACAGGGGGGCGGAGGAGCTGTAGGGATCCGGCCTTTTATGTCTTCCCGCGAGCTTGTGAGCCCGGTCTGCGTGGGCATGCTTCTCGCCGCCGGTGCTGTACATTTGGGCCGCTGGCCTGTGGGAGGCATTCCAGACGGGGCTTCGCTTGTGAGGATTGAAGGAGTTCCCACCTCCTTCTCGGCGGGAGGTGGGGAAAGCAACACGAAGTAGAACATTCCCCTCCCGAAAAGGTGTCAGTTTTTGGGATTCAGAGTTTCTGGAAGCGGACATGTGGCGGGGGTGTAGACGCCAATTGGATCGTTCGCGGCGTTGGCGCCGTTGTTGATGAGCAGCTCAGCAGCGTGGACACCAGGATCGAGTGCGCTTCTGAGCAAACCGCCCTTAGTTGAACAATCAGACCCGATTGCGACAGATTCGGGGCATGAGCCGCGCGCCTCGTGACTAAGCGCAGCCAGCTCTTCCTCTGCGCTGCGAAGGGCGCGCGCGCGGGTTGCGTGGGGCGCAACCGCGGCGCCCGCGATGGGCGACGCCCTCGCCTGCCTGAAATGGCTGGCGCCTCCTCTCCGACAAAACAAGACGCCGCGCGCGCGGCGCCTGAGCCGGCCATGGCCGCGGGCAAAGCAGCCGCGCGCTCGGGTCGAACCGCGCGTCGCCTAGCGCCAGATGAATCCAACCCGGTCTCGCGCGAACGAACAGGGAGCGCGATTTGCGAATGCAGATCGGCGACGTCGGCCGCCGACGCCACGCGATGAACACGCTGATTGCAATGTGCACAGCACCGTGTGCCCACATAGAATGGACAAGGCGCGCGTGGTCGAACTGCTTCGCCGCGCCAGTCCGAGAAAACCACTCGCTGCCGGCGTCATTTGAGAAGGCACATCGGCCAGACAGAAGCATCTCGAACGTTCCTGGCCCAGCCCGATGCTAGGCACCTCCAGGCCTCCGATGTCATGGTCGCGCCTTACTCCAAAAAACCAGGGCAGGGGTTCAGGAGGAACGACGTCGGCGAAGACTTTGCGTCCGCGCGCGAGAAAGACCGCGGCAACCCTGGCCGGGCGCCCCCGCGCGTCGGCGAGTAGCTGCACTGGCCTGGCGTCTGGCTGGCGCCTGCCACTCGCGAGCCGTGGCGAACTTGCCGGACAGCGCGTCGCGCCACCACTGCAGACAGACTCTCAGGTGGGCCAGGAGGCGGGCGCGCCCGCGCGCGATCGATTAACGGCGGGGGCAGCGCCCGCCCGCAGCGCTGGAAGGCGTCGGTGGCGGCCGGACAGAAGCGGCCTGCAAGGTTGGGCGCGCGCCCGCGCTCGAGCGCGCTCTTGGGAACGGCGAAGTGCAGAAGCAATCTAGGCGCGCCGCTGAGCGCGCTTGTCGAACTACTGCTTTCCGCTGGCCGCAGAATTGAGCCCGTAGCCCAGCGCGGCCAGCATTGCGCTTTAAACTTTGAACGGTCGGTGCCGCTCCGAACGGGGCGGCGAAGTCCCGCGCCGCGTAGGCGCGCGTTCCCGCGAGGGCAATCCAGGCGCGGGCTCTGGCAAAGCGCGTTGGAACGCAGCGCCGACGTTCGCCCGCAGAGCCTGGGCGCCTCGCCCAAGCGCGCCACAGTGGCTTTGCACGCGCCGAACAAGGAGGCGTCGACGGCCTCGCGCCACAGTGACGATGTATCATCCACGTGCCTCAGCCATCTGGGCCCGCTCTCCAGCGCGCGCCTGATCGCGCCGAAACCCGGCGCGAGGGCGGGGCCTCCGAGCTCGACCGCGTGGAACGAAGCGGGATGGCGCACGCGGCCCAGCTCTGCTTCGACCAGTGCTTTGGCGGGAATTTCGGCGCTTTTTCGCTCGCTGCACGATATGAGCGTACCAGTGCTTTTTCGGGAATTCCGATGTCGCTGGACGATATGAGCGTGCCTTTTCGCTCGCTGCACTGCGCGTGCGCGGGCGCGCAGGCGGGGCCCCCCCGTCGCGCGCGCCCCGTGGCCCCGCGGCATTCGCGCGCCTCGCGGCCCCGCGGGCGCGCGCCCCCCGCCCCGCAGTGGGCCCGCGAAGGAATTGGCGCTCGCATCTCGGGCGCCGCGGGTTTGGCGCGGCGCGCGAATGCAGGCGCGCGCTTGCGGGCGGCGCGGAACGGCGGCCGCGGTCGGCGCTCATGCGCCGTCGTTCAAATGCCCGCGCGCCGCGCGATGCGCGTGCATGTGGAGATTGTCGGCGCGAGTCTTTCTTCTTCTGAGGCGACTGCGCTGCCCGCGAATCCCCGGCGCGCTCCCCGCGCCCCCCGCGGCGCGAAGATCGGGCGCGCAACCCGCCAGCCCTCGGCCCGCGATCGCTCTTCCAGGAGGTGCCGGCAGCGCCCGCTGCGCCCGCGCTTTGCCGCTGCGCCCCCTCTCTTGCGCCCGCGAGAATTCCCGACCAGCGCGGGGCCCCGCGCGGCGGCGGCGGCGCGTTGCTTGAAGAGGAGTCGCGGCGGCGCGGCCATCGAGGCCAGATCGCGTTATGTTTCTGCCGCGCGGGGCAGGCCGCCGCCGAGCCTGTCTCGACTGCGCGGCCTGTCTCGACTGCGCGGCGACGGGCGCCTTGGAATTGCCCCGCCGACACGCGGCGCGAATTCCAACCTCGACCGCGCCGGCGGCGGCGCGCCGCGCGTTCAGGCTCGCTGCGCGGGGCGGCCGCGCGCCCAGGCCGCCTGGGCCCCCCGCCCTTGCAAGAGGGCGCCCAAGGTTATCTGGGCGCGCGCGCGCGCGCGAGCTGCCGGCGGAAGGGGCCCACCCGCGCTTGCGCGGGGCGCCGCGCGCCCAAGCGCTGGGCCGCTCGCGCGCGAGATCTGATCTTTGACGGCCGCTGCCAGGCGCCGCGCGCGACGCGCCTGGCGCCGCCGGGCAGGCGGCGGACTCTTCGTTGGCGCCCCAACCGAGCGCCTTGATTGGCGCGGCCGCATCTCTCGATTCGGGCTCGTCGTCGTCGCGTGGGCCGCCGCCGCCGCGCGCGCGGAGTTTCGCGAGCTCCGCGTGGACGAGCGGAAGCCCAACGCCCTCGGCCGTTGCGCGTCGGCCGCCGAGCTGAACGAACGGCGGCTTGCGCCGGCGAGGCGGGAGAGAGATGCGCGGCCGTGGCGATTGCGCGACTGTCCGCGGAAGGTCGCCCAAGGCGCTGCGGGCGAGGCCCGCGCAGATGTCATTGCAATTGCGCCCCCCTCTCGGCGCGCGGCGCAGCATTATGGCGCGTCGCTGCCGAGACGTCGCGCCGATGAATGCGCGGGCCCCGCGGGCCCCCGGCGCGCTCGCCTTGGCGCCCGCCACCGTCGCGCGATCCCGGGCGCGCTGCAGGGCTGCTCTCGACGGCGCAGACGCGCCCTTGCTCTCCTCCAAGTCTTCGAATTGCACATTAACCAAATCTTCCGGCGCCGAGAGACCTTTGGCTGCCAGGCATTCAGCCGCTCATTTGTTTTGGATGCCAGACCACTTCGCACTTGCGACAGGGTCTGCGCTCTGGAACGCAAGCATCGCCATCGCGAACCCGTCGCATCCCAGGGCGCTCGCAAACTCATTAGACTGCCGGACTGCTGCGGCGCGCGCGACCACGCGCAGGCGCGCAACGATGACGAGCGAAGACGGCCGCAGAGAGACCCCCAGGGGGCTTGGTGGGCTTGGGCTGCACGGGGCTTTCGTAGTTCACTATGAATCCTGCCGCGAGCTTCGTTGGGCTTCTGGGGCCTCGCAGCAAGGACGGCGAGGCGTCCGCGATCGACCGTGCAAGAGCCACCGCGGGCACGGCGCGAAACATCGACGAACCACGCCACGAGTTTCAGCGGGTGGCTGGTATCCTGAGCAATTGCGGGCCTTGCGAGAGCGTTCACAATGGACCCAGCCGCGAGTCAGCGCGGATCGTCGGCGCCCCACAAGGCACATGGTCACTTTGGACAGATAGCATATGCTTGCTTTGCGAACACTCGGGCCAGCGACAGCACAAGGTCACCATGGACCAGGAAAAGCCCATTGGGCAAGTGAACGCAACAGGACACGATGGACCGTGATGTGACCCCAGTGGGCAGCAAGATCCCCATCGGGAGAAACCGACCGAATCCCAGACATGGCTCAGTAGTTATATCCCTGCCCAGTGCCAGGCGGGAGAGGCACGGCAGGGCACCACACCGCACGAAGCGAGCGAGAGACGGATACGGGTCGGCCAGCGCGCGGTCGACCAGCCGAACGAGGGCGCCCGTGCGTCGGCAAACCCGCCGCGGGGTCGTGTCCAGCGCGGTCGGGCTGGTGCCAAGCACTTCAATATTCCGACCCATCGGGATCTGGAGGAGGAGGGCGACAACGACGCCGACCACGAGCATGAAGAGGCAGCGCGAAGGCCTGGCAGATCTGTCCATGCGGCACGCATCCTTCTCCAGGTTCGTGGATAAACCTAGTGTGTTTGAGGTCCGCGCGGATTTCTCGGGCCCGCGCTGACCCTCCTTCCTGGCGCGCGGAGCGCGCCAGGAGCGGCGCCCGAGGCGCCGCCAGGGGAGGCCCAACGCCGCACCGAAAAATCCGCGCGGACCTCCGGAGGCGCATGTTTATGCAAAGGGGGGACGGCACGACCCACCCCCACCCCCACCAGGACCCCCACTCCCGAGCTGGCGGTCCAGGGAGCCATGGCCGGGTGCGTGGGTGTGGCCAGGACAGGGGCGCGCATGCGCCACGGGAGGAACAGTTGCATCGCGATCTGCGACCCCACCATGCAGCACCCCGCGTGCGCACGGCACCATAGGAGGTGGACACCTTAGCTGGGACCGTGGCGTCTCCCCGAGGTCACGGCCCCTTCCCCGTCTCTCCGCGCATCCGCTGGTTCGGGCCTCGGGGCGCTCGCCCCTCCCCTTTCTCGCTTGCCCCCGCTCTTCGGCGCGCCCGCCCTTCGGCTCCCCCCCCTCCCCGCCCCCCCCCCCCAGCTTCCTCCACTCGTTCGAGTTTGTGGAGACGGTCGCCGTCAACACCGAGACCGAGGACCACGCCCGCCCGTGCCGAGGGGGGGGGCCCTGAACTGGCCTCTGGAGCCCGCGCGCCACGGCGTCCACCTCCGCCCTCCTCGCCGCGGCAGTGGTGGTGAGGGATCTCCCTCCCGCGCCCTCGCCCTGGAAGCACGCAAGAGGACCTCAGAATGCCCCCAAAAATATTCGGAACAGGCCCAGACTCGGTCACGGCAGCTCCCAGGTCAACCCGAAAGGTCACAAGCACCCCCACTTCTTCCGAGCCTTCCTCCTCGTTCTCCTTCTACCCTTGGTCTCCGGCCTCTTCCTTGCCATTCTCTTTATCGTCCTCCTTACTGTCTGTTCCCCTCCTTGTTACCCATGCTCTCCTCAACGTTGTCGTTCAAAGTGTCGCCCTCCCCGTCCTCATTGTCCTCTTCCTCCTTGTCCTCCTCGTCGTCCCCCTCGTTCTCATTCTCGTTCTGCTCGTTCTCTCCGCTCTGTCCCTCCTCAGCCACCTCGTCCTCGTCGTCAACCCCACCATACTCAAGCCCTTCGGCGTTCTTGGTGTCCTACTTGTCCTCTCCTCCTTGTCCTTGTACTTGTCTTCCTTCTGTCGCTCCTGCTGGTTCTCTTCATAGTCCTCGTCTTCCACGCAGTCCTCATCCGACTTCTGTCGTCCCTCTTGTCTTTCTCGTCTTCCCTCCCGTACCCCGACAAATTTGGAGGGCTAGCGGAGCCCTCCCGCATAGAATGCCGAATATGTTCGCGTGCGCAGAGGAGGCCTTTCCGCATGGACCCGTGCCGAGTCACGCTGGCACGTCCTCTAGCACGTCCCCTCGGAACGTTCCCTGGCAGGTCCCTTGGCGCGAGTCCCCCGGCGCCTCCCCGGGCGCGTTCCGTGGCGCCTCCCCTGGCACGTACCCTAACACGTTGCCTTGGCACGTCCTTCGGCGCGTTCCTCCACGCTGACTGCGTCCGCTGGCACGCGCCCTGGCGGTTCGCCCTTGGCGCGTTCTCCCCTGCGCGCCCCCCCGACACGCCCCGTTGCACCTCCCGTGGCATGCTCGCCAGCACGCCCTCTTGCGCGTCCGCCTGGCGCCCCTCCGGGCCCGCCCCACGACGCCCCCCTTTGGCACGTCCCCTGGCCCGCCCCCGGGCACGTCCGCCAGTACCGCCCCTCGGCGCGCCCCCTGCCGCCTTCCCTGGCACGTCCGCTTGCGCGGCCGCATTTGCACGTCCCTGGCGCGCTCCGCAGCGCGTCCTCGGCCACAGTCGTGGTACGTCCTCTGGCACGTCCCCCTGGAATCCTCCCCCGTCCCAGGAAGGGACGCTCCTGTCATCTGTGTCGGGAAGCAGGGCTTGCCGAGGGGCTGGTGATCGAAGACGCCTGCGGCGAAGCGCCGTCGCCCCCTGCCTGTTGGAATCGCCCGTGTGGCCGAGCGTTGTGGCAAGAGCTCTGCCAAGCTACCCGACCATGTGTTCCCCAAGCCGTTGTGGAAACCCTCCGGGGAACACGCAGGGGGGAGGATGGCGGGGAAGATCAGGAGGATGAGGAAAAAGGAGGGGCATTTTGGGAGCCTCTTGGAGGACTCTCGGGGCCCTCTGGGAGCTTCAGTCTTGATGGCATTCCTGGCCTGTCTGACGCCATCGGAAGCCGTCTTGGGGATCTCTCTGGGCCGACTTGGGGCCTTGGGGCCGTCTTCCAGGCCTCCTTGGGCGTCTTGGAGGCCTCTTGGGCCGTCTTGGGGCCCTCTTGGGTCCGTCTTGGGGGCCTCTTGGGCCGTTCTGGGGCCATCTCCGAGGCTTCTTGGGCGATCTTGGGACGGACTTTGGGGGCTTTTGGGCCGTCTCGGGCAATCCGAAGGCCAAAGTGAAGCACATGCCACTTTTCGTCAGACATTTACGGATAATCGATGATTTGGGCCTCTTCGGGCCTTCCTCAAGGCCCGCTTGGAGGCCTCGTGGACCGTCTTGGAGGCCTCTTGGGGGCCTCTTGGGCCGTCTGGGCTCCTGGCCCGTCTGACGCCGTCGCAAGCCGTCTTGGGGGTCTCCCTGGGCCGACTTGGGGCCCTCTTGGGGTGCTCCAGGGCCGTTTTGGAGGCCACCTCATGCGTCTTTTCATTCCTCTTTGGCCGTTCTGAGGCCATCTTGAAGGCCACTTGAGCGATCTTGGGGCGATCTGTGGGGGCTCTTGGGCCGTCTCGGGCCATCTGAAGGCCGAAAAGAAGCAAATGCCAAAATCGCCCAAACACGCCAAGGGGAACAATGATTTTGGCCTCGTCGGGCCTTCCGGGAGGCCCTCTTGGGCCGTCTTCGAGACCTCTTGGGGGCCTCTTGGGCCGTCGTGGGCTGTCCTGATGGCCTCCTGGCCTGTCTGACACCGTCGGAAGCCGTCTTGGAGGCCTTTCTGGGCCGACTTGGGGCCATTGGGCCGTCTTTCAGGTCAACTTGGGCTTCTTGGAGGCCTCTTGGGCCGTCTTGGGGCCCTCTTGGGTCCGTCTTGGGGGCCTCTTGGGCCGTTCTGGGGCCATCTCCGAGGCTTCTTGGGCGATCTTGGGACGGACATTGGGGGCTTTTGGGCCGTCTCGGGCAATCCGAAGGCCAAAGTGAAGCACATGCCACTTTCCGTCAGACATTTAGGCGTTTGGGAGGCCTCTTGTGCGTTTGGGCGTTTGGGAGCCCGCTTGGGGCCCTCATGGGGGCGTCTTGGGGGCCTCTTGGGCCGTCATGGGGCCATCTTGGAGGCCTCTTGGGCGACCTTGGGACGATTTTGGATTGATTTTGGGCCGTCACGGGCCGTCAGAACACCGAAACGGCGCAAATGCCAAAATTCCCTCCCCAAAAACATCATAAGGAAAATGAATGATTTTGGCCTCTTCAGGCCCTCCTGGAGGACCTCTTGGAGGCCTCTTGGGTCGTGTTGGGCTGTCTTTGAGGCCTCTTGGGCGAACTTGGAGGTATCTTGGACTCTCTTGGGCCGTCTTGGAGGCCGTGTTGGGCCATCTTGGGCCAACGTGGCCATCTTGGAGGCCATTTTGAGCCGTCTTGGTGGAAAACATTGGGATTGAGCTCCCTTCCGGGACCCCGGCGGGACGGGCCGAAGCCCCAGGGGGAGTTCTCTTGGAAAAGGACCAAAGCCAAAACCGAAAGGATCTAGCACGCTGGGCACCCTTGTGGCAAGCCAACAGGGGGCGGCGGATGTAATCGCTTTCGGCCCATCCCGCCACCGTGCCTGGGATGTGGGCAGAAAGCCTATTGCACGTTCGTTGGGATCTCGTGGGGGGGCCGCTCGGGGGCCTCTCTTCAGTCAGTTTTGATGCCTCTTCGGGAGCCGTTTTGGGGCCTCTGTGGGGCCTCTTGGGCGCCTCTTGAGGCATCCTAGGGGCCTCTTTCGGATTTCCGGTTCGTGTTCCCTCTCTTGGGCCCTTTCTGGGGCCGTCTTGGGGCCCTCTTGGGCCGTCTTGGGCCCCTCTTGGGCCGTGTTGGGCCCCTCTTGGACCGTCTTGGGGTGGTCTTGGGGGTTTCTTGTGTCGTATTGGAGCGTCGGAAAGCCGAACAGGCGAAAACGCCAAAATCCTTCAAACACCTTACGAACGTCAATGATGTTTGCCTCGTGGGGCTCTCTTGGGGGGCCTCTTGGATGCCTCTTGTGGCGTCTTGGAGGCATCTTGGGCCATCTTGAAGCCATTTTGGGCGCCTTGGAGCGATCTTGGGGCGACTTAGGCCCCTCTTTGGGGGGCCTCGTTTTCGGGCCCTTCTGGGCGGAGTTCCGCCCAGAAGGGCCCGAAAACCGGCGGACCCCGGGGAAGCCAGGGAATGATTGATCGGAACGTGCAAAGGCTTACAATTCTGGCAGCAGCAGCAGCGGCACAGCCCTCTCAGTGCTGCATGAGCCTTGGGGCACTCCACTTCGTGCCAGAAGCATGGTGGCGGATCTGCGTCGCACAGGAAGTATGTCTTGTCGGGATCGTGGTTCGCTAATGGTCCATCCTAAGTTGTTGTGTTTTAGGCCCGTGGGCCCGAGGTTCTTCCGCTGAACGGAACGGTCGGGGGTCCCGCGCTGGTCAGGTCCAGCCCAGGCCCCCCGCGACCGATTATGTGAAACGTCTTGCTCTGGTGCCAGTCTGGGGGAAGTCCGAAGGCCAGAAATAGCCACCAGACGTCGGTCCTGCCCGCGCTCACGACGCGAGGGGCCTGGGCACTGTGTCGCGCGCCTCCCCCGCGCAGACGTCGCCGTCGTCGACTCAGTGGCGCGCGCGCGCCCGCGTGCTCCGCACGCGGTCGCGGCGTCGGCGCTCGCCTGGCCTCCCCCGCGCAGACAGATGGGGCGCCACCTCGAGGGGAGGCGGAGCGCGCGCGAAGCCTCCTTGCTGCCGAGTCTCTGGGCAGATGGTTCGGAGCCTGTCCTCCCAGGCCTCGGTGCTGCCGCGCAGGGCGCCTGGGTGGGGGGCCTCGACCGTGTCGGCCGCTATCAAAAAAAGAGCCCATTTAGGGAGGAGGAGGAGGAGGAGGAGGAGGAGGAGGAGGAGGAGGAGGAGGGAGGAGGAGGAGGAGGAGGAGGAGGAGGAGGCGGAGGCGGAGGCGGAGGACGAGGCGGAGGACGAGGCGGAGGACGAGGCGGAGGAGGAGGCAGAGGAGGAGGAGGAGGAGGAGGAGGAGGAGGAGGCGGCGGCGGCGGCGGCGGAGGAGGAGGAGGAGGAGGAGGAGGAGGAGGACGAAGAGTGGGGATGGCTCTCCCCCGCGCAGACGATGGAGCGCTACCTCAAGGAGAGGTGGGCCGCGCACGAGCCGAGCCTCGGCCCGCCCCCTCCCCGGCCGCGGGTCGGGACGATCGGAATGGGTGCGGAAAGAATGGGTACGATGCCCGACAGCAGATCCTGCTCCTTCGAGCAGGACTCGCAGCCGCGCTGCCGCGGACGGTGTTCATTGGATACAGACAGCCGCCTGCCCGGCAGCGGCCGCTGTAGGTTTTGGACAACACTTGTCGTTGGGCATTGTATACATGTTTTGTCCGTGCCCACGTCGGGCGTCCAAAGCCGGGACCGCACGCGCGCGGGGGGGAGGCGCCGTCGGGATCGTGGCGGCAGTGGGCCCACCTTTTCAGCAACGCGCAGAGGGGGGCAGAGTGGAAACCCATGCCAAGAGGCACCCTGCTTGCCTCCAGGGTGCCATGGGTTTCTGCTGCGGCAAGCGCGACGTGCCCACACCCAAAATCAATGGACGTCCTGGAATATCAGGGTTGGGTTTCTTGTGGAAGGTTTCTTGTGGTCGAGCTCCTATTGCAGGGGGAGGGGGGAAGGCTACTTGAAAAAACACCCTGCTTCTTAGAAGGTGCAGGCTGTATCTATAGATGCAGAGCCCGCGCCTTCTAAGGAGCAGGGTGCTTCTGAGAAGCCTTTCCCCATCCCCCTACGGCCTTGTACGTGCCGCCAAACCTTGGCAGGGCTCGTCCCGACTCCTCCCGCTCGATTCGATGTCGATCGATTCCGATTCGATTCGGTTTCGGGTTCAGTTTTGGATCTGGGCTTCTCAATGGGGTCGTACTGGCCTGCCGATTTCAGCCGATGCGACTTCTCTCAGGTTGCCTGCCGATTGCCGCCGATCCGCTTCATTCCGATCGCCGATCCGTCGTATCGATTCGATGCTGGGTTTTCTTTGGTCACGATAGTCGACGCTGGACTGCACAAACATGATCGGCGGCGAGCCCAGGGGGGATGCCGGAGGGGGCGGGACTTCTCAGAGGTCTCAGGAGACCTCCTGCCCTCTGAGAAGCGCTGTGAGCTTTCTCCGAGGGCACAGGCCGCTTCTCAGGAGGTCGGAGGGCTTCCGAGAGGCCCCGCCGCCTTTGAGAAGCCCCGCCCCCTCGGCCGCAATGACCTACAGTCAACCCGCATAGTAAGGGTGGGCAACCTTCCCAAGGGTACCCCTTGCAGCATTGCCGCATCGGTCCATCCCTCGCCACTTTCGTTGGCCGCGCCCTGCTCGAAATGCTTCGACATGGGCGGCCTTACTACACAGTGGAAACCAATGCCAAAAAGCACCCTGCTTGTCTCCAGGGTGCCCTGCAGGGGGTTCTTGGGTTTCGAATAATTTTGCTGTGGCAAGCGTGACGTTCCGACACCAAAAATCAGTGGACGTCCTGGAATCTCAGGGTTGGGTTTCGTGTGGAAGGTTTCTTGTGGTCGAGCTCCTCCTGTATGTTTACGCAGTTGTAGCGCTCGTCTGCTGCAGCAGGCGTCGGCCAATCCCCTGTGGCCGACTTGTGTCTGGCAGCATTGTCGAGCTGCCCCTCCCCGTCCCCTCCCAGCCAGTCTCCAGGCCACGCGAGAAAGCTCTAAATTTCCCTACGGCGGCCCCAAGAGGCTCAGCCCCCAGGATGCGGAAATCCTTCGAGCACCTGTGGAAAACAAGAAGCTAGCGTGCGAAGGATTATACAGTCATGGATGCGGGGAAATGGGAGATGACGATGGCGCCAAGCTTTGGTGAGTTTTAAGAAGCGCGCGAGTGCTGCGACAGGCTGGCGAGTGACCATAACGAGGAAGTGGCGAATTGCAGCATGGTTGTCTGAATGCAGCGAACGGTTTCGATCTGAAGGCGATGCCAATGTGACGGGAGAGTTTCAATGGTGTGATTGTTTTCTCGTGCCGGCCCCCGGTATGAAGCGAAGCGCTTGGTCATCGTGCGTTTTCGGGACCTTTGTTGGTTGGCGTATCCATGGCTTCTTGGGGTCTTTCTGGCGTCTTCTTCAATCTGATTGGTGCCCTTTTGGGTCGTTCTGGGGTTGGTTTGGGCTGTGTTCGGGCGTCTTGAAAGGCTGCGGCTGTCCCTGTGCCTTAGTGGGGGCCTCTCAGATCCGTCTTGGCGGGGTGCCACGGGGGAAGCGGAGGGGAGGCGCGGTCGGTCGGAAAAAAGGCGAGGGCCACGGGGGGAAAGGGGCGGGCACGGTCGGTCGGCCGCCTATCGGAATGAAGGGAGAGGGGCGGGGGGGAGCGGGGGCGCACGGTGGGGCACGGTCGGTCGGAAGAAGGGGAGGGGGGCAACGGGGGGCTGGAGGTGGAACGGTCAGTTGGAGTATAGGGGAGGGGGGGGGCGGCGGGGGGGAGCGGGGGTCCACGGTCGAGCAGCGGGGGAGTGCACGGTCGGGCGGAGTAGGAAAAGGGTGCCACGTGGGGAACGGGGCGGCGCGGTCGGTCGGAAGAAAGGGACAGGGGCGGAGGGAGGTGAGCAAGCAGGGTGGCCACAGTCGGGGAGCGGGGGGGGGCACGGTCGGTCGGAATAGAGGGAGGGGGGCACAGGGGGGAACGGAGGGGGAGGGCACGGTTGGTTTAGAATAGGGGGAAGGGGCGGGAGGAGGGGAGCGAGGGGGCGCGGTCGGGCAGCCGGGGGGTCACGGTCAGTCGGAGTAAGGGGAGGGGGTCCACGGGGCGGAGGGGAGAGGGGGGGGGGGCACGGTCGGTCGGAATAAGGGGACGGGGGCGGGGGGGGGGAAGCGGGGCGCCAGGGTCTGGCAGCAGGGGGGCACGGAGGAGGGGGAGGAGAGGAGGAGGAGGAGGAGGAGGGGAGGAGGAGGGCGAGGAGGAGGAGGAGGAGGAGGAGGAGAAGGAGGAGAAGGAGGTGGAGGTGGAGGTGGAGGTGGAGGTGGAGGAGGAGGAGGAGGAGGAGGAGGAGGAGGACGAGGACGAGAACGAGGAGGAGGAGGGTGTAAAACAAGAGGAAAACGGATGGCGGAGGCAGGGGATGAAGATGGCAGCGAAGATACAAAAAGAGGAGGGGAGAAGGAAAAGGAGGAGAAGGAAGAGGAGGAAGAGGGTGGTCGAAATGAGGAGGCTGAGGACGAAGATATCATCGTGACCCCTAATCACCCACTGCTCCCTCTCTCCTGCCTCTTTCCCAGATCGCCCAAAGAGGGGCCAAGAAAACTCCAAGAGGACCCCATCACACACCAAACCATCACGTTCCCAGAGAGCTTTCCGAGAACATAATTGTCGCCGCAAGTCTGAGGAGGAGGACGAGGAGGGCAAGCAAGAGAGGGAAGCGAATGGCGAAGGCAGGGGATGTGGAAGAGAATGAGGATGACAAAGAGGAGGAGGAGGAGGACGAGGAGGAGGAGGTGGAGGAAGGCAGACGGAATGAGGAGGCCGAGGGCGAAGATGGCAGCGGAACCTTGACCCAGCCGCTGCTCCCTGCTGTGTTCCTTCCATCCTTCCCTCCCTTTATGCCCGGTCCTCCCTCCATGCTTTCTTCCATGTCCACATCCCTGCGCTCTCTTTTTCTCCCTTTCCCCGTTTCCCTTTCGCGCGACCTCGACGACGACGGGGCGTCAAGAGGGCCCCAAGAGCACCCCCACTATTCAGCTGCCTGCAGCAAGTCCCGCCACCGTGCCAGCCTAGCTCTCTAGGCGACTCTTCGAGGGGGCGCGGGAAGCCGTCACGCGTGACACGCTGGATCTCCAGGCTAGGAAATGCCGTGATGAGGATGATGAGGCTTATGAGGAAGATGGGAGGGTAGTGACGATGTTGCTGATGTTGCTGATGTCGATGGTGACTGCAGTCATGGTGGTGGTAATGCTGGTGGTGGTGATGATGATGATGATGATGGTGATGATGACGACGACGACACGGGCGATGACGGTGACCATGACGACGAGGGTGATGATGACGATGGCGATGATGTTGGTTATGTTGGTGGTGATGATGATGGTGATGATAGTCATGCTGATGATTATGATGATGATGGTGAAGTCGAGGATGGCGATTGTGATGTTGACCGTGATGGTGATGGTGGTGTTTGTGACTATGATGTCGACGATGGTGATCAGGATGATGACAATGAACATGATGATGACGATGATGTTGGGAATGGTGAAGATGATGCTGATGCTGGCGACGATAGTGAAGCCGATTATACGATGATGATGATGATGATGATGATGATGATGATGTTGATGATGATGATGATGATGGTGGTAGGATGATGGTGATCATGATGATGATGATCATGTTGATGATGATGCTGATGATGATGGTGGTGTGGTGGTGATGAAGATGAAGACGATGGTGATCATGATGATTGTGATGATGGTGATGGTGATGGTGATGGTGATGGTGATGGTGATGGTGATGGTGATGGTGATGATGCTGATGATGATGGTGGTGGTGATGATGATGATGAAGATGCTGATGATAATGGTGGTGGTGGTGGTCGTGATGGTGGTGATGATGATGATGGTGATGGTGATGCTGAAACTCTTTTGGGCCGTCTTGGAGCTGTCTTGGCCTCCGGTGAGGCAGTCTTGGGCGTCCCTTGGGGCCCTCTTGTGCCGTGTCGTTGGGCCGCCTTGGTGCCGTGTTGGGCCGCCGACGGGCCTTGAAGGTCGTCTTGGGTCCCACGGGAGGTCCTATGGGGCCGTCTTGGGGCCGTCTCGGGGCCGTCTTGTCTTGGATGCCTCTTGGCCAATCGTGGAGTCTTGTTGGGTCGCCTTGAGCTGACGGCAGCCCGAAAATGCGAGAATGCGCACATCCTGTTAAAACCAAACGGGATATCGATGGTTGTGGCTTCTTCGAACCCTGTTGGAGGTCCTGTTGTGGCTATTTTGGGCCCTCTTGGAGGCATCTTGGGCTGGCTTGAATCAATATTCGGCCGCCTTGGGGCCACCTTAGGCAGTCTTCGAGGCAACTTGGGCCATCTTGGTGTCCTTCGTTGCCTGCACGGGCCGTCTTGGAAGCTCGAGACGCATATCCATCGTTTTTGGACGAGGGATCGTTGCTTGAGCGGTCCTGGAGCAGCGGCTGGGAATGCGGGTACTGCACCATCCTCGAGCCGGTGCGCGTAGGATGAGGGGCCTGAAAGTTAGCAGCGTGCGGGCCTTTTGGGCGCCCTTCGGGCCGTCTTGGGGGGCGATATTGGTGGCCCACGAGGTCGTCTTGGAGCGTCGAAAGCCAGAAAAAACAATGGCGCAGCAATCAATGAAGCACTTGGAGGCAATAAAAGCATTTGCCCTCCTGAAGGTCCATCTTGCAGGTCGCTTTGAGACCTCCGAGACCGTCCTGGGCTATCTGGTGCCCATCTTGGGACGTCACGGTCACCTTGGGCCGTCTTGGAGGCATCTCTGGGGCTTCTTCGAGCCGCTGTATTTTCTTCAAAGACATTGTCGCCGTCTTAGGTGCCCTCCTTGAGGACCTCTTTCTGTTGGAAGACCGGCGGGATATGAAATTTGACGCGGCGTCCCAGGGGCCGGCGGGTCCGGACGAAGGCCCGAAGACCAAACCTATCAGAAATTTGGCACGCGGTGAGGGTGTTACAGAGTGGGTGTTAGGTGTTAGGTTTATGGCATGAGGGTTTGGAAATTACCGTGAAGGCGTTCGGCTGTAAGGCTACGGCTTTATGGTACTAGTACAGGGGTTCGGATTTCTGGGTTTGGCATTCGGACTAGGTTGTTAGGATCAGGGTGCCAAGGTTTGAGTGTAAGGGGCGTGAGAGTTTTGGTTAGGGTTACAGCGTTCGGGCGTTAGGGCGGTACGTTCGGGTGTTCGGGCTGCGGGTCAGAGTTCGGGCGAAATGGTGATATAGTGTTAGGGCGTTTGGGAAGTCGCCACGAGGTCGGACGCGTGCCGCCTAATATCGTCGTCGGGGCCAGCTAGAACCTGAGAGCGCGCGTAGCGCGCTCGCGTGAATGTAGCAACTGTATACGCATTACACCATTATTTCTCTCGCTCTCTCGCTCTCTCTCTCTCTCTACGTATATATATACATATATATACATATATATATATATGTATATGTATGTATATATCTATGTATCACTGATTTGCTTCTCGTATCCTTCCTTCTCATCCTCCCTCCTCCTTCTCTCCCGCCTTCTGCTTCTGCTCATCCATCCTTTGCTCCCCTTACTTGCCATCATCATGGCTATTATTCCTCCTCCCTCCCTTGCTTGCTCCTCTCTTTTCCTCCTACATCTCTCCCCCCCTTCCCCCCTCCTGGAGGGGTCGACGGAGGTTCCTGGAGAACCCTGGAGATCCCTTCTAGTTGAAGCTCACCATGGGCACCTGCCGAGGAAGGCCAAAAATACCTCAATTCCTCGAAACTCGATTCCCGATTTTTCTTCATTTCGCGTCGTTGAAAGAAATCACGCGGGCCCTCATCGGACCCCGGGACCATGGAAAGCAAGCCAGGACGAAAAGCCGATCCTTGGGAAGCAGCCCCGACCTCTGGGCAACCGCGCAGAGAGTGACGAGAAAACGACGTCGGATGGCTGCGTCCTCCCCTCTCCCTCCACATCCCCTCCCAGCGCCCCTTGTTTGTCAGGATTGGAGTGGGCTGTAACGTTTTGCAAGCAAGCGTCTGACAGCGCGTTCCTTGCCCGAGAGCAGGCGCTTCCCCGAGAGGAGGAGGGGCGAGGAAGGAGCAGCAGCCACAGGAGGAAGAGGTGAAGAATTGAGACGAGATGGAGATTACGAGGACATTCAGGGGCAGGCGGGAGGAGGGACGGAACGAGCAGCAGCAGCAGCAGCAGCAGCAGCAGCAGCAGCAGCAGCAGCGGGCGGACGGTGACGAGAAGGACGAGCAGGATACTCCCGCAGGTCCCCTGTTTGCTCTGGAGTGCCGAGAGGCACCGAACGTGCCAAAACATCGATCTCTCATTCACGATCCTCGACGACGTCAGCCTCGATCCCCGAAACCGAATGTGTCAACCTCGATCCTCGACGACGGCGCCAACGGCGACGCCGACGACGTCGACGGCGGCGGCGGCCACGGCCGCGCCCACGGCCACGGGCACGGGCACCGGCCGCGATGTGGCGGCACCCCTCGCGCGCCCGAGGCCCCGTGCCCAGCGGCGACGGCGCCGTGGCGAGGATGCGGTTGGCGTGCATGGCGCGCGCGCGCCGCCTCCCCCCCGGCTGATGAGAACGACGACGAATCGGGAGCCCTGAGACGGGGGTCGATGCAAAAGGGGGTCAGCCAGAGCGCCCGATCTTGCAGGATCCTGCAGGGCCAGGGTCGCATTGACCCGGGTTTGGGAGCAGGATTCTGCAGGACCGGGTTTGGGTGCAGGATTTAGCAGGATCCTGCAGGATTTTGCAACGCCCGACTGACCCGGGTCTGGATTGACCCGGGTCAGGAGATCCCCGAACGAAGCCATCACCATTCGGCGATTGCAGAGGGTATGGTTACACCGTGGCGTGGCTTGCGATCGGCGCCGTTGGGGCCTGGGGGACACGACGCTGTCCTCGTCGGGCCTCCTGTGGGCGCGGGAGAACTCTATCGAGGTCCCCGCTCGCCCCCCAGGGTGCCCCCCAGGATGTTCCCCAGGGAGCCGGTTGCAAACCACACCCTTTGCAAACCACAAAGATTGGAGTCGCCGAACCATGAGTCCACCGAGCCCTAAGGCGCGGTACCTCCACAGCAGTGTCCCTCCGCAAAAGGTCTTCTGATGGACCCGGGATCAGGACGGCGAACGGCCCTGGGGTTTTTGCAGATTCCAGGAAACGCTGTGCCAGAGCTTCAGCAAGTTGTGGGATCTCGAGCAGCGATTGTCCGTCGAGACGTTCTGGCCAAATGGCCCACCCTGTGGACGTAGTATTATTCTTCGAGCTGTGGATCTGGCCGCCGCCCCGATGACGACGACGGCCGCCCGCCTGCACCCGCTGCCCCCCGCCAGACGAGAGCGACGGCGACGACGAGAAGGACGGCGCAGTCGATGCCGATGCCGAGAATCGAGGTTTGGGATGTCTTGGGCTTTCTTCGAGGGCTCTGAGTTCGATGCTTCTCTCCCTGAGCCAGTCTCCCCTGTCGTTCCCCCTCTCGGCACCAGCGCTGCGAGGGTGCGAAGGTTTGCCACTTCGGAGGGATGCATTGAAGCGCGCATGGCGCACCTGGCAGCTGCAGGCGCGCCAGAGCTGCAGTAAATCCACGTTGGACTTGCAGAGAACGGTCATCGACCGCGCGCGAACGCTGCAGTGAACGCATCAACGCATTGCCTTCGTATGTACCACCCCGCAGTTGCGGATTAGAGTAAGGGGACGGGCGCGGGGTGTGTCGCGGGTGGGTAGCAAGCGGGTCGCGGGTGGGTCGCGGCGTGGGTCGCGGGTGGGTCTCGGGTGGGTCGTGGGTGGGTTGCGCGTGGGCCGCGGGTGGGTCGCGTGTGGGTCGCGGGTGAGTCGCAGGTGTGTCGGGAGCCGGGTCGGTCGCGGGCGGGTCGCGGGCGGGTCGCGGGTGGGTCGCGGGCCGGGTCGCGAGTGGGACGATGACAACAACCAACAACAACAATAACAACAACGACGTAACAACAATTCGCACCGCGGAACCCAATGTCAGCAACGGACCCAGGGACAGTGAATGACCGTTCGCCCCCCTCATTCTGACATTCGATTGTTGTTCTTTAGTTTGATGCTCATTGTGGTCTTCGCGTGCACGGTATGATCGGTGTGCGTTTATTGCAATGATTTATGATGAAGCTCTCATCCCTCCCATGCAGTGCCACATGGCACGTGGCGCATCTCGGGCACTGGCACACTCGGCGATCTTCGCATGCACTTGGCGCACATGACGCGCATGGTACATCTGGCGCGCACAGCGCGCCTGTAGCGCTTGGCGCGCCTGGCGCACAGAGCGCAGAGCGTGCATCGGCCCCACCGATGGTGTTCATGCTGTGTAACGTGTCTGTGTGTGCGTGCCTACTTTTTTTCGCATGCACGTGTTCCGTAGTGCTTCGTCACGACCTTCCCTTCCCATATCGTGTTGTGGCTTGTCTTCTAGTGAAGTGGAAGTAAACAAACGTTCTCATTTCTGCCCTCCCATCCCGTCTGTGCTCTCCTGTTCTCCCTTCACCTCTCTTTCTCCACCGCCTCTTCCCTGACCGTGTCTATCGCCTCACCTCGTCTCCATTTCCATCATCCTCTCTGCGCCTCCCTTCTGTCATGTATCCTCCATCGCCCTTCACATTTATTGAATTGAACGCCCCTGAGGGGGCAGAAACCGCCGCCGCACTTTTTGTCCGTCACCCGGAGTTTCTCTGCGGGGGGTGGTCATGGCGACCGCAGATGGTCCAGAATTGCTCGGAAGGCGGCGTAAAAGGTAGGCAAGAGGCTCCAGAGACGACGACCATGCATATGCGAAGGACCAGGAGAGGGAAAGGAGGGGGGAAGGGGTATCAGGAGGGGGAAGAGAGGGGGATGATGCAGATGGTGATGCTGATGATGATGATGATGATGATGATGATGCTGCTGATGCTGATGCTGATGCTGATGCTGATGCTGATGCTGATGCTGATGCTGATGGTGGTGATGCTGATGCTGATGCTGATGCTGATGCTGATGCTGATGCTGATGCTGATGCTGATGATGCTGCTGATGATGAGTATGAGGATGAGGATGATTAGGATGATGATGATGATGATGATGATGATGATGATGATGATGATGATGATGATGCTTTCTGAAGATGATGCTGTTTCATGACGATGGTGACGATGATGCTGGTGGTGATGATGAGGATGATGCTGAAGATGCTGATGATGATTCTTATGCTGATGATGGTGCTGATGAGGCTGAGGATGATGCTGATGATGTTGCTGATGATGCTGATGATAATGCTGATGCTGATGCTGACGATGATGTGGACGAGCAGGATGATGATGATGATGACGAGGACGACGACGACGATGATGCTGATGCTGATGCTGATGCTGATGATGATGATGATGATGATGATGGTGGCGATGATGATGATGATGATGATGATGATGATGATGATGATGGTGCTGCTGATGATGGTGGTGTTGATGATGATGCTGATGCTGATGCTGGTTATGATCTTGATGCTGATGATGATGATGCTGATGCTGATGCTGGTTATGATTTTGATGATGATGATGCTTATGATGATGATGATGATGATGATGATGATGATGATGATGATGATGATGATGATGATGATGATGATGATGATGGTGATGGTGATGGTGATGGTGATGGTGATGGTGATGGTGATGGTGATGATGATGATGATGATGATGATGATGATGATGATGATGATGATGATGATGATGATGATGATGCGGGGATCGAAGCCAGCCCCAGAGGGTCTCCGGTAATCCCATTGAACTTGCGTGCCACGAGGGCGAGATGGGGTTCGGAGAGGGCCCCTGAGGGTCGAAAAAGACGCGGAGAAGGGTCCAAGAAAGCGACTACAAGGCCCGAGCAGGCTCGGAAGACGGCCCAAAAGAGCACCCGAAGGTTTCGAAAACGGCGGAGCGAACCGAAGAGGGATATGGAGAGGCAGAAAGGAGCACTGCGACGAGTTTGTGGCGCCTCAGAAGGCTCTCCAGGGGCTCCCCAGGCGCGGCGAACACGGCCCAAGAAGGCTCCAAAAGGGTGGCCAGACGGCCGAAGATGGGTCCGGGAGACCTTCAGGACGACCCGGGAGGCCATGTAGAGATTCCAACGTGGCCAGAGAGGCCCCAAGAGTGGCGCAAGATGTTGCAAGAGAGCTCCAAGAGGCGCAAAGAGGAGGCCGAAACGGCGAGGCGCAGACGAACGCCGCGCGGATCCTCGAGGCCTTCGAGTCCATCGACGAAGGCTACCGGGACATCCTCAGCAGGCCCGTGGCCCGCTCCCCACGGCGCCCACCCTCTGCTCGCACGTGTTTCCTCTCCTCGGCGGCTCGACCAGGGGGGAAGGCCTCGGTCGGGCCTGCCCCCCTACGGGAGGAATATCGAACGTAGTTTTGAAACGTAGTCTGGCGACGATGTTTCGATTGTTGTTGAAGTATGTTTGGGCATTTTGTTTGTATTTTTTCGTCCAAATTCCGCATGTTGGGGAACATGCCCGACCTGAGGGAAGGCAGAGGGGGCGGGCCTTCTGGGAGGGCTTAAACGATCTAGGCATCCCCGGCGAGGTCGGAGCAGACGGGGTCGGAGCATCGCGCCGCATCGCCGATGCATCGGCGATGCGGCTCGAAGTAATACCCGATTTTCTCCACGCCTGCTGCGCCGGTGCATCGCCGACGTCGCGATGCATCGGCGATGCGGCGCAATCCTCCGACCCCGTCCACCCCGACCCCATATGGGAGGCCTCTACAAGGCCGCCGGCCTGTTCAGAAACCTCTCGATGCATTCTCCGAATACTCAGGCAGCTTCTCGGAAGGCTGGAGACGTTCAGAGAAGCCTCGCCGCCTTCCCAGAAAGCCCGCCCCTTGACATTCCCCCCCTCGGCGGCCCGCCGAGTTTCGGGGAAGAAGAGGCGCCATGCCGACGCGCCCACCGACACCGGAGTCGGGGCTCCCCTCTTCGGGGCACGGTCTGTGTGTCAGGGGGGGAGATATACCGATACCGCTGCTCATCCTGCCCTGCAAGACGCATCTCAACATAATAGATGCGTTTAGATGCGACCGCGCCCTGGTGCAGGCGAGAAACCCATCGTATTTCTATGTCTGTAACGACGACAATATAGATATTATTTCTAGATGCGCGCCCCCGGCCTGCGCGGGAGCGCCGCCATATCTAAACGCATCTATGTTTTAAGCATATCTAAACATTTGGGTCCGTATTTATGTTTCAGCCAGAAAGTACATTTATATCCGTAAGGCCGTAAGGGCTTCGCCCCCTGCCGCCGGCCCCCTCTCTCGGATAATGGGCCATGGAAGAGCTAAGTCATGAGGCCTTGGCGCTGTCGTGAAGCAGTATCGAAACTTCATGCGAAGCCGATTCGCAATCAGCAAAACCGACTGATCACAAGAGGGGTTACCACACCTGGCGATTGGTAAGACGTGTATGGTTTACGGGCTTGGTTACCACACCTTGCGATTAAAGGGCCGAGGGAGTTCTCGCAGTTCGGGTTACCACGCCTTGCGATGGATGTGCGTGAAGGGTGGCACCGAATTTCAGAAATGTGGCAAATCCCTTGTATTTTTGACCCTGACCCCGCGGATCTGCGTAAGGGGTGGCGCCGAATTTCAGAAATGTGGCAAATCCCATATGTTTTTGGACCCTGACCCCGCGGATCTGCGTGAGGGGTGGCACCGAATTTCAGAAATGTGGCAAATCCCCTGTGTTTTTGGACCCTGACCCCGCGGATCTGTGTGAGGGGTGGCACCGAATTTCAGAAATGTTGCAAATCACATGTATTTTTGGACCCTGACCCCGCGGATCTGCGTGAGGGGTGGCACCGAATTTCAGAAATGTTGCAAATCACTTGTGTTTTTGGACCCTGACCCCGCGGATCTGCGTGAGGGGTGGCACCGAATTTCAGAAATGTGGCAAATCCCGTGTGTTTTTGGACCCTGACCCCGCGGATTTGCGTGAGGGGTAGCACCGAATTTAGAAATGTGGCAAATCCCATGTGTTTTTTGACCATGACCCCGTGGATCTGCGTGAGGGGTGATACCGAATTTCAGAAATGTGGCGAATCCCTTATGTTTTTGCACCCTGACCTCGCGGATCTGCGTGAGGGGTGTCGATTTCGAGCCCCCCCAGCAATTCAGACAACGCGCCCAGGGGACGCTAAAAAGCTGGTTTGGGCCTCCCCCGCCCTCGCGCGGTCAATCAACTTGTTACACTAACCAGCAATAAGCAGAACTGCAACATTGGAAACTACAAGCTACAACTGGTACAGGAAACTGCGAATCCCGCTCCTCGCAGCCTGGTGGCCCCACAAGGGGGCCGGCGGATCTATATATATATATATATATATATATGTATGTATGTATATATACATATATATATATGTGTATATATTCGTATCGATGTTTCACAGAAACACACTGCCGCGCCGTATCTATTCGAGGAGGGCGACTAACGGAGAAGGCGACATGAGGCGTGGCGGGGGGGGAGAGGGGAGATGTGGTGAGCTGCGGGGGATGGAACTACACTTTGGGCGAGTGGATTAGCTTCTTGCGCGGATCCCGAAATTCCAAACTTACTTCTGCGACATCGTCTTACGTATTGGTTCGCCCGCCATTCGAGGGGGCCGATCGCGCCTGTTGGATTTGCCGGGGCCTCGGGGTCTCTTGCTAGTGTCAGTCTGGAATCAAGGCTTGCGCCTCACGAGTGGGTTGGAGGATGAGCGCAAGGTGAGTCTTTCAGCTGCGGGGGGGCGCGGGCGTTTGCCGCCACGCAGGGGCCGGGGGCAACTAGGACACGCTCAGGGAAATGGAGGGCGGCAGGTAGAGGAAGAACGGGGAGGGGGAGGGCAAAGCAGCGGGCGGGAATTGCGAACATAGTGACCAGGCGAGATACTTTGATAGGGGGAGCGATGTGGGCGGAGGCCGCAGTTGGAATTCCTTCTGATAGCCCCAGGACGTTCAGACACCTCCGCCCGGAGGCCGGCAGGGGGTTCAGCGGCCCTTGCCTTCCTGACTCCGCGGGCGGGGCGCGACGACGTACCCGACGTGTACCCCGTCCCTTTCGCTAGGTGCCGGTCTGTACGTGCTCGCCCCGCGCGAGACATCCAGCGCGTTCAGAGTTACACTTAGCCGGGCACTAGGTGTAGTTTTGTACGCGCTGGTGTCGCCGGAGACATCCCCACAACATTGAGCACTTATAGAACTACACCTAGCCAGCGGGGCGGGGTGCATGTCGGGTGCCGTCACTCGCGCCCCCAACGTGTACCGCGCCCCGGCCGCTAAGTGCCGTTCTGTACGTGTCCCCTTTTCGCGAAGCATCGGCTGCCCGCGCTGCCCATCGCCGAGGCCCCGCCCCCTGGGCCGCACCCCACCGACATCCCACATCCCCTGGCTCAGCGAAGCCAGCCGTATGCCTGGGGGCCTCGACATCGCGCGGCCCGCTTCCCTCCCCCGCCCGTGCCCCAGCAGCAAATTCGCGATCCGATCCCCCGCGTTTTCAAATTCTTCTTCGTGCCGGATTCCCCGTCCGAGGGTGAGCGCTTCTTCGTGTTCTGATTATTCTTGCGGCTGCCGCCAAGCCTCGCCGTGAAACGTGGTGATCGCTTCCACGCTTGGCACGCAACGTCGTCGGCACGACCATCGCCTTCCATCGTAGGTCGTGAGGCGGCGTCCGTCCACCCAGACCGACCGACGCGCCAAATCGAGTTATGATTGCCACCCCTGGTCCCCGCAACAAGGTGCAGTTTTGCTGTGTGTAGTTGTAGATGTGTTCGAGGATGGGAGGCGCAGAGGAAGGAGAGAGGAGGAAGTGGCGAGGACGGGCGAGGGAGGGGAGGGGGGACTGAGGAAAATCCTGGAGGCCCCGCGCGGCGCGCAATAATTGTACCACCCAGTCCACACGCCCGTCCCGCCAGGTATGGGACGACGCTCGCGCGGCGATGCTCCGACGCGAGTCCGACGCAAATGCGACGCAATCCGACTTAAGCCCGACGTGGACCCGACGCGAACGGGGTCTCGAGTTGCCGCGCGAGGCCTCCAGGAGTTTCCTCGTCCCCTGATCTACTCGGAGGCGGCCCGTCTCAGGCGCTTGCGGGGCCGTCTGTGGCACGAAGCGGAGGTGCACGCTGACGGCACGCGGCGGGCTGAACGAGCTGACCGTCGGCGCCCCGGCGGGCTCAGAAGTTGGCGCTCACGGCCGCATCGGTGTGATGACGCAGGCCTGTGAAGATTGCCGCCTGGACGATCAACAAGAAAGCGGGGGAGGCGAAGCGAAGCGAAGCGAAGCGCGCAGATGCGCCGGAGCGGGACCCTTGAGGGTCGGAGCGGGGGGGGCGGGGCCTTTGGAGCGCGAGGAGGAGGAAGGAGGAGGGAGGGGGAGAAGGGAGGAGGGATGAGGGAGGAAGGGGGGATGGAAAAGGGGGAGGAGGGAGGAGGGAGCAGGGATGGGGTGGACGGGGTGGAGGTGGGTCGTCGCCGAGAGGGAGGGGGCAGGGACGAGCGGCGGGCCCGCGCCGCTGCCGCCCTCGGCCGCCCGGCAGGGAGATGGCGAGGAGCGGGTGCAGGGACCAGGCCTACTCCAGCGACATAGCTCCGGCCGACGCGCGCAGACCCCGCCCCCCCCGCCCCTCTTTTCTCAGAGGAGGGAAAATCAAGCAGTGGCGAAGCGTCCTGGCTCGCCTATAGCCCCACCGAACAATATTCTGAGGACTTTTTGTGGTTTCCACGAAATGTTCTTAGAACATGTCTGGCGGAGTCTGTCTTGGTTTATCACATCGGGTTACTGTTCTAAGAACCTTGCTTTTGTTCTTAGAACTCTTCTGGGTTCTAAGAACATTTCGTGGTAGGACTATAGGAATGCTGGGACGGCCGGTCCTTGCTCAAGAAGAGTACCCATGCCACTACGCTTCGCCCGTTTTCCCCTTTTTGGTCCTCTTGGGAGGCCCTCGTCGCCACCGCCGAAGTCGCCTCGGAATTCTGGTCAGAGCGCACCCCGGGAGTGGTCCGGGGAGCAGCGGTATCGGTACCTTTTGGTTTCCCTCCTCTTCGCCACGGGGGAAGCGGGTCCTGAGGGAAACGCGTCCTGAAGTTTTTCGCCGTTTTTGGCTTTCCCGGGCTCCTCCACAGGCCCCAGGACCGTCCGAAATCGACTCAGGATGAAAGAGCTGGTCCTGGGGGAAGGCCCCATGGTCCAGGACCCGTTTCCCACAGGACCCGTCTCCTCCATGCTAATTTCTCAGGGGCAACGGTAGGGGGGATAGGCTCAGGGTGATGGATGGATGCATCGACCCCCAATCGCCCATTGATCGCATATAGGGGTCTGATACCCACTCATCCCAACCGAGGAGCACAAGACGGCGCACGCGCAGACTTTCGGAGGTCCGCGCGGGTTCTTGGGTCGGCGCTGGGCCCCCCCTTGCATCGCCCCTGGCGATGCTCCGCGCGCCAGGGGAGGGGGAGGAGGGTCGCCATGAGAGGAGGCGGCCTGGAGTCCTGTGCGCCGTTGCCTGGTCCCTGGGGCCCTGCCTTCCCGGGGCCGCGGGGCCGTTGGGACGGCAGCTCACGACGAGGAGTTGGTCGTGGGGAAAGCCCCAGGAGTCCAGGACCTGTTCCCGCCGAGAGCGTTTCGCACTCGTGCCGATGCCGGCTGAGGGGGGGAGGGCGGAAAGAGAGAGGGGGGGTTGAAATCAGGGAGGGATGGAGGGTGGGGGGGCGAGGGGGTTATACACAAAAGGGGGGGAGGGAGGATTAAAGTTCGGGGTGGGGGGGTAGGGTGGGGGGTGGAAGGTTGGGGGTGGAAGGATGGGGACTGAAAGAAGGGGTGAACGTGGAGCGAATCCAGCCATTTTGCTACGGTGGGGGCCCATGCCAAGAAACACCCTGCTTGCTCTGTAATCGGGTATAGCCAGGACCCCGGGTAAGGGGATTCGGTTAGTGTCAGGGCCCTGGGTCCCCTCAATTGGCCAGATTCACTAAACCAGGTTTGCCGTAGCTGGTGTTTTTTCGGGTGACGGCAGTTCCGGTGAGCGGAACGGGGCGGGGGGGGCGCCCCCCGGTACACATCACTAAACCAGGTTCCACTAAACCCAATTCTGCCAACCCCCGACACAATTAGCGCTGAGTGCGGGAAGACGGTACCTTCCTGGCCACGGCGAGCCTCGGCCGCGAATAGGTTTCCCGACCCGGATCGAAGGAACAGCCCGACAATCAGAGCCCCTCCTCAGCCCAGAGGGGCCCGTGTTCAAACGTCTTGACTGTGTGTTGTAGGGGGAGGGGGGGCAGATCCTGGGGGAGCGCACGAACGCGTTGACCTTGTTCTCGCGATGACTCGTCTCGCTCTGGATGGTTCCTTCTACTGACCTCACCCGCGCGCTTCCTGAGCGCTGCGTCTGTTATGGAAGGGACAGAAGTCGCCTTGTCCTCGCGCTTAATCCTGCTCGTCCTCCTTCGTGTCTTCACCCGCGCGCATCCAGAACACTACACTGTCTTTGCAGTGGGAGAGGACGGCGTCCTCCTTGTTCTTGCGATTCCGTATTCGGTGCGCACCAGAAGGAGCCCGCAACGACAATTGATAGGTAGCATCGTTAGCAGCGGCGACGACGCCTGCCTCGTCGGGTTCTCGGGCATCGGTGGCCCTTGAGGGTCTGCGGCGGAGGGCACTGCCGAACCGTGGGCCCTGCGAGCCCTCACGCCGTGCCGAGTGTTCAGAGCAAGTGCGGTGCACTCCTCCTCCTCCTCCTCCTCCTCCTCCTCCTCCTCCTCTTGCTCCTCCTCCTCATCCTCCTCAGGTTGGCATGTGTCTCCGAGCGTGGCACCTTGCGTTCAGCCGAAGTCCACCACGCCACGGGCGCATGAGGTATTCTGAGGGCGTCGGTCGCCCACTCACGGGACTTGTGCCTGCAGATGCCCTCCGTGAGCAACGAGATCGTGCAGAGGGAAGTGGAGAAGCATTGGGCGATGATGAGGACAAGGAGGTACGTCAGTGCTTGTGTATCCGACAGGCCTCCGCGTGACAGGCGCTTCGCTTCCCGGCAGTTCGGAGCAGCCCCCACGGGAAGGGCTCCAGACCATGTCGAAAGGCTTCCAGACTCGAGCCCCGGCGGCATAACTGCGGCCACGGCGGCGGCTGCGGTGGCGGCGGCGGCGGCGATGGCGACCTGCGGGGACGGCTGGTCCGGCTGAGCCAGGGCGGCCCGGCGCCACCGCTCCGCGCGCGCATCGGCAGCCTTGAAACGGGGGTCAATGCAAACAGGGGTCAGCCAGAGCGCCCTGATCTTGCAGGATCCTGCAGGGCCAGGGTCGCATTGACCCGGGCTTTGGTGCAGGATCTTGCGGGATCCTGCAGGATCCTTGGCATTGACCCGGGTTTGGGTTCAGGACCTTGCAGGATCCTGTAAGGCCTGACGGGTCCAGGTTTTTGCATTGACCCCGGTCAGTGCGTCCCCGAGCGCAGGTCCTCCTCCTCCTCCTCCTCCTCAGCTTCCTCCTGCTCCTCCTCCTCAGCTTCCTCCTGCTCCTCCTGCTCCTGCTCCTGCTCCTGCTCCTGCTCCTCCTCCTCCTCCTCCTCCTCCTCCTCCTCCTCCTCCTCCTCCTCATCCCTCCGCGCGCGCAGGTCCGCGACCAGCCGGCGGGGCCCGCCTTCTTGGACCGCCCCCCGCCGCGCCGCTTGCCTTGCGCCGTGCTCCCTCGTCGCAGGGCGCCCGTGGCGAGGAGGCCACCGTGCCTCCTCTCGCGGCCCCGGCCGTGGTGCGGGCGACCCGGTCGTGCCCCCCGGAGCAGAGCACGGCCGGTCGGAAGCAGGAAGCGAACCACAACCAGCATTAAGTCGGGTTTGTCCCTCTACAGGGGGAACATTCAAAAATAGTCAAACCATAGTCTGGAGACACGATTTTCAAACAAAAAAGAGGTTCGGGTATGTTTTGACCATTTTTAGTTGTTCGCCAAAAATCCGCCTGTAGGGGGACAGACACGACCTAACACCAGCACGAGGGGGTGATGCAGGGCGAGCTGGTGTCCGCAGAAGAAAAATAACACGATTGACGATCAACTTTCGGCGCTCCGCGCGGATTTCTTGGATCTGCGCTGGGGCCCCCTGGCGGCGCCTCGGGCGCCGCTCCTGGCGCGCTCCGCGCGCCAGGGAGGGTGCTCCAGCGCAGATCCAAGAGATCCGCGCGGAGCGCCGAAACTTTGTGTTTATGCCCTCTAGAACCATCACCACCGCCTGGGGGGGGTTCAGGATGAACTGGTGTGCGGTATGCGGGTGTGCACGAGATCCCGCGAGAGCGCCAACCTCCGCCTCCATCCCCCAGGTGGTGTTGGAGGTGGTGCGTTTCCTTCTCCCTCCCTAGCAGGAGGGGTTGGGCAACTTGCGGCCTCCCAAGGGCCCTTGCCGCAGAGGAGGAGCAGGTACCAATACCGCTGCTCGTCATGGACGGACCCCTGGCGAGGTCTGGGCAGCAGCAGTAGCGGTGCCTTTCTGTGCCCTCATTACCTGGCTGCGGGACCGTTACATAGCAGTTTCGTGCAAATTGGCCTGTCCTCGGGAGCCGATCTGCCGCACACAGTAAGAGAATCACGGCGTCGGGGATTTGGTATTACCCTTCCATGCTTGGCCAGTTGAGCCATTCCCATATTGCGCCCCATGGATTGCGTATATAGTCAAGACGCTGAAATAAGGACTTGTTCGGGCTCAAGAGGGGCTCTGGTTCTCGGGCCACTCTTTAGGTGCAAGGCTGTGTAACCTATTCGTGACCGAGGCTCGCCGTGGCCAGAAAAGCTCCTCCGTTACTTGCTCGGCACCTCTTATGGTAGCCCTGGCTCCGGGGCCGTCACAGAGCAGCCTCGCGCAAAAGGCTAGTCCCCAGGAACGGGTCCAGGCTTCGGGGGCACACGCTGGTCTGGGCTGTCTCCGCACAGGGCACCCGTACACCGCCACAGTCCCAGGCCATTGCCATCCTTGGCCCCATGGGTGGCCCATGGACCTTCGACCTACTGGCGGAGGCCAGGAGGGCGCATACGCCATGCCCAGGCCTATCATGTGGCCCTGACAAGGCATGCTGGTGGTGTGCAGGTGCCTTCTTCGACCGTCACCGTCGTCTCTGTTGTCGCCGCTGTCGAGGAGTGCGACGACAGAGTGAGCAGCAGCAGCAGCAGCAGAAGCAGAAGCAGGAGCACCAGTGAGGGAAGCGGGAGGAGCAGGATGACGGGAAGGTCGAGGGAGGGGCAAGGAGCGGGGCGACGACGATGAGGAAGCACTCAGGTCCAGAAGACAAGCTTGCGCTGGGGCGAGCACGCCGTTATGAACAACATGCCACCCATGTCCCTGAGGAGGCCTACATCCTGGTCCTGGAACAGGCTGCCATCAAGGTCGAGTGCGGCCTCGTCAAGGCCGTCCCAGATCCTGTCCCAAGAGGCCCCCCGGGAGGTGACGATATCGCCCGCAAACTGGAGACCCCATATTCCAGCGTGTCCCCGGTTCCGTTCTGTTCGTTTCGCTTCGGGGGAAATTGGTTCGGTTCAGTACGGTTCTGGTTTCGGAGCCGGTTCCAGTTCGGCTTTCGGTTCTTGCAGATGACGTGTGCGCGTGTGCGTCTACATGATCATATGGAGGCGTTTGGAGGTTCAGTTCAACCAAGAGTCCGGAAGAACCCTGGGGCCACGGGAGCCATTGGGCCCAGCTACCCGACGAGCCAGGGGAGCCACTTGGGCCCAGACGTTACGCATGGTGCCTTCGACGGACCAGTCGACAGCATTGTGCCCCTTGGACCAGGGGGCTCTGGCGACGGCGGGCGATTCCTCTGGGCCAGGGTTGAAAACGCTTGTACTACGGTGTGGGACAGTACGGACCACTCATTCCTGGCATGGGTCATCCCAAAGGACAACTGGGAAGGCAAGGGCGCCGCCCGCGCCCTCGCCGGGCGCGCGCAGGATGGTCTCCGAAAACCACGTGGAGGCCCAAAACGCATTTTCGAACCGTCCAAAATTCGATTTGAGCTTTCCAGGCGCCCTGCCATCCCCAGAGCAGCCTTGGAGGCTCCGAAAACCATTTGGAGGCCCAAAACGCATTTTCGAACCCTCCAAAAATGCGATTTGAGCTTTTCCACCGCCCTTCCGTCCCCAGTTCGGCCCTGGACAAGCAGCAAAACAGGACGAGGGAGCTCGGGGGCGCAGGGGGGGAGTTGGGAGCGGGTGGGATGGACCTAGCGCAAGAGTGGGCGCTCGCATCGGGCAGTTCCCAAGGGTCCACCTCCACGCCCGATTCCCGGTTCGTTCCCTGTTAGGGCCCGGTTCGGTTCCACCGCCTCCGGTTCGGTTTGGGTTCGGTTCACGTCGGGTTTCTAACGGGTTCCGGTTCCGTCGGTTCTCCCTCGGTCGGTTCGGTTTTGCGGTTCACAGTTCGTTTCTGTGGCTCACCGATATTCAGTTTCAACTGTCGACAGCTTCCATCCCGTGGGCTTAATCCATCTGTGCACGGCGCCTAGCTTGTTCGTTAAACAAGCGTGGATCCACTTCCGAAAGGACTTGGCACGTGTTACTGAACGGCGAAACTCATCATGACGAGCAGTCTTCCCGAGGAAGTGACCCAGGAATTGCAACAAATACGGGTAAGTACGCATGGGATGTGCCGCTATGTGTGTGAGCATGTGCATGATGTCACTGACAATGTGTTCGCCGATGTGCACGCGCAGCCTACCATCACGACCACGACCACCCATGAAATATGTGAAATGTGCCCAAATGCGCGCTTCTGCATTTGTCGCCCTTGGCGTACATGTTGTGGAGGTCGTGGGCATGTGATTGCAATATGTGTAGGGCTCAAGACTGGTGTGTACCCGCAGGTTGCTGCCGTGCCAATGCACTTCCTGCTGTGGTGATTTTATACTGTGTCCCTGCCGCGCGGCCGCAACAGTCGTCTGCGGGCCTGTCGCCCAGGTCAAAAAGGGAGGCGAATTTCTCCACTGCACCCTGATATAGATAGGTAGCAAGTGATTGGACGCGGGTGGCATGCGCAGTCTCTGAACCAAAACCAAGAGCGGCATCGGCCTTCATGGTGTCTACCCAGTTTTGCGTGGTGCTTTCACGCGCCGGGTAACGCGGTTCGCCGTCCTGGTCTTTTCGATTATCATTTGGCGCACAAGGTTTGGCAAGAAGAACGCGCGGCTTGACCAAACGACGCAATGTCTGGCTCCGAGGGCGCGGGCCGATCTCAGCAGACATGGGGCAGTGCTGGCGTGGTGGGAAGCTTCCAACACGAGTGGGTTCTTTCATGGTAATGGCAAGACAGTCCCAGGTCAGCCCGTACTCAAGTCGGGAGTGGTTTCCTGTCGCAGGGTCTTTGTAGGCCCCTTCCTTGGGCGCAATGACGGTCGCCTTCAGCCTTTGCGGAAGGTCGGAGTACTGAAGGACTTCTGGCGGCATATTCCGATCACCACCCATAGCGAATGGCAAGGCGCAGGAGCTCAGGACTTGCCCGATCTTGGTGAGTTTGTCAACGCTGGGGCCTCCGAGCCTCAGCCCCTGCTCAAAAGGTAGGTAGAGTTGATGATTATGCCTCCTCTGGCGCCCGCCTGCAGTATCATCGCAACGCAGTGCCCAGGCGCCAAAGTGCGCGCAGTGGGGACTGTTGACAGCGGTACCACATTGATGTGTACGAACGAACAGGCCCACCCTTCCCAGAGGCTGCCCTGCGTCACTCAGGATGGCGTCGGGATGGAGCCCTGCCAACCCTTCTTCTGACACCACTCCTCGGCGAGAAGGCGCCGACGCCCATGTAGATGGAGTTCCTGTCCTGCCACCGCTGGCAGGAGGCGTGCGCGATCCAGGAAGTCCTGCAGCTGTGGCCAGCGCGAGCTGTTGAACGAAACCATCCGCATCGGCGCCCGTCGCTTCCCTGCCCGTTGTCGCGTCCTTGAGGCCCCATGACCAGCAACGCGCGTGGCGACGTGCACCGCCTGATGAGCCGCCTCGTCGTTAGGCAGCGGGACTGCGGACCCCCGTTGATGACCAGCAACGCGCGTGGCGACGTGCACCGCCTGATTAGCTGCCTGAACATCAGGTAGCGGGGCGGCGGGCCCGCGTTGATGGCCAGCAAAACGCGCGGCGACGTGCACCGTCTGATTCGCTGCTTGAACGTCAGGTAGCGGGGCGGCGGGCCCCCGTTGAAGTGGGCAACATTCCGCAGCTGACAATTTCTTTGAGGGTTGGATGCAACCGTTGTGCTCGCCACCCTCGGCAAACATAGCAGTGCCATCCGCTGGTAGACCATGTAGTTCGTCGGGCGCCCGTAGCTGAGTGCCTGACTGTCTGCAAGAGTTCCGAATGCATTCATTATGCTCACCGTCCGCGAACAGAACTGCAGCGCCATGTCCATGTAGTGCTGAGGGTCGACCGCGTCCCGCCACAACACTACCGCCGCGCTTGGTCATGTCACCCCCGTCGAGACGACCAAACGCGGAAGCCACGCTCGAAGGGGAATGACCACCGCGCGTGCTTGGCAACCCTTGTGGGGAGGCAAACCCATCCGTCAGTGGTCTCGAGTGTAGCTGCGGCGGCCTTGTGACGACACACGGCGGCACTGTAGTAGTTCCATGTGCCATGCACGTCGGAACACCAATACTGTCACCTGTGCGACAGCGCTCCTCAGCTTGGGTTTCCTGGTAGTTGGCAATGTCTTCCTGTCGGGATTGACGCGGCATGCTGACGAAGAAGGTTGTTGGTGGCGCCCAGAGCAGTTCTGCACGACACCGCTGGTAAGTCTGATGTTTGTGCTCACCTTCCGACTCCTCGTCACTGTCAACGCTTTCAGGAGGCTCTCGATCTTCTGATGGAGTGGCGGCATCCCATGACGTTGGCGCCCCCGAAGGTGCCGCCGTTGTTGCCTGCGCCGCCGCTGTCCGTGACGACGCAGACCTCTGCTTCGCCACGCTGGCCACCGCCTCTTGGAGCTGGCGCGTGAGGGACGTGAGGCAGGTCCCTTCGTTCTCCGCCGTGACCGACGGAGTTGCTTGGACAATCTTCCTCAATCGCTCCAGTGCTTCATCAACTTCCGTATCTGGGATAGCGCTTGCCTCACCAGCGGCGGCGGTGGCGAGGATTCCCGCGCGCGCAATTTGCACCTCAGAGTTGATTGCGGCGAGCTCGCTCTCGGCCTGCTGCAACTCGGCGCGCCTGGTCTCGAAGTTCTTCTGAAGCTCGGCCACCACATCACGAGGTTGGGCGACCTCTTTAGATTTCTGCAACTGTCTGTCCAACGACCTTCGCAACTGATCGTCTGGAGTTCGCGCAACTCGCTCTGCTTCTTCAGCCTCCTGCAACTCACGCCGTGCTGCGATGAGCAAGCTGCTGGTGTCGTCAATGCCGAGCCTGCGAAGCGCTGCCGCCGCCTTCTTGGCCTTGGCAACCGCGTCTGACACCGTGGGGGGTTCATCTGCTGGCACTCCCTCCGCCGCTTGGCGGTCGGGACCTGCTGGACCTGCGCGGGGCGGGCGGGCGTGCTGGACGTCGGCCGGGAGCTGCTGCTGGATCAGGCTTGCCAGCGCTGTCCCGCCTGCACATGTGACACCTCTCGGTGCTCGCACAGTTCTTGGTGTACCCACACCTGGCGAGCAGCAGCACAGGCCCAGCGTGGATCCGCTTTCGCCCCATCCTTCCCTCGGCCCGACCGACTGGCCATCGGCGGGCGGGACCCGTGATGCGATTCCAGTCGGGCCACGTCGAGGTCGGCGCGCCGTGGCACGATGCCTGCGCAGCCGCTTGTGCCATGCTGGCGAGCGCGACTTCGACCTCGCGAGAGGGAGTCCACGCGGCAGCGGTTGGCCCACGCCCCCGCGGGGCAGGCCGTCGGCGGCGGCCGCACGGCAGGCGCTGGCCTGCTGCAGCCGCGTCGCGCCAGGCAGCGCCTGGGGCTGGGGACTCCCTGATGGCGGGCTCCCGCGCCCCCGCGGGAAGAAGGGTTGCGGGGGCCGCGGGGGGGCCACGCTGGGAACCACTTAGAAGAGGGAGGAGGAGGAAGAGGAGGAGGACGAGGACGAGGACGAGGACGAAGAAGGGGAGGAAAAAGGGGAGGAGGAGGAGGAGGAGGGAGGAGGAGGAGGAGGAGGGAGGAGGGAGGAGGGAGGAGGGAGGAGGGGGAGGAGGGGAGGGGGAGGCAGTGGATGCAGGGTGGAGGGGCCGCGCCGCGCCGCGGAGATCTACTACGGCCCGGCGCTGCTGCAGAGCCTGGGGAGCGACGACCCGGTGCGGAGGCTCGGCCTCTTGGCAGAGGCGGCCCCGCGGGCGCGCACGCGCACGCCTGCCCTCCTCTCACTCCTTCCCCTCCTCCTCCCTCCCTCCTTCCTCCTCCTCCTCCTCCCTCCTCCTCCTCCTCCTCCTCCCCTCCTCCTCGTCATCTCCTCCTCGTCATCTCCCTCGTCATCCTCCTCCTCCCCATCCCTCCTCCTCCTCCTCCTCCTCCTCCTCCTCCTCCTCCCCCTCGTCATCCTCCTCGCCCTCGTCCTCCTCCTCCTTCTCCTCCTCCCTCTCTTCCTCCTCCCGTTGTTGCGTTTGTTTTCGTGTTTGTTTTCTGTTGTTTGTGTTGTTGTATTGTTGTGTTTGTGTTGTTCGTGTGTGCATGTCGAATGCGGTCGTACCTTTCACGGTCGTGGGCGTCCTCCTCTTCCTCCTCCTCCTCCACAATTACTCAATATGGATACTACTCTCTCTCTCTTCCCCTGATGGCGGGTTGAAAGTGGCCGACCCCCCCCCCCCGCGTATGGTTTTTTACACAGGTTTCCCCGGAGTTGGGTTTTCGCCTGCATTTTTCTGGCCCCGCTCGTTCCGAATCGTGCTCCAGCTGCAGCGCTGGCCTCATTTCCGTGCTTCCGCTCGTTTCGACTGGTGCTCCCGCTGCAGCGCTGGCGTCATTTCCCGTGCCATGCCACGGCATGCAATGCAATGCTAGGTTGATACTACGCTTTGCGGTGCTCTTCTACGCAATGCCATGTCGTACTCTACAATGCATCGCGTACCCTTTCGGGATCATTGCCCTGCTTGACATCCGACTGAGCGGGTAGAGAGGGGATTTGCGCCATGGTAAGGGATGGGAGGGAGGGGTAGGATGTCAGATATGACGCGAGCGCACCTAGCTTGTCCTCCTCCCCCTTCTCATTATCCTCCCGTTGTTGCTTTTGTTTGTGTTGTTGTTGTTGTTGTTGGTGTTGTTGTTGTTGGTGGTGTTGTTGTTGCTGTTGTTGAACATTATTTATTCTAAAGAATAATTATTGTTGGGGCCCCTGGTGCGCAGCCCCCTCGCCGCGCCTAGGCCGCAGCCACATTTTCATCATTTTCGTGAGGAAGTCTCAGGCAAAACGTGGGTGTCCGGATCCGGTTGTTTTGTTGCCCCCCGTTTCCCCTTGCAGAAAATAAGTTAAAGTGGACATTTCTTGTTCTAACATAACCAAACTTCAATAATCCCTTGCAAAAAATAAGGTAAAGTGGACATTCGCGCGCGCAAGACGAAATCCTTCCAAAACCTTTGTTTTCGTAACGATTTTAACATACAAACATCAAAAAACAAATGGTTTTTCAAAAAAAAAGTGTCAACATTTCATCCCGCGCGCTCTTGCGGATTTGTCGGAAACCCAACACTTTTTCAACATTTCTGTCAAACGGGCTTTTGCGAGCAACTTTTTCAAACTTCTGCAACAACGGTTGCGCACCTGCCAGGGCCATCATCCCTGTCAAATAATACCATGCGGGACACATTCGTTTTTTCTTCGCGCGCGCACGCCGTCGTCGTCGGCCGCGGGGCCCTGAATAGTAGCCACGGTCGTCCGCATGCCACGAAGTGAAGTGTCCGAACGTCATAGGGCGGGAAGCTGGGTGTGGGTGGTGGCGAAGAGTCGTTTGGAAATTTGGTAGAGCTTGAACCGGCCCCCCCACAAAGTCGGGGTATTGCCCGCCTCCTATGAAAACCCTGGCACTGGTGAGAACGGAGTGTCCCCACGTGCTAGTAATTGTTGTTGTTGTTGTTGTTGTTGTTGTTGTTTGTTGTTGTTGTTGTTGTTGTTGTTGATGTTGTTGTTGTTGTTATTCAATCGCTTCGCTCACTCCGCCGGCCCGTACTGCATGATCGCTACTGCTTCGGCGCGGGCTCGGGGCCGTTTCGGCGCCGCCGGAAGGAGGAAGATGAGGATGGGGAGGGGGGGGGGGGGAGGAGAAGAGGATGAAAAGGAACGGAGGAGGATTAAGATAAATATGAGGAGGAGGAGGAGGAAGAGAAAAGGGCGGAGGAGAAGCCTCTCGATGGCATCTTGCGGCGCTCTTGGGGCCAAACAGGGCCGTCGTCCAGATGCTTTTTTGGGAGGCCCTGGGGTCTGTTGAGAGGCCGTTCGGGGGCGCCTGGGAGACATTTTTGAAGCCTTGTAGGGCCTCTTCTGAGCCTCCTTGGAGCCTCCTGGGGTCTCTTGGGGGCCTCTTGGCGGCATCTTGGGCCATCTTGGGGGCCTCTCGGGGCCTCCTGGGGCCCTCTTGGGGCGGAAGGCTTGAGGTTTCGGTTCGTGGTCCCCATCTTGGGCCCCTCTTGGGGCCGTCTTGGGGCTCTCTTGGGCCGTCTTGGGCGTCTCTTGGGCCGTCTCGGGGCCCGTTTGGGCTCTCTGGGGGCCTTCTTGGGGGCCTCTTGAGCCGTCTTCGTGCGCTCTTGGGGGCCTCTTGGGCCGTCTTGGAGCATCGGAAAGCCGAAAATGCGACAAGGCCAACATCCTTCCAAAGCCATCGTACAATTTAT